ATTGTATGCGGCTAGTGTGATAGCCCATCTTTGAATTCTTGGTGAGGCATGCTCAGGTAGGGGTTTGTTTTCTCCAAATAAACCTAGCAATGGTTTATGATCTGTAAAGATGGTGAACTTCCTACCAAACAGAAACTTATGAAATTTCTTAACACCAAAAATGATGCCTAAGCCTTCCCTATCTAACTGAGAAAATTTTTTCTCAGCCTGGTTCAAAGATCTACTGGCAAAAGCAATGGGTCTGTCACCCTTTTCATCCATGTGGGACAAGACTGCTCCAACACCATCTGGTGAAGCATTACATGTTAATATAAGTCTTTTCCCTGGGTCATAGTGAGTTAGTAAGGTGTCAGAAGACAAAGCTTCTTTTGCTGTATTAAAAGCAGCTTCTTGTTGTTTACCCCAGTGCCAAGTTGCATTTTTCTGCAGCAGCTTGTAAAGTGGTGATAGTTTACCAGACAGATTCCCTATGAACTTCGCATAATAATTTATCAAGCCCAAAAAAGCTCTTAGTTGTTGGGTATTTTCAGGTTTGGGTGCTTCTTTAATGGCTTTTGTTTTCTCAGGTTGAGGTCTGATACCTTGCTTGCTTAATATATAACCAAGAAAACTAATTTCTGTCAGCATGAATTGACATTTATCTTTGTTTATCTTTAAACCTTTTTCACCAACTATTTTCAAGACTTTATCAAGTGTTTTAAGATGTTCAGTGTCATTCTTATCAGTTATGTACACATTGTCAAAGTAAACACAAACATTTGGAATGTCCTTAAAAATACTGTCCATGACAGCCTGGAAAATTCCAGGGCTGGATGATATACCAAAACATAGTCTTTCATATTGGTAGAGTCCTTTATGTGTGTTTATTGTCGTATAGACTTTTGAATCTGGATGCAGTTCTAGTTGAGTGTAAGCATGACTAAAGTCTAATTCAGTGAATTTGTCTCCTCCTGCCAAATTCAAAGAAATTTCCTCAATCTTAGGAATAGGGTACCTATTTAGCTCTATTTGCTTATTCAGTGTAGCTTTATAGTCTCCACAAATTCTTACAGAACCATCCTTCTTTAACACTGGCACAATGGGCGTTGCCCAATCGGAATAGTCTACCTTCTTTATGATGCCATTAGATTCCAATCTACTTAGCTCATTTTCAATTTTATCCCTCATTGCATAAGGTGGAACTCTAGCTTTGCAGTATCTTGGATTTGTGTCTTTAATGCTTAACTTCACTGTTCTATCATTTAGTAATCCAGGATTACCAAAAACACATTTATTTTCAGATATAACTTTATCTATTGAAGTAAGACTAGATTCTCTTGCATTGTTCAATGAACATATACTCTCCCTATTTTACTTTAGATCACTTAACCAGTTCCTACCTAGTAATGGTGGTCCATTTCCTTCAACCACAAGAAGAGGAAGTTTAACACTTTGACCATTATAACTTACATGAACCATACACTCTCCTATTACCGGAACATTGTCACCAGTGTATGTTGTTAGGCACTTGTGATATGGCTGTAGAGGCACTGATCCTCCTGTGACAGCGTCAAAGTCCTTCTTTGTGATGACTGTTAGAGATGCTCCAGTGTCAAGTTGGAAGCTGATGCTCTTACCGTTGATATAAACTAGTACATTGATGGGAGCATGACTTATTGATTTCACAGAGAACAGGTTGAAATCCGGCTGCGAATCAGTTTGAGCATTTTTACAGGTAGAGTGGTTCATTGGTTGGGTTAGGTAGTCTTGGTGAGAGTTAACATAGTGCTGCCTTTGGTTGCGGTACTGTCTTGACTGGCTAGATTTAGCAACAGACGAAGACTTTGCAAAGCAGGCCTTGGCAATGTGACCTTGCTTACTGCACTTATAACAAGTTGCAGACTTGAACTTGCACCGATGAGATGCATGGGGACCTTTGCATCGATGACATTTTTGATAATTAGTACTAGATTTAAATCTAGGCTTTAAACGTGCAGGCTGTTTAGCATAAGTTGGAATGCTCTGATGGGGTTGGTGTTTGTTGACTAACCTGCTGTTTACTGCATGGATCTCTGAAGGCGTTAGAGATTTCGCCGCATCAGATGACTGCTGGAATGAAGTTGCTAGTTGTATTGCTTTTTCTAATGTTAGATCTGACTCGAGCAGCAACTTTCTTTGAATATCAGGGCTGTTTACACCTGTCACAAACTTTTCACATAGTCTGTCAGACAGCGTGTCTCCGAATTCACAAAATTCACTTAAATGACGTAAAGCAGCAACATATTCTGATATTGACTCGTTTGGTTGACGAGTCCTACTGCCAAATCTAGCTCGACATAGAAACTTTGGTGGGGTAGGCGCATGGTGGTCTGTTAGCAATTTGCTCAGCTCGTTAAAGCTCTTGGTAGTTAGACTAACTGGTGCGCATAAGTCCTTTAGTAGCCTAAATTGTTGAGGCCCTATGACTGTTAACAAAACAGCTCTCTTTTTGGCTTCTATCGTCACGTTGTTTGCTTCAAGGTAAAAGCTTAACCTATCTAGGTAATCATGAATGATTTCATCATTCGAATCAAATTCTTTTATTTGGCCATACAGCGCCATTATTCTAGAAATACTTAGCCAATATGCTCTAGCAAACCTCTTTTTGAGTAAGTAGGTGCTCTTTCTAGTGGATCATTTATCCTCGTCGCCAATTGAGGTAGATTGTAGTTGTTCTATTATAACACACTGACGAGAAGCCATGCTGTTTGTACATAGATTTTATTGGGCCTTGTCGGCTAACATAATGGAGACCGGAACAGGAAGTAACAATAGATAAATACCAGGGACATCACTCAATAACAACATTATAAATATAACTAATGCAAGAAGAGTGAGTTCCCCTGACCTCACAAATCCCAATATATTACATAATTGTACCGTGGTCGGCAGTTGTGCCACATTTAGTAAGCCTAGTTGCCAAATATATGATATGAAAATTACAGTATTGTTATGAAACAATCAAGTTAATCTTGTCGGTACAATGTACTAATTTGATAGTAAAAAAATGTTTATTGGGTAATTTTAAATATAGAAAGCTTGAAAATATTTTTCTTAGCTCCGGCAAAACAGTATCGCCTCTCACCCCACCCGCTCCGCCAGCTTGCTATTTTAATTTTACTCGTCAGTGAAATAGCCACATTAGAATAAAAAATATTTATTTCTCTTTAATACAATAAATTCAGGCAATATCTATTTTGTCGGCAAAATTCTTTTTTTCTTAAAACAAAAAAATGTGTTGGCACTGACTCTTACTTAAAGTATGGACATATAAAAGACCCCATATAACAAATAGTTAAGGGGTCATCCATAAATGACGTCACGCTTTTTTTGACGATTTTTACCTCCCCCCCCCCTCCCCTCCGTCACACTTCGTCACAAAAAGCCAGACCCCCCCCCCCTAAAATGACGTCACACCTCAACCTACAACCCCCCTCAAAATTGCAGTTGAATTTTTTTTAAACATTGATATTTTTCCAAAATCTTGTCTAAACTATTACAATTTATTAAAACAGTTATCTAAAACGCGAAATAACGTCTAAAATTCGTTTTCTAACATTGCTTTTTTATAATGCAAAAATGTGACGTCGCAACATCTGACCCCCCCCCCTCCCCCTCATCACACATCGTCACAAAAGTATTGACCCCCTCCCCCCTACGAGTGTGACGTCATTTATGGATGACCCCTTAGGGCTTTATCTAGTATAAATCTAATCCTGATTGTATGCTATCTATGAGTAGCCTATTTTAAAAATCGGTTAATAATTGTTTTAAACGTGTAACTAAGTATTAGAGGTAATGAATATTATAACCTATATAATAATACTTAAATGGGGCCTATTGAAATTTTTAATTTAGGCCTAGATCTAGATCTAGGTTAATGTTCAAGTTCTGAAAGGAAAAAAAAGACGAAATATGTTTTTACTATTACAATCTTTGATAGTAATATTTTGTAGTCTATTTGTTTTAAAATTAACAAATTTAAAAGATATAAGAGTCTAGGGCAGGGTTCTCCAAACTACGGCCCGCGGGCCGGATGCGGCCCGCGATGTCCTCTCATCCGGCCCGCGGAGATCTTTTTGTCCACGGAAAAAAAAACGTTTGTTGGTGATGGCTGAGGAACTTTGCCCAGAAAAATCAAAGACATGCCTGAAAGAAACTGGCCCCCGAACTGAAATTTGATAGTTAATGCGGCCCTCGGACTGAAAAGTTTGGAGACCACTGGTCTAGGGCAATGTATTATTTTTTTAATGCCAAAATATCACGTGATTTTAGTCTTCATAAATAAATTGAAGTAGGCCTTTATTTAGTTAGCCTAGAATATCTTTTTAGCTGTTTTGTTTTGTTTTAGTTTTCTATGTCTCTATTTAAAATCATGTATTTAATGACGAACTTTGAAATTAAAAAATAACGGTTATTTATAGAATATTGTATTTTATTACCATAGAAAATAAACAAATCTGGAAAAGTATCGAAGTCAAGTAAGGGGTTCAGTTTGGGATTTTTAATTTTTTTAAGGCTAATTGGATAAACATTACATTTTGATAGTCAGTATCTTATTTTATATAATTTATTTTATAAAATCAATATTTATTCGTTGTTGATCTTTTTTCAATTATTAGAAATATCGTCGAAATACTCTGATTCCTTGGTGATTTCGAATCAGGTTAAGTTATGCGCATATCAAGCGCCCAGCAACGATTTCTAAATATACACCAGTCAGCATGCTGGTTTGTTTACATCCAACAGCTGACTGTTCTTGCCAGCGTATTTCCTCTTTAGGAGCAGCTGTCAATCAATGAATGAACTGTGACCTATTTTTAAATTTTGTTTTCAATTTTGACCCATAATTATTCTTTATACCCTGTTATTTTGTTTTAGTAATAATCAATTTATTTGAAAAGCGAAAATTAATTTATAACAAAATGTTTCAAAATGAAAAGTATTCACAAAATAAAAAGGGGAGGGATTAAGTTTGTCACGTGATATAACGTAATCCCATAGCAGAAGAGCTCCGCCATAGCTGCTGTTGTTGTTTTGGAAATCGAGTGTAAGGCCTATTACTAGACCAAAATCGTTGCAAAGATGTCGTCCCCAAGTCCAGGTAAACGTCGAATGGATACGGACGTTGTGAAACTGTATCCTTTTTCTGTAAATCGAGGAAAATCTAAAGCAGAAATATAATTTGAGAGTCAAAGTAGAAGACGTTCTGTGCTACAAAGTCCAGATGCCATTGTTGCTGTTTTGCTGGCTGGCTCAGGGCTGAGTGAGGTCATTATTGACATTGCTAACTCTACTGCATTAAATGTCAGGAAGAGTAAAAGAAGACTTTAATTGATAATCATCTAAAAGCTCAATCAGTATAGCCAAATATAGCAATCGCCATATGAATTTTCGTATTTAATAAATCTAATCTCTGTCCAAAGTAAACAATTTGACAGAACGGATGAGACTGAATTTTTTTATGACAAATAAAATCAATGACGCAATTCCTACCCAGCAACCTACAAATAACGTTTTGATCCGTTTTTTCCTTTGTTATGTTGACACGAAAACAGCTTGTTAGAGTTTCTGGGGGAAAATAACCTATTATTGCTAACTTACATAAGTCCATCATTAGGCCATATCAATAACACTACTAGTACTACAGTACCTAAAAAATGTAGACAAGGTCCTACTGAACACACACTGACACAGTCAACCCAGGGTTGACAGTTTGGTTACCTAGATCTAGATCTAGATCTATTTAATATTTACATTTAACAAATAATCAGAAGTCTAATAGAGCTAGCTAGTCTATTCCAGTCTTTTTATTTAACTTTGTACTTTTAACGAATTACATTTTACACTGGTTTCTACACATTTTATAAGGTGATCATTTATAATTTTATTTGCAAAAAAAAAGTGTGCTTTTAACTAACTAGGTTTTAATCTGAAGTCACCTGCTTTTATACCTAAATGCTAAAATGTGCTATTTCTTTTTAGTTTTTTGTTTTGCTAATCTTTACTATTCTGATCTTAGGTATGCCTAATGTAATGATTATTAAAAAAAAATTTCTCAAGATTAAAACTAGTTAATTGTTTATTCATTGGGAATATTTTACATTGTACTTGAGCAATAATAACAGTCATTATAATGATTTTTAAAAATCTCACATTAGCAATGTAGTAGCCTATCTAGGTCTAATTTAATATGGGGTAGGTTCAGTTTTGCTAGTAATAGTAAGGTTGGGCATCTCTAACAGAAAACTAGTTGAATTAACTTCTTCTAACATGTTTACACACGCTAGTAGCTGTAAATACATTATAATCATTATAAACTAATTTTTATTTGCAAGTATACTTTTATGTTTGAGAGAATATTATTAAAAGACTTTAGTCTGATCACTTTTGAAATGTTTATTTACCTTAATAAAAAATGTTAGCATTGAAAGCAAACATGAGGTGACAATTCTTGGAGGTCTCAATGAGTTTATGGTAAAGTTTTATGGCCCTTCTGGAAGTAAGTGTAATTTTATGGATTTTTTTTCTTCTTAAAATAAAAAAATTAAAATAAATTATTTTTTTTAACTAACGTAGAATTCCATCTTTAGATCTTATAGTATAAGCAGCTTACAATCATTTAGAATCAACATTTTCATTTTTGAAGTATAATCACTATATAACATTTATCTTTTTATGCATAACATCTTTGTGATTTCAGCACCATATGAAGGGGGAGTGTGGAAGGTTAGGGTAGATCTTCCAGATAAATACCCTTTCAAATCTCCATCAATAGGTATGTTCTCAATCATCCTGTGTGTAGAGATAGCTTACAGTAGCAGTCTCATCTGGCTGTGGTAATCTGTGGAATGAAGCTCTTAATTGGGGTTCTTCCATCTTTCACCAATAAGCTAGTGGGCATTTCATGCAGTGGTTAGCTCAGTACCTATCAGGATGGGCTCTTACATTTTTCTACCCTCTCCTCTTCTCTGTATATATCTCCATAAACATGCATATACACATTATGTTGTTGTTGCTGATAACACCATTAGAAGGTCGTCCATTTATTACAGACTATTCATACTTATGAACTGAAAGTTTACACATTATAAATGGGTGATTTTTTTTTTCTGCAAAAAATTACAATATACCTCAGAAAATCAGAAAAATAGTATTTAATAAAGAAAAATTAAAATACAAAAAAAAAAAAAAAAGTAAAGCATCACAAATAAATAGAACAATAGATGTGTTACTTAAAAACTCATTGAAACACAGCCTAAAATTACTGTTTAAACCTAGTGCTAACTTGACTCAAAAAAACCAACCCTAACCTTGCTCTAATTCTAACCTACCCCTAAATTAAAAAATAAAATGTAAGCAAGGTTTTATAATATCTCCCCTAAAATACATCTGATAACTATTTGTGGGAAAGCAAGGTTTCATGATGCCTCACCCAAAACACACATAACTTTTTGTGGGAAAGCAAGGTTTCATAATGTCTCACCCAAAAAACACATCACTTTTTGTGGGAAAGCAAGGTTTCATAATGTCTCACCTAAAATAAACCAGGTAATTATTTATCATTTGTCCTGGTCAAAAGGAGAATAGTTAATAGTTAAATATTCTTTCAATATTTGAAGTAATGAAGTACATAAATAAATAACAGTTTTGTCCTACTTGAAAATATTACCTTTATTTTTACATTAACAGCTTCCTTCTCCATCTTATGGTTAAAAGATTGAAAACAGTCTTAATGAATGGAGTTAGGGGCTTTGATACATAATTGCTATAGGAGTAGAAGTCCTAGCATTTTGATTTTGATAGTAGAAGATAGGTCTACCTGAATTTTTATCTATTATAGTTTATTTTTAGTCCAGAGTTTTTGATGTAATATATATTGTAATATCAACATTTACTGTAAAATATTGCTCTGTTTGTGTATTTTTATTTTTTTCCCTTCTCATCTTCCTAGTAGAAATTCTGTGACATTTATAAGTTTAGTAAAATACCAAAAAGCTTACGGAACTAATTCTGTTTTATTTCCTCCATTCTATTTATTTTAGAAATATATTTTGATTTATTATTGCTGTGCAACTGTATTAAAAAGTAAAATCTCTAATTGTTTCCATGTTTAGTTGTTTTGAATATGAAACAGAAAAGTAATCAAAAATATTTTCTTTTCTCTAAGGCTTCATGAATCGTGTGTATCATCCCAACATTGATGAAGTGTAAGTACTACTCCATTTAAAAAAAAATTAGCTTCACGCTTCACTGTTGAGACAGTGGCTTGATATTAATCCAGTATAATTAATTATTAACTCATTATTTTTATAGATCTGGAACTGTATGTCTGGATGTCATTAACCAAGCATGGACTGCTCTATATGGTTAGTAATAAAAAATGTTAGAGCGGTAGAGAGCTGGACTGCTAACCCGTAAGTCTTGAGTTCGAATCCGGGTTCAAGTCAGTATACCGTCCCAGAGTCCACCCAACTCTGATTGGTACCTAACTCACGTTAGGGAAAGCAAAGGTGGCTGGGCATAGTGCTGACCACACTATCTCTTTATATTCTAAGGTCACAAAAACAAGTGAAAGCTACTTCACTTGCCCCATAGACCGTCAGGTTTGAAAGGGAAACTTTACTACTTTTAAATAAGTTTTATTCACGATAAGGTACACAATGAGTAGATAGTTTGAGAACTGTTTTAAGCTTTGCTGTTGCTTAATCCAAAATACATCCCCTTTTTTCTATAAGCATTCTTTGATTAAAGTATTGTATCACTTGGTCATATATTATTTTACTTAGTAAAGTTACTAAAAGCTTTTAAGGTTATAAATATTCACTCTTGTTTGTTTTATTTATAATTTATTTTAACAATTTGTTTTAGAAATAATTGGTAGAACTACTGGACTTACACTAATGATTATATGTAAATAAATAAATGAATGCTGTAATGATCATTCATGTCCTTAGATCTCTCAAACATATTCGAATCATTTCTGCCACAACTGCTGACATACCCCAACCCTATAGATCCACTCAATGGGGATGCTGCAGCATTGTATCTACACAAGCCAGAAGAGTACAAGAAAAGAGTCAGGGGTATGTTGGGTGACTGCTTGTATTTTGATGTAAATATTAGCATTGGAGATATGTATCATTTCAATTTTAATAAGAAGTATTTATTAAAATTGTGTGCATTGCTTTGCCGTCTGGTAAACAAACTAAATCTTAAAGTATTAGACCTACATTTTAAAAAAAAAAAATATTTTTTAAATAACTTTTAGGGGTGTTTTGGTATAGATGGAAAAAAAAGTGTTTTGATTTTTTTCAAGATTACGTGCAGCGCTATGCCACAGAAGAAGCTTTGCGAGAGGCAGAACAAGCTTCATCTTCCAGTGAGTCATCCATGAGTGACTTCTCAGAGGATGAAGCACAAGACATGGAGTTATAATAGTGGGACCCCGGTCCCTGTGTCAGGGGTCCTCCAAATTTAGCCTTTTCGTTTTCAATTGTCCACACTACAAAAACCATTGTGTAAATATTTCTCAGAACAGGTCAACAGTTCATATAAGAATAAGCAATTCAATTTTTTTTTTTTAAATTTCGCAGCCTTTCTAAATAGCCTTTTTGTTTTTAAATACATTAAAATATTTGAGACATTTTTAATTCTTTTAATGCTAATGTTACTTGTAAAATATATGAATAAAAAATGACTTTAAAATATATGCACACTTGACCTGTTCAGTCTTCATTTTCATTGATAACAATTGGGCTTTAGCCAAACATTTTTATGAATTTTTTTAAGTTCTGTTATTGATGATGTAAAGATAATTTTCCATATGTTTAGGACATTCTTTACTTTGCATCGTTATTCCCTAATGGCATAAAAAAGTATCCAGCATCAACTTAATTAATACATTTTTCTCTAGTCATCCTAATGATCAACTACAAATTTATTAGCGCCCCCATAAACCAGCTGTATGTAAACGTTCATGTGACTATATTAGCCCAGTGGAATTCTTACAGATACAGTCTGCATTTATTTAGCTAAACATTCAACTCCTAACAAATATAAAAATGGATATTTCATTACAAATGTTAGCAAGCCTACCAGTGAAAACCTAGTTGTGTTATCTGTGCAGTGGTGCCTACTTTAATCAAGTTTTTATTGTTTATTTTTCAATAAGTTGGATATTCAAGTATGAGTGTAAATACAATTTTAATTCATCTAAAGTATACAAAACAAGACTAGTAACATTTTAAAATAGATTTTAACTTGAGATAAATGATTTCACTGTTTGTTCTTTGAGAACTGAGTACCTAGATTCCCACCAGCCTTGATTCCGTTTTAACATTATTAAAAAGTAATTTCGCTAATCATCTCTTTAAGGAAAAAAAAAATCCTTCCCGCTACTACAGTAATAAGGGGATACTGGGTACTTTGTTAATGTTCATACTACCGGTACATTTTTCTGTGACTTGTTTTTAACATTGGACTGGACGTCCAGGATCTGGTGTATATGCTATGTGGTGAGAGACCCTCCTCCATTAGGTGTAAGTGTATTTTGTTACATGATATAACTGGAGATCTTTCCTTTGGAATTTTTTCTTTTTTTTTGTTTCCTATTGCACATTCTGTGTATCCATATTGTGTGTGTGTGTGTGTGCATATGATGACAGGATGAATTGAACTTTGACTTGAAGTATTCAGGTCACCAATGCTCCATATATTTAGACATTGCTATGTGTATATAAATATAATATTTTTCTGTATTTTTGCTCTAAGAAAAAAAAAATTCATCAAAATGCTTTTTTTTTTTTCATCCATTGTATTTTTATATCTTTAAGAGAATGATTGTATTGTGGTTCAGAAAATATGTTTTTATATTCCTATATGTTAAACTGGAAAAAAATATTATTCTGTCTGACGAATTCTGTAGGTTAAACATATTTTCTAGATAGTAATTATAAAGACAAGATAGTCATAAATTAAAATCCCTTTATAGTTTATATTGTAGTCTCGTAAGATTATAAATTAGTCTGTCATCTTGTTTCAACTATTCACTTGTTAGCCAAACCTCTGTAATAATGGAGAATTGTTTAAGCTTTATTTATTATTAATCTAAAACATTGGAAATAATTAAAAAATAAGAAAAAAAAATTTAAAAAGAAAACTACACTCACGGTAATTGTGTAACAAATATTTAATTACTATAATTGGAAGTTATCTGAATTCATCTTTTTGATGGTCAGGAAACTCTTGATATACTCATATTCAATTTTTTTTTTTACTGTAGACTAAGCATGAAATAGCTTCATAAAATGTATTTAATTTTGTGTATGTATGGTGGAAGTGATATCATTTTTAACCAAATAAGATGTAATAGGATTAATATGTCTAGTTGTTTATTTGCTTTTTTCTCTTTTAAAAATGTACAATAATGATGATAATGCATGTCACTTAAATATTTGTATCACTATAAATTCTACAGACAATAATGTCAGTCATTCTATTCATTGGCCGCTATGCATTTCCTCTCCTCCATCAAGGCATAATTTGTAAACATACGCTTCTCAATTACAAACATTGCATTTTTCTCAATTACTTACATCACACTCGGAAATTTTTTTAAAAATTGGCTTTTCGTGCAACAGCTTTTGAAATTTTTTGCCCTTTTTACAGCAACAGCATTAACTCATTCAATGTTTAGCTTCATCATCTTTGTCTGGAGGCTCTAATAAAAAGAACTCTGCATTGCCAAGGAATTGCAACTGCAAGATGATGTCACTATAAAATGTGAATGAGAAAACAACCATAATTAGTATGGGCATTTCTTTGAGCGCACTATAGCCAGTTGAACTATAGTCTACAAAATTATTTCAATCATTTGCCATATCTATTGTAGGCATACCTTGGTGGTTCCTCTGTTTAAAAGGTTTAATTTTATCAAATATTCCTTGTAACCCAGATATTCACCTATGTTTTAGCCATTTTTGTGTGTGATCAAGATGAGAAGTAATGTCCTTAAAGTGAGGGTTTACAAATGATTTGGATCAATGCATTCAATCAAAATAGCCATACTTAAATATGTTCACCTTTTTTTCCAGCTTACCGTTTTTTTCTGCATATTTTTATTTCATTGTTTCAACTGAGATTTTATTTTCATTTAAATTTATGCCTCTCTCTTTTTTTTTTAAATGGCCATTTTTATAGTTGCAAGTTACACATTTTCTTTATAATCTTATTTTTTATCCTCTATCACTTTAATAGTTTCACTTTATTAGTTGTATTTGATTAAAATAATTTATGTTTTCCCAAATGCAAATTATCTCCTGTAATAAGTATATTTTTGTTTTTACAAATAGCAAAAAACAGGGAGGAAAGAATTTCATTGGTGATCTTTAATGGTTGAGATTTCAGTTTTCAGATGTTTTTCATAAGTGGCCTTGGGGGGAAAAAAACTCTAAAAGAAAATATATTAGGGATCATTCCTTTACTTTAAGTCTTTTTTTTTTAAAAACAGTATTAAAGTAATACATTTCTAAAAATTCAAGAAACATTTTTATGCAAAAACTGTTAGCTATTATAAACTGATCTGTGTTTTAAAAAAAATAAGAATTTTTTTTAATGCAATTTAAAAAGCAATTATATTTTGTCAGGTAATAGTGTTGTAATTTAATGAAATTTTTTGTTCCAGTCTTTTTCTTTATGATCTTAAGTTTTGACTTGAAGAAAAGATTGTAGAAACTAACACTACAAGAAGGTACATTTTCTTTCAGTGTTGAAAACAAATACCAACAAGATAAATAGTTGACGATCACAACTATCCACCATGATCAAGTGTGAGTTCATTTTCTGTGTCTTCAGTTTCTGACTGTCACAACCGCTTAGTTTGATTTATATTATTTTACAACTGTTTTACACTTTTTAAAGGATAAAAGAACATCAGATGTTAAACACTATTTTTGTTATCAGCACTAGTTTTTCTTTAGCTTAGAGCTAGCATCTTATGTGTAGATGGTCCTGTACAATTCTAGACATGTCATTATCTTCATATATAAATATATTATACATATGCACCTGATGAGTATAATAAAAAAAAACTTTCAGGATTTTAATTCACCTGTTGTCTTTGTCTCTGGCAGATGGCATTGTTTCAGCTGTTGTTTTTTTTATATCCTTTATCACACATTAAGTACTTGAAGGATTGAAGGAAATCATTTTCTGAGCTGAGTTGAAAAGATTAAAGGTGCTTGCCAACTCTAGAAATTTATTTTTAAGTCAAGGATTTTGTTGCCTTAACCCATCAAACACTTAGCATAAAACGAAACGAGATTTTTTTTTAAGATCCGTGCTGAGAAAAGCGAAGATGGTTTTACAAATTTACAACATGGAGGGTATTGTGACAACAAGCACAACACAGTTCCTCCTGGCAACAAATACAAAATGTCATCCTGACAACCAGCACAAGACTTGTCATCCTGGCAACAAATACAAGATGTCATCCTGGCAACCTACACAAAACATGTCATCCTGGCAACCTGCACAAGACTTGTCATCCTGGCAACCTACACAAAACATGTCATCCTGGCAACAAATACAACTTGTCATCCTGGCAACAAATACAACTTGTCATCCTGGCAACAAATACAAGATGTCATCCTGGCAACCTACACAAAACATGTCATCCTGGCAACCTGCACAAGACTTGTCATCCTGGCAACAAATACAAGATGTCATCCTGGCAACAAATACAAGATGTCATCCTGGCAACCTGCACAAGACTTGTCATCCTGGCAACAAATACAAGATGTCATCCTGGCAACCTGCACAAGACTTGTCATCCTGGCAACAAATACAAGATGTCATCCTGGCAACAAATACAAGATGTCATCCTGGCAACCTACACAAGACATGTCATCCTGGCAAAAACCAGCACCAAGAAATGTCATCCTGGCAACCAGGACATGACATGTCAATTGTTATCTGGCAAACAGCATTAGGCACTTATCACCTGGTAACCATGATAATTCTCTGGGTGGGGGGGGGGGAATTTGACAAGGAGATAATTTATTTCAGGAGTGATTGACAGATGAATTATGTCTGTCCCTAACAGGGACCTTGTCAGAATCTCCAGCCTTTATCCTTAACACTCTCCTTATCCCTAACACTAAAAATAGTCTGATCATATCCTTATGTATAATTTTAACCGTATTGTTATCTATAACCTTATCAATTGACGGACATCCTGATCCCGTTGATGATACTGAACTTCGTGGTGAGTACGACTTACTGTGGGTAGCCAGTGGCGTAGGAAGGGGGGGTTAGGGGGTCTTAATCCCCCCCCATAGACCCCTCGGTATATATATATATTAAAAGTATGAGGGGGGTTGCAAATCAAAAGTTTGAGAGGGGGGGGGTGCAAATCGAAAGTTTGAGGGGGGGGGGGGGTGCAAATCGAAAGTTTGTCCCCAGGTAAAAATTGGAACCCCCCCCCCTTGAGACGATCCTGGCTACGCCACTGTGCAGAGGCGTAGCGACCCTTCCCGGCGCCCGGGGACATACTTTCAATTTGGCGCCCCACTCGGGAGCAAATTTTCGATTTGCACCCCCCCCTCGAACTTTTCATTTGCACCCCCCCTCAAACTTTCGATTTGCACCCCCCCCCCTCGAACTTTTCATTTGCACCCCCCCCCCCTCGAACTTTTCATTTGCACCCCCCCCCCTCAAACTTTCAATTTGGCGCCCCCCTAAGGTCAGCGCCCGGGGACATATTTCCCCCCTACGCCCCCCCCCTCGCTACGCCTCTGCCACTGTGGGTAGCTATACTTGTTAGCTGACCATATTACATTGTGTTAAGTTGGTGTAAATTGTGAGTACGATGTAATCCCAGCAGCCATGTTAGGTTTTGACCTGGAAGCAGTGGCGTAGCGAGGTCGGGTGTCACCCGGTGCGGCACTTAATGGTGTCACCCCCCCCCCCCCTCCCCAGAGGCGTAGCGACCCTTCCCGGGGACAAACTTTCGAATTTTCGATTTACACCCCCCCCCCCTCGAACTTTCGATTTGCACCCCCCCCCCCCTCTCAAACTTTCGATTTGCACCTACCCCCTCAAGTTTTTCTCTATATATTTTGCTATTTTTTTTGCCTTGGTGTCACCACCCCCCCCCCTAAATGGTGTCACCCGGTGCGGTCCGCACCCCCCGCCCCACCCCTCGCTACGCCTCTGCCGGGAAGTTTAATGATCTGAACGATGGCTGTCTTAGGGATTGGTGTGGTGGCATTTTCTTTGTATTTTTGTTATAGTTTCTGAACTTTGGAGGGGATTTGGGTAGAACAAATAATAGATATGTAAACTTGCAATACAATGTGGTCTTCTTCTTTTGCGAATAATTGAGTTTACGTTGGAGTATTTAAACAAAAGTCCAACTTCGTGGATGAACTGGAATTTATGACATACGATTCCACAGTGGGATAGGCAAAGGGGGGGGGAGTATACAGTAGAATCAAGTAGATAAAGTAATTGCGCACCAGATGAACGTAAACAATGTGTGTATAATACAGCGAAAAATTAGTACTTTATAAAGAAACTATAATACATATACAATTATAAATATACGAGCCACCCGCGGCGTAACATACGCCGCTATTTAGTTGTTTTATTTTCTACTTTTCAGTAATTCATAATTTGACAATTCGCCATTAGTCTCTCTCCCGGGACAGAGCCCCCCCCCCCCCCCGGAAGAAAGTCTACCACCCCCCCCCACCCCACCCCCCCCCCCCAACGAAATTGAGTTTATATAGAAATTTTTTTATACTTTTACCAGTGTCCGCTCCCAACCCCCGGAAAGTTTAGTCCGTCACCCCGAAAATATCAATCCTCACACAGAGGCGTATCCAGGTTTTCGTTGTAGGGGGAGCGAAAAGAGAAAAAAAAGGCGCCGAATTTTTAACACGTTCTATATACGTGTATTATATATATATATATATATATATATATATATATATATATATATATATATATATATATATATATATATATATATATGTATATATATATATATATATATCCCCGAAGAGATGCCTGGAAGAAACTCTGATACATATATATACTATACATATATATACATATATACATATATATACGTATATATATATATATACATATATATACATACATATATATATATATATATATATATATATATATATATATATATATATATATATATAATTATATTTTTTTGTTTCAAACAAAAAATATGAACATAGGATACTCATTTCTGGCCTGATCGGGTTTTTGAAAAAAAAAATGTTTTTTTTTTTTTTTTTTTTTTTTTTTCAATTAAAACAAATTACAACATCTCATGTGTGTGAGTGCATTAGTGTTTTTGAAAATCTGTTTTAATTTGTGTCGGCCGAAATATTTCATTACCCCAGGGGTCGGCCAGCAACCTTTTGAGACGGAAGAGCCAAAAGTTACAATTTACAAAATTTCCAAGTTTTTTAAGAGCCACTAACATTTTTATTTCAATATTTGGTATTTGATTAGGATTGGGTTAATAAATTTGAATTTGTTTTTTTTTTAAAGTATATAAAATGAATTACTTTTTAAATATTTATTTAACTTTTAATATTTATTCATATGAAAACATACATATGTTTGGCCAGAATAATAAAATTAGTAATCAACTGACTGGCTTGGGTATCGGTTTGATTACCGTGTATCGGCACTTCTGTCCTTAGGTTTTCACCAGGATTATCTTCCACCCTACTCGTACCCCACAGTCCAGTACCTGGCTCAACTGTAGGAAGCTAAAAAAAAAACACTACGTCAATTAGGTCAAATTAATGATTACGGACGGACAGATAGAGAAATGCATTCTAAATAAAATAACATCCCCCATTAAACGATATTCAAAAAAGTCGGCACTTAGGCAGTGGCAAGTGCCACGGGGCTGTCCATAGCACGGCTGTGGGGTTGGGCCTGGTACCCAAGCGGCTGTCAGCTGTCCGTATACTCTCTATTGCGCCTATTCTCACTGTTTTCTGATGAGTGTTTGTGTCATGTTTAAGGTTGAGTTTCTTTGCTGTGAGTTTTAAAAATGAAATAATATAACTTTTAAATTTGGTGCAAGGAGCTGGACAGCCGACGTGGTTGTCGACCCCTGGATTACCCCAACTCAGTCAAAAGAATATGAAATATCAAAGCTGTGTATATGTAATGGTTTCTCGTGTTATGTTTATTTGTATGTCTTTTTATATTTATGTAATTAATTTTAAATACATTTCCTTTCTATACTATGTCATTGTTTAGTATGTATTTAAAACATTAATTAAGAGAAGGAATTGCTTTTTAATTGTTTAGTACAAACCTATTAAATGAGCTTATGAGCACCCCTATTTGACTATTTAAAAAAGGGAAATAAGTCATGGAAGTGGTTTAAACGTTTGCCTATCTTTCACAGTGGTTTAAAAAAGAATAATTATACAAGAGCGTGGAATGGTTCCTATAGAATAAAGATAATCCAACCGCAGGTACAGTATTCTTTTAACAAAACAACCATCAAGTAAACCCCGCATTGTGGGGTCTGGTGACACTGTAGTTTCGCCCCTGAAGACAACAATACTTCTATTAGAAGTTTTATTAGGCCTATCCTCTAGCTTAGGGCGGGGAGAGGGGGTGGAAAAAATTGAGTTAACTCCCCTAGCGGCTGTAACAAAACATTGCACTACTAGGCCTAGGTAACTAGATTTCTAGATCTAGAGCTAGGTCTAGAATAGATGGCGGATGTGTTCAAATCAAGTTTATAGGCGGAAGTTTATTTGAATTCTAAGCATTCGTAATTTCAAAAATGAAAAAGTTATGGCATGCAATAAAAAAAGATGACGATGGGCATTCATCATCGCGTGCAGCGAGAAGTATATCGATACCATACCCTTCTTTTGGTATTAACCGTGACAGATCAAAAAGCATTGAAAATATTGCTTCTTTAAGTAAGCTACATATGGCTGCCTGGAAAGGTGATCTAGCCACAGTTTTAGAACTTGCCAAAGACGACCCCAACCCAATCGATAAAGAATTAAAAAGGTAAAGAAAGAGTAAAGCGTTAATCTGAGAGAGAATAAATTACTAAAAGTAAATTAAAATAGATCTTGATCTAGAGATCTAGATCTAATCTAGATATTTTTTAGATCCAGATCCCAGTCCTGACTAAATAATAAAAATAAATATTATTAGATCTTTAAACTTTAAGAACTAAGGTAATCTAATAAATAAATTTTTAAATTTAGATAGATCTAGATCTAGTAGATATCGTTTAGTCATTAGTGGTGTTAGGACGTAAAATCGGCGGAGACTAGATATAGATCTAGAATCTAGATCAGAGTAGATCTAGATCTAGAGATCTAATCTAGATCTAGAATCTAGATCCAGAACAGTAATAGATCAGTTAGATCTAGTCTAGATCTAGACTCTAGAATGTGAAAAAAAGGTGACTCATTACATTTTTAAAATTATTTCACATTTTTAGGAAGATTTTACCATTTGAAAGACAAAATGTTTGAAAGACAAAATGTTTCAAAGTTTCATTAAAGTACCTGTTTTTAAACAATTGTATTAAAACTTTTCAGTAAAAAATAAAGACTAGTGATGCAACCAAGCTCATTCACTTTAGACTTTAGCAGCCACCTTGTTTAATTTCTTTTTGATAAAATTATTGTTCGAAATTCATGGGAAACCACTCTAACTTACAGATGGCCACTGTTTATATCGCAAACACTGCTGTTTAAAGTTAATTTCTGGCCTAAATTGATATAGAGGTTTATATAGTCATTGATTTTGGTTTATTATTCAGTTATCTATAATATTTGACACAAATATATCACAATATGCTTCTATTAAAGCCTTAACAATGAGCAACTTTTTCGCACATTACTAGCTTCCGCAGATTTTACACACCTAAAACGATAGATTACCTTTGATTATTATGAACACCACACAGAACAGAGTATTGGAAATCAGTCTGCAAGATATATCAAGTATCTAGTCTAGTCTTATTTTATTTATTATATATATATTGTAATACAGTGGTACCTTGATAACTGGGTAAACGGAAAAAAAGTCACAGGAAAAAAAAACACAGAAAAAAGTCACAGTTTTTGCTAGGAAAAAAAATCACAGAAAAAAAGTCACAGTGGAAAAAAATTTTTGGAAAAAAAGTCACAGAAATAAAGTCACAGAAAAAAAGTCACAAAAATATTTTTAGAAATATTTTTTTTATTTGTTTAGAATTGTAAAATTTTGTATGTTTCTTGTTGTGGGTTGTATTTTTTATAGCATAAATTATTTATAGACGTTAAAAGCATTATGGTTTATAACAATTGTAAGTAAAAATACTCTAATATAATTTACACAACAATCTCAACTTTTGTTACGTATTTAGTTAAAAACGCAGTAGAAAATTTAACTATAAAAAAAATTTAGGCACATTTTGCCGTAGGCTATTCTCTGGTCGGCCTCTCCTCAGTAGGCATTGTCCGAACATATTTTGTGTTGTTGACGTCATGCGTCAATGACAGCATTTGAACCTTGTCGGCTTTCTTTTTTTATCCTAAGTGTTGTTATGTAATGAGCGTGATAAATGTGGGCAGTAAAGGTGGTTGAACTAAACATCTAAACATAACTATTGTGGCCATGAGTTGAGGGCAGCAAGTCAGATGAACTTACCATTTCACGGTAATTTAATGTTGGTATTTTAAAAAAAACAGATTAAAACCGTGGACTTTGGAGCATTCTATTAAACGCTACTAATCTAAAGTTTAAAATAATTACAATCTACATACTTCATACTAAATATTTTTAGATGAATTATAAAAATTCCTATGCGTATACAGCCTACACACATTACATTACATTTAATTAATCCTAAGTTAATTTGCACTCTCTGAATATTTAATACATAAAAGTATTAACAAGTATCATGCAAATATATATTTGTGACTTTTTTTCCTGTGACTTTTTTTCCTGTGACTTTTTTTCCTGTGACTTTTTTTCTGTGTTTTTTTTTCCTGTGTTTTTTTTTCCTGTGACTTTTTTTCCTACAATCGATAACTGAGCACCCAGACATACAAGATTTTTTAGAAATGAGCTTTTGAACAAATGATTTTTCACTTTGAGCAAAATTTGAGATAAAAGCCTCACGGGTTTCACAGTTCATTGAAAAAAGCAATCTTGAAAAATGTGCATCTAATTATTTAATGACACTTGTTTAACTCATTTTTGCTAAATTTTGAATGGGAGGAAGAGACAAAACCTCCATAATTACATAATTATTATAAGAATACCAGACTAAACCAGCAAATTAAAATAATAAATAACAAATAATAAAATCATTTTCAGAAGCCCATTGCATTTAGCTTGCATTCAAGGACATGCTAAAATTGTGGAAGCACTTCTCAATAATAATGCATTACCAAACCTTGAAGACAAACAGAGCAAAACTCCATTGATGCGAGTAAGATGTGCAAAATATATCTATAATATCTTATTCCTTTTATGATGTAAAAATAAATGCTGTTATTTCCTTCGAGTAAAATCAATAAATTTATTTATATGTGAATATAGTGAGTATAGGATGGCATAGCTTAGCCATAGAGAGCTATACAAGTAAAAAAGTAAAGTTTTATTTTCAAACCTGACGGTCTATAGGCCAAGTGAAGTAGAGTTCACTTGTTTCTGTGACCTTGGCATATGAAGAGATAGTGTGGTCAGCACTATGCCCAGACGCCTTTACTTTCCCTAATGTGAGTTCGGTACCCATCAAAGTTGGGTGGACTCAGGGATGGTCTGCTGACTTGAACCCGGATTCGAACTCGAGACTAACAGGTTAGCAGTCCAGCTCTCTACCGCTAGACCACTCCGTCACATAGAGAGCTATACTGCTAAACCAAAAGTCTTGAGTTTGAATCCCGTTTCAAGTCTGTAGAACGTCCCTGAGTCCAACAGCACTGATGGGTACTTAACTAAGGAAAACACAGGCACTTGAGCATAGTGCTGACCACACTACCCCTTCATATGCTGAGGTCTCTGAAATGGATGAACTCTACCTCATCTGCCCCATGTGTCTAGTGCAGGAACAGGAATATATGATATAGTGCATTTTGTCCAATTTTCAAATTACAAAATATATTTAAAATATCATTTAGTAAACTTCTTTTCCCTATATGTATTTGACTATTGTATTTTCTTTTTAGGCTATTGAGTTCGGTCATGAAACATGTGTTGATCTGCTTCTGAAGAAAAATCCTGACGTTAGTGGTACTGACTTTCAGGGATTCACTCCTCTTCATCTAGCCATAATAGCAGGAAATGGTAGCATTCTTAAAAAAGTTTTGAATTTCAGAGCCTCAGTAAATGCAGTTTCTAAGGTAAATGTTATTAAAAATGCACTTTAAAGAGCCTGCAAAAAAGAACATTTTATATATTTTGGAATTTTGGGTTGGTTTAGACACCATCAATTACTTACAAAACATATAAACTATAAATGTTACATAATATAACTATAATTTTTGTGTTTGCTACTACTGGGTAACTTCTTTGTCAGTTTGCTAATTTTCAGCTGGGCCACATTAGTGTATCTAAATAAGCAACTGGCCAACCATTGCTATAAGAAATTGACAAGTGAATTGTAGGAAAATGGGAATTGAAAAGAAACAAAGAAAATAAATTGTTGTGTTTCTTGTGTATCATAGACTATGTGATAAGTTGAAATTCATTAAACTGCAGGATGGCTTTGCCCCTATTCATTTGGCTATTGTCAAAAAGGAGCTTGGGAACTTTACTGAACTGGTGAAGAGACATGCAGATATTAACATTAAGGATCCAAATGACAGGTAGAATTATAAGTATATTTCTTAAAGGTTTTCTGACCTTTTTTTTATTAAAAAAATAAAAAACACTGTATACACTTTTTTTCTGAAAATGTAATAAAATATTCTTTGAATAGATTATTTTTCCCTTTACTAGGAAGATCAAAATTTCTAAAAATGATTGCAACTTTTTTTTCAGGACTCCTCTTATTTTAGCTTGCAAGGAGGGCCTGCTTTCATTTGTCAAATTGTTGTTGCAGAACAATGCTGACATTTTTCACAAAGATAAAAATGGTGGATATTTCACTTTTGACCTTTTTCCTTTTAACATATTAGTCTAGATGCACAATAGTTTGTTTAGTTATTTTTTTTAGAGATGCCATGAAAATTAATGAAGTTATAATTTTTGTGTACATCTATCCTATTAATAAAATGTTTTTAAAATTTAGATTATTTTTTTCTTAATCTCTAATTTGAATTAGAGCCAATGGTTTAATGTACCCTAACATTTTAGGCTTCATTTAAAATTATTAGTAGGATAACCGATGGTATTAATTCAATTACCTGCATTGAACTTTTGTCCATTTTGTAAGGTTTCACTGCTTTGGATTACGCTGCAGCTCACCCTGAGATTAAAAGAGTGATTGCTGACTTTCTGAAATCATATGATACATCTCAGTATTATGGAATGCAACACAACCTGTCTGAAGGTGAGGGTATTTAAGTTTATTTCTAGAATTATATGCAGTTGATGCGCTACTGTAATAAACACTTTACTATGCTTTACATTCGGCCCAAGACACATGATGGAGATGAAGTAAAGTTCATGTGTTTCAATGACCTTGGAATACAGCGAATAGTGTGGTCAGCACTATGCCTAGCCGTATTTGTTTTCTCGAAGTAATGCAGGTACCCATAAACAATATTCCCTCTAAGGGGGAAAAGCTAGTGTGCAAAATGTATTTCTGTGCGCACTGTTCTAAGTCTTTTACAAGGATTTTTTTTTTTACAAAATAACTGCGGCAGCTCAAAACTACTGTGCGGCCGCACAACTGCGCAGCTAAGAGGGAACATAGCCCAAAAGAGCTGGCTGAACTCAGAGATATCCAACAGACTTGAGCCCATGATCCAAACTCCAGGCTTTCAGTCTAGCAGTTTTAATCTTTACAATCCGACCGCGCTGTTCTTTGCAAAAAAGAATGCTTTATGTTGATTGAAATTAAATGTTACCTTTTTTAATGGTAAGGTAGCACGACATTTTGTCCAGGTATATTTTCTCTGTAAGTGGCTCTGTAAAAGTCAGGATTACGGTTAAGGTCTCTAATAGTAAAAAAAAATTACTGAAAGTAAATCTTGCCAATGTTAAATAAGTACCATATTATGTTCTTAAAAAACATGACTGTTTCTAATCAGGCAGAGAAGATTCAAATGAGGATATCAGCATCAAAACTCTTAGTTCAGATTCCTCCAAAGTTACTCCTGGAAGTCAGTCAAACAAAATTCAAAACCCTTCTCAGAGACAGAAGGTAACATCAAATTTATTCATAGTATGAAAGTCATGATGAACGACTTTTACCTAAACCTAATGTTAGAATTTTGTCCAAGTCTGCAGCTCTTCTGCCATTCGCAGCCAAGGCAAGGGATAGTAATGTAATAAAAGAAGAAAAGGAAACTGATAAGGAAACATTGGCGGAACTTTCTGCAAACATTTCTTTTGGCACTATATATATATTTAAAAAGTAAAATAAAAGAATCCTTTTTAGACCTATGGATCTACTGGGTGGATGAAGTAGAGTTTATAAGTTTCTTGACCTTGGTGTATGAAGGGAAGGTGTGGTCAGCACTTTGCCCAGCAACCTTTACTTTCCTTAACATGAGTCAGGTGGGTGGACAACTGGCTTGGACTCGGATTCGAACTCGAGACTTCCATGCCGTCCCATCCCAAGAAATGTCATTTATTAATAGTAATTGAATAATGTTCAATCAATTAGTTTAATAATGAATAACATTATTTTAAAAAGATTAAAAAAAACTTTCCTTGTTTTGTGTCTATGCAAGTAAATTAATATCTGCTGACTAGTGTCTGACAGAATGTGCAGAAGTAATGAATGCATGGTTGATAGTTCACAAACAATTCATTTATCTATTTGCTAATTGTGAGGTTAAAGGAAGGGGGGGGGGGAGCTGGGAAAAGAACTTGAAAAGGTTAACAAAGCGTCAATTTTGTCAACATCAATAGTGCCGAATTTGGGATGGGTGAAACTTTTCCAAAAACCCAAAGGTAACACATCTGTTGATTCTTGATTTATACTTCATACTACAAACTTCCGCACAATTGGCTGATCCAGTTTGGTCTCTTTTACTCTTGTTCATTATATATCTTCCATAAGCAATGAAGTGTCCCAGTTAGCTCTTTCTTTTCTAAATCTCAAGATTCTTACCATCAGTTATACAAGACTTTTCAAGAAGAGTGAAACAGATAAAACAACTGAGAGATAGAAAATGTGACACTTAAACTGAAGAGATAACATTTTATAATGTGTTCATTGTTTCATGGAAAGATAACTATCTTGAATAACATCCCATTACTAATGCTATATTTTTCCCTCTTCAAGTCCCCAGGCCCTAATCTTGATAAGGGATTAAAATCTTCTTATTCTTGGGGAAACGATGTAAAGAAAAGTGACAAGAAATCTTCCGAGGTAATTTTATTTTAATATTCTGCTTAGTATCTACCAGTGTATGATTAACCCCAGTCCTTCCACGGATACTTCAAGACTTGGTAAATGAACAAGATGACTATTGTACTCACTGTAGACATTTCAGACAACAACGCCTTTGCATTGTATGATGGCAAGTCAGTGAAAGTGAAAAATTGAAGGTGAAATCCTTTCAAGATTCAAGAGAGCATTATCACAAACCTGATAGGTGACAAATAAATCAGATTATACAACTATGTTAGAGAAATTACCTATTACCGTAACTTACAAAAATTTGACATCAACCAGTTTCATGGAAAAAAGCTTCAGGATAATTACTACATACACTGCACACAACTAGAGAACAGGAAGCCCAAAGCTTCAAGTGGGTACAACCAAGGTTACCAAATGGCAAGCAAAGTAGAAAACAAAAACCCAAAAAAAAACTCATTAGGAGGGAAAATGTCTACCCTGAGAAAACCATAGACATTCAACATTAATTTAATTGAATTACAAGGAAAAAAGCAATAAAGATGCTTCTTGCCACAAATCCAAATAACTACAGTAACACCCAGGTGAGAGAAAGAGGCAAGACTAGCAACAGATAGACAGAAGAGAGCAGCCATACCACAGCAATTATTCTAGAAGATGAGAGAAAGATACAAGACCAGCAACAGATAGACAGAAGAGAGCAGCCATATCACATCAATTATTCTAGAAGATGAGAGAAAGATACAAGACCAGCAACAGATAGACAGAAGACAGCAGCCATACCACAGCAATTATTCTAGAAGATGAGAGAAAGATACAAGACCAGCAACAGATAGACAAAAGAGAGTAGCCATACCACATCAATTATTCTAGATGATACATGGCACCAAAGGAAAGAGACAATCATAAAGTGATAAAAAATAGATAATAAAAAAGACAATAAAGTGTAGAAAAATTTCAAAAATCAAAGCATGTAAAAGAAAACATTGTAAAGAAAAACACAAAAGTTTGTTAAATAAATTGTCTTAAAGTTGCCCATTAATATTATGCCGTTAAAAATAATTTAAAAACATTTTCTAATTAAAGAAACAACACTCATAGTACAAAGGTTAGGATTTATAGTACTTAATCATTCCCGTAAAATATTTCTATTGTAACCAGTAAATATGCACAGGATCTTAAAACTAAGTTGGTTGAACATTTTATTTCCAAGTCTGCAGTTTCACTACCAATACCATCATCAAAATCTTTTAGCTCTACCGGTGTTGAAGTAAAGAAAGATGAAACCAAAACAGAAAAGGTAACTTAACTTTAATTTGCTCATGTTTTTTGTTGATTCCTTAAACAAATTTTTATGTATTATATTAAATGTCAACAACAAAAAAGTCCTCTCCTTTACAAGTCTACAGCCTTTTTGCCGTCAGAGTCATCAAAAACAACGGAGATTAATATTGATAACAGTAGAAAACAAAATAGTGAAGCGAAAGCTGAGAAAGTAATAGTTTTTTTTAAATGTGCAAAGGCCTACCGTATTAAAGGCTGTTTTATGTATCATACCTTATTACAAACTTTTATTTAACTTGCTTCCTCATAACTGGCGAATGAAATTTCGACCACTTTTTAAAGTTTCTTATATAAAGCACTATTTACCGCTCTATTATTCACTGCCTAAAAAGTTTTATTAACAAGCCTTTATTTGATGCACTTAAAAGAAGAAAATAAATGATTTTCTTTAAATGTTTAAAAACGAAATGCAATTTAAATAACTAAAACAAAAAGCGTGGTTCGCTTCTTAAATTCTAGTAAACGTATTCAAAATATAACTTAGTGACCCATTGCTTTTCTTTTTAGTTATTTAAATACATGTTCAATATTATTGTAAGGGGAGGTCAGTTGGTTACCTAGAGTTGAGAGAGAGAAGTAATAGTCTTATTCTCTCCCATCTGTGCATCCTTGTTGGTACAAGGAGGTTTACCAGACATGTTCAATGACAATGAAACAATACAAATCATACATGGCCCGTCTTTCATATTTAAGAAAACATCACTTGAATTTCTAATACAAGTAAAAAAGACAAAAATAATTAAACTTACGTTTCAATGCGGAATTATTCACCTTGGCTACTAACATTAATTCACCTGTATGTACACAACTCAGAATTCACACAGGTAAATGTCATCATCCCTAGTCCTAACTTCACTACTTGCACTGCTATGTAATCTAAGAATCACAGGTGTAAATTTTATCATCCCTAGTTCTAACTTCACTAGTTAAATCACGGTTAAATCCTTTCAATGAATACTCATTAGTACTTTCAATGATCGAGTTAGGCACATAAGCGGCAGGAAGATTTCCAAACACAGGAACAAAACATCGGGCCTTTTGTACAAACATCAGCCACATGTATAAACATCAGACCACAGATGCAAATATCTGCCACAGGTATAAACATCAGGATCAGGCCACAGGAATAAAGCACCTATTTACAGGAACAAGACTTTTGGCCATTGGTATAAACATCAGGCCACAGAAGCAAGACGTCGGTTTGGCCAATAAGCCAGCCTTAGGGCTGCCACCATCCAAGGCCTATACTGTAGTATCTAGCCCCAGCTATGTATCTTCCCCATAGGCACCCTTCCTCATATATAGGCTAGTTTTGCCCACCACTTATCTCCCCAGAGCCATAGGATCACGAGTCGGGTTCCATACCATCACTCGACATTTGAAATAACGCCTGTCACTATGTACTCACGCTTTTCACACCCAATAATTGACCGCTATAGATCTTCACGTTGTCTCAGATCTAACGATCGTGTCATGCGCCGCTCGAGATAATGTGGTACTCCCGCCGTGCATCCCACTGACAACTGACCACTACAGGTCCTCATGCTGACTCGCATCTAATGAACCGGCCCAGGCGATAATGTCTCCTTGTGGTCATCAGAATCATGTCTGGCGTCCACCTGCAGGTCATGAGTAATGATTCTGGCTTGATGTCCAGCGGCATGACCGGACTCCACCTCATCATTTTTCTCTTTTTTTAGTGCATAATTACATAAAAGCTTGTTATTAAAACTTTTCAAGCAATTTTTAAATAATATCTAATAACATTTTCTTTCTAATGATATGCTCTCAAAGCCTGCAGGCAATAAATCTTCCACTGGGGCTGAATTGCAGAAACTTGGAACCGTAACTGAAAAGGTACCAACTCTTTTTATTGGCAGCCAGAAATATTATTTATTACCTAAATCTAATTTGAGATGTGCCCATCATTTAATTTTATTATAAAATAAAGTTTTCTCCCAGTCCACAGCTTCTCAAGCTGCTGAGTCAAAAGCTGCTGCAGCTAGTGAAGCAGAGAAGAATGAGGCACAGAAACATGGAACCAAAACTGAAAAGGTACTAACCCTTTTTTATATTAATAGTCAGCTAGATGTATTATTTATTACCTAAATCTAATTCGAGATAAGCCTATCATTTAATTTTATCATAATATAAAATTTTCTCCCAGTCCACAGCTTCTCAACTTGCTGTGGCATCAAAATCTGGTACCACTATTGATGCTGGGAAGAGTGAAGCACAGAAACAAGGAACCAAAACTGAAAAGGTATCAACCCTTTTTTCATAGGCAGCCAGATATTATTTATTACCTAAATCTAATTTGAGAAATGCCTATCATTTAATTTTATTATAAAATAAAGTTTTCTCCCAGTCCACAGCTTCTCAACTTGCTGTGGCATCAAAATCTGGTACTGCTATTGAAGCTGGGAGGAGTGAAGCACAGAAAAATGGAACCAAAACTGAAAAGGTACTAACCCTTTTTACTTTCTCGTATATACGAAGTATAGAGAAAGTCTTGTAATCAAGCAAAAAAAAAAAAAATCGAGATTTTTACAAATCTTGACGTTTTACATCTCACTGATACGGAAAAACATAATTTTGCAATCTTGTCTGTGTGTAGTGTGTCTGTCTGTCTGTGTGTGTGTAAACACGATAACTTGAGTACCGTTACAGCTAGGTTGATGAAATTTCATATATAAGTATTTTATCAAAATCGTAGAGCAATTTGAGCAATTTCCGATAACCGGAAGTGGTACTTTTCCTACTTTGAAATTTTCAAAAGCCTATAACTTGAGTACTATTTCAGATAGATAAACGAAATTTCACATGTAAGTAAAAGATCTAATTCTCTACCTTCTGTTAAATTTTGAGTCATTTCCGTTGACCGGAAGTAGTAATTTACGCTACTTCCGATTTCTCAAAAAACGAATGTAAATTTTTATAGTACTAATAATATTGCGCACTATTATGCACTTTTTTTATTTAGCGTTCACTTAGTGTGCAATTCTTTTGCCTACGAGATTTTATTCTATTTTTAAAACTTTAAGTATTTAAAATGGATTAAAAATCATGTCTATAGCCCGAGTTCCCATCCCCTGTTATTTTATATAAAAATATTCGAGAAAGTTTTGGGGAGATCACTTCCGGTTTATTTATATTTATAGTCAGCTAGATGTATTATTTATTACCTAAATCTAATTCGAGATATGCCTATCATTTAATTTTATCATAATATAAAATTTTCTTCCAGTCCACAGCTTCTCAACTTGCTGTGGCATCAAAATCTGGTACCACTATTGATGCTGGGAAGAGTGAAGCACAGAAACATGGAAGCAAAACTGAAAAGGTACCAACAATTTTTTCATAGGCAGCCAGATATTATTTATTTCCTAAATCTAATTTGAGAAATGCCTATCATTTAATTCTATTATAAAATAAAGTTTTCTCCCAGTCCACAGCTTCTCAACTTGCTGTGGCATCAAAATCTGGTACTGCTATTGAAGCTGGGAAGAGTGAAGCACAGAAAAATGGAACCAAAACTGAAAAGGTACCAACCCTTTTTTATATTTATACTCAGCTTGATGTATTATTTATTACCTAAATCTAATTCGAGATATCCCTATCATTTAATTTTATCATAATATAAAAATTTTCATCCAGTCCACAGCTTCTCAACTTGCTGTGGCATCAAAATCTGGTACCACTATTGATGCTGGGAAGAGTGAAGCACAGAAAAATGGAACCAAAACTGAAAAGGTACCAACCCTTTTTTCATAGGCAGCCAGATATTATTTATTACCTAAATCTAATTTGAGAAATGCCTATCATTTAATTTTATTATAAAATAAAGTTTTCTCCCAGTCCACAGCTTCTCAAGCTGCTGAGTCAAAAGCTGCTGCTGCTAGTGAAGCTGAGAAGAATGAGGCACAGAAACATGGAACCAAAACTGAAAAGGTACAACCCTTTTTACTTTCTCGTATATACGAAGTATAGAGAAAGTCTTTTAATCGTGCAAAAAAAATTTAAAAAATCGAGATTTTTACAAATCTCATTAGTATTTTATCAAAATCGTAGATACGTATCAACTTTTCAGCGATTTCTGATAACTGGAAGTGGTACTTTTTCTACTTTGAATTTTTCAAAAACCTATAACTTACGTACTATTTAGGATAGATAAATGAAATTTCACATGTAAGTAAAAGATCTTATTCTCTTCCTTCTGTCAAATTTTGAGTAACTTCCGTTGACTGGAAGTACTAATTTACGCTATCTCCGATTTCTCAAAAAAACGCATGTAAATTTATAAAGTACTAATAATATTGCGCACTGTTATGCAAATTTTGTTTTGGCGTTCACTTGGTGCGCAATTCTTTTTTCTATGAGATTCTATTCTATTTTTAAAAGTTTAAGTAATTAAAAATCATGTCTATATTCCAAGTTATATAAGAATATTCGAGAAAGTTTAGGGGAGATCACTCCCGGTTTATTTATATTTATAGTCAGCTAGATGTATTATTTATTACCTATATCTAATTCAAGATATGCCTATCATTTAATTTAATCATAATATAAAATTTTCATCCAGTCCACAGCTTCTCAACTTGCTGTGGCATCAAAATCTGGTACCACTATTGATGCTGGTAAGAGTGAAGCACAGAAACATGGAACCAAAACTGAAAAGGTACCTACAAATTTTTCATAGGCAGCCAGATATTATTTGTTTCCTAAATCTAATTTGAGATATGCCCATCATTTAATTTTATTATAAAATAAAGTTTTCTTCCAGTCCACAGCTTCTCAAGCTGCTGAGTCAAAAGCTGCTGCAGCTAGTGAAGCTGAGAAGAATGAGGCACAGAAACATGGAACCAAAACTGAAAAGGTACCAACCCTTTTTTCATAGGCAGCCAGATATTATTTATTTCCCAAAATCTAATTTCAGATATGTCCATCATTTAATCATATTATAAAAGTTAATGTTTACGTTTGTTTATGTTTGCGATACGTTTACGTTTGTGTGTTTGTTTGCGTTCGCATTAGCTTTTATGTTTGTGTTTTTGTTTGCATTTGTGTTAATGATTGTGTTTGTGTTACATTTACTTTTGTGTTTTAGTTTGTGTTCTGTTTGGATTTAGTTAGGCTTAAGTTTACATTTAGAGTTAGGGTTATGCGTCCATATTTGCATATAGGCATTTAATTGGAAAAGGAATATATTTCTTAAACTCGGGCAATGCAGGGCATATCCTTCTTAAAAAACACACAAGTCATGGTCCTTTACAGATAGGTTTTTCACAGAGGCTTGTGCAGGGCCTGGCCTCGATGGCTAGTCTTATTATAAAATAAAGTTTTCTACCAGTCCACAGCTTCTCAACTTGCTGAGTCAACAAAAGCTGCTACTGCTAGTGAAGCAGAGAAGAATGAGGCACAGAAACATGGAACCAAAACTGAAAAGGTACCAACCCTTTTTTATATTTACAGGCAGCTAGATGTATTATTTATTACCTAAATCTAACTTGAGAAATGCCCATCATTTAATTTTATTATAAAATAAAGTTTTCTTCCAGTCCACAGCTTCTCAAGCTGCTGAGTCATCAAAAGCTGCCCCTGCTAGTGAAGCGGAGAAGAGTGAAACAAAAGCTGAAAAGGTAACCATAGATGTTTCATTCTATCCAAGTCTGGAATGTTGGTTACTTTAAACAAATTTGAATTAGATATTTTTAAAATATGGTTTTTACGGAAAGTAAAACTAACTTTTTTTTTCCTTCTCGGTTCTCTGTCTTCACAGTCAGGAGCAGAGTCCTCAGGGAATGATAAGGCGGCAAGCAGTGACACTAATAGTGAAAAGGTATGTGTATGTTTGAATTTGAAAACTATATGACAGTCATTTTTAAACCTGAAATCTGAATGTGAAAGTAAAAGCGTTGTTGCAACATGGGTTTGAGAAGTGTTTTATTCTTCATCCTGTTGTAATCTGTCTTGCTTAAGAGCCTTGCTTGAGCTGGATATGCTTGTACTAGAGTGATTCATTATCAATATCTTTAGTCTGTAAGTAAAATTAGTTCCTTTTTTTAACCTGACAGGGGCATATGGAAAGATAGTGTGGTCAGCACTATGTCCAGCACTTTACTTTTTTTCATAAAGGGAGTTAGGTATCTATCAGAGCAGGGTGGATTCAGGGATGTTCTACTTGAGACTTTCGGGTTAGTCTAGTGCCCTACCACTAGGCCATGCCGTACCACTTAGTCTGAAAGATATTACTTAAATCTGTCTTAAAATAAATTACTCTTTCTACTCCAAGACTTCAGTTTCTCAAACATCAGAGCCATCAAAAGAAACTACGGTTGAACCAGAAAAGCATGAAGAAAAAGAAAGAAGAAAAGAAACTAAATCTTATTATCCGGTAATATTATTTTATTACATTATTTTAGAGCTTGAATTTAGTATGAATGACTATCAACATTCGTACTTTCTACACAAATAATAATCATCTCTTGTCACTCTTAACCCTTGGTTCTCAACTTAGGACTAAAAGTGTTCCTTAACTGGCCTAATGGTAGCCAGTCTGCCGTCAATGGTCAGATTAATCATTCCATCTGCTGTCTGTAATGGACTAGCAGCAAAATGTTAAGTTATATAATTAGGTCACTTAAAATAATAGAATGTAGTTGCCAGTCACCTTATAGATTCCCTATGTAGGTAGTGTCTAGATTGGATTCCTCTGAAGCCATTGGCCTATTAGAATCCCATTAAAACGAAATCATCATATATTTTCTTATTATTTCTATATACCTCATCAACATCCTTGATTAAAAAAATAGACAGTGTAAGTTGTAAGTCATCAGTCTCATACTTTCATAGAATCAATAACATACATTATGGCCCTTTTAGACACAATGCTTTCTTTTACTGCAGTGCTCTAATAAATGAAAATAATTTTCACTTATTGATTGGTGCATAACTTTAAATAAACCGGAAGTGATCTCCCCTAATCTTTCTCGAATATTCTTAAATGAAACAACAGGGGATGGCAACTCGGGATATAGACATGATTTTTAATCCATTTCAAATACTTACACTTTTTAAAATATAATAAAATCTTGTAGAAAAAATTGCACACCAAGTGAACGGCAAAAATTATTATTAGTACTTTATAAATTCACATGCGCTTTTGAGAAATCAGAAATAGCGAAAATTACTACTTCCGGTCAACGGAAATTACTCAAAATTTGACAGTAGGCAGAGAATTAGATGTGAAATTTTGTTTATCTATCTGAAATAGTACTCAAGTTATAGGCTTTGGAAAAATTCAAAGTCAAAAAAATTCAACTTCCGGTTATCGGAAATCACTCAAAAGTTGATATGGATCTACGATTTTGATATAATACTTATATATGAAATTTCATCAACCTAGCTGTAACGGTACTCAAGTTATCGTGTTTACACAAACACAAGCTTGCAAAACTATGTTTTTCCAACTCAGATAGCTGTAAAATGTCGAGATTTTAAATCTCGATTATTATTTTTTGCACGATTACAAGACTTTCTCTATACTTCGTTTATATGAGAAAGTAAAAATTTGAAAGCTACAGAAATATTTTCCATACAGATGATTGCAAATTTTATATATGTGTGTGTGTTTGTGTATATATATGTATAATGTATATATAAATAATATATATAAGATAAAAGTAACAACTTCACATTAAGTATTGAATATTTGTGCTCAATTATATGTAAAATAATTGTTTATAGGAGGTCAAGGTTTGCCATATAAAGAGCCAGTATCTTTGATCAAGTCAATGCTGAATAGCTGGTGAAAATCAAGATAACTGTTGACATTGTACTCATCTTTCTTCCAATGCTCTACACTACACATAACTTTGTAAATTGTAAATATGCATGCATGCTTGGATCTTGTGCTCTTACATCAGTGAACACAGTTTTATTTTGTACATTTGCTATATATAGGATTTTATTTATGAACATACAAATACATCTTTAAAAGATAAAAAATGTAACAATTGGAAGATTTTATTAAAAGAACTACTACAACACATACATTTAACCTTATTCATTTCCATGAAAATGTATGGTTCAATACTTAAACAATAACTTTGTGCAGTTTTTAATTATAATACAAAAAAATTAACATCATAAATTATGTTGAAAGGTAACAATGCTGACCATTCATGTAAATATGCCATTGTAACATTTAACAGACATAATTTTAAAAAATACAAACTGAGTGCTTTAACTTTTTGGTTTCAAGTTTTTCTGTGTGAATTAAGTAGCTTTACATCACCGCAAAGTGTTGCAGCTGATTACATTGTGCCTAAACTAAAAATGGCTATCTTGTCTTGCTACTTTTTTTCTAAAAACATGGGTTATATGTCTAAGATGAGGAGAAGGGCTTAAGTTAATGTGTATGAATAAAGGAAGTGCTACATTAGCACAGCTGAAGTCAATAAGGTGAAAACATTTTTTTTAACATCCATGGATATTTCCAGGGAACATCTGCTAAGTATCCATAGCCAGGGTTGACTGACTAAAGAAAAAGCTTTGACGTTATTTTGAATGCACCTTTTTAATTTTCAACCAAAAAAAAAACCACCATGAAATACATTTTTTTTTTACTGTTAGAAACTAAATTTGTTTCCAGGGAGAAAAAGTAGTCTGTTACACCTGTATATTGAAGCCTTTATGATTTGTATCATATATAAATACACAGATTGTGTACAATATAGTACTGGTGCCTAACTTCATTGGGGAACAAGAAAGGCAGGTGGGGATTGCTCTAAACATGCAATCACTTCAATAATCCGAAATAATTACATAACATTACTGTTATTGCTATGATTAATTAAACAAAGTATGGTAAATAAGCTGTCACAGAGATACCATTTAACCACCTTTGAAATGTTTCAGACTCCAACTAAATTATGCTAGTTTTTACAGAAATGGCCGTGTGCTTCATCTTATGATTCAATTAAAAACAGAAATCACAATATAAAAGCATAATTTCAGAAGATAGCTTACATTTTTTTTAATATAAAACCCAAATAATACAAATACTTGAAAATAAGAATTGGTGTGATGATTAACAAATCTAGTAATTTGTCTGATGGAAATGAACCTAGGAGAATGAAGATGATGAATTTACTTTCGGTGATGACCACGTGTTAATAACTCTCCTAAAACAACGCAGCCCTTCAATCATCGGACTCTGAAGGGAAAAAAATAATCACATATTTAAAATTACTACAAGAAATTATACATACGAGGTATTAAGACTTAGTTTATTCAAATTTGTTGGTCACTTTACAATACAGTATAGTAGCAGTAATATACTAACAGTTTTCATGGCTGTGGCCAATCCTGTATTATTGTCCATTAAACCAGGGGCAATGACTCTAAGAGCTAATAGACATGCTGGTAATGTCCTTAAGCCTTGAGCTTGGGTATTCTGTTTCTCAGCTGAGGCAGAAGATAATGGCAATACTGAGAGAGGTATATGCTGGACCCATGGACACCAGTGGTGGTGTTCACTGAGAGGATCTAAAGACTGTTTTATCCCCACCTGCAGTGGCAAATACTCTTATAAATACACATGGAAAATTAATATGGTTCATACAGTTTTAAATCCAAGAGAGGACTTTTCACCAAGAAGAGAAAATCATGTACATTAAAATATAAGTTAATACATTTGGATCAAGTATTTAAAAAATAGACCCTAATAGAGTAAAAAGAGAATAAATCGCTCGTGAGAAAAAAAATGAGGACTTCTAATTTTATTTCCTGTAATTTACTGTAACTAAAAATAGATGTGACAAAAACAACTTACTGATACTCTTTTCTTCTTGGTTGTTGGTTCTCCCTCTTCACACTCATCTTCATCACTTTCTGTGGATAACCTATTACGTGAAGCAGAGGAAATATAGTTCCATAGACCTATTTGCCTGCGGCACATTGAGCACATCAGAACATCTTTGTTTGAAGGGCTAAAATCAGTTTATAAGACAAAGAATAATTAAAACATATTCCAAATAAACTGGTAGCTTAAAGCACAATTAATTAATTTACCAATAAGATGCCACAACCTGCTGTATCATTGAAATAGCAAAGCAACTTTACCTGCAAGTCCATCCAGTGAAAGCTAAAGTAACAAGCTGTGGCGACACATCAGCATCTGGCAGGAGATGCCGCTTACAATATGCACCTCCCTGTCCCTCATCATAACCCTGAAATGTTAGCAGCGAGCTGTTGTAGTGTTTTTTCAATGAGAGTACACAATATTTTTTGATACTTGAGAAGGTCAACTAAAACAATGGGGGAAAAACAACAAACAGGATAAAGAACCAAAATCCAAACTAAAATAAACAGAAGATTGATAGGTTTGGTAATATTTGACAAAGACTTCCATATAGACATAACCAGAAAAAAAAAGCCTATAGTATTATTATAAGATACTCAAAAATAAATAATGCTTTCTTTAATTTCCTGCATTATACTCTGTAGTCATAGCTGGGGACAGCCGCTCTTCTAGGAGAGACAACTCCAAAATTAAACAACTGCTGCCTTGTAGTTTGTTCTTGGTTGGACAAAGGCTATGGAAGCAAATCCAAAAAGAAAAGCAGGCTGAAATCGGAGTCAATGGCCTCAATGGCGCATAAACAGTTGACATGTAACGCTTAATTGTGTTGGAGGCGTGGTCGAGTCGGCAAAAAGCTCATGGTTGATAAATTCGAACAAAGTCTCGAGTTCAAACCCACTGGCAGATAAATCTCGATCCCCCTCAACACTAATAATTAAGAACGAAGAAGAAGAAGATAGACTTCTATAAAGGTAATTAATATTTTTTTATTTTTCAATTTAGGCAACCTACAAAAGGGCTTAAATACACTTTTTGTAAAAAATGAGTTACACCTGTTAACCACATACACAGTTACCATCTTAACACTAAATGTTACAGCCTCCGAAAGGGTACAAATGTTAAATAAACAACATATATGCTATACTTTTGCAAAAGGGCTTAAGTGAAACTGAAATTAACTTGCAAAAGGTTTTAAGCACATATGGACCAATGATATCTAATCTAAGTGTTGGTGGAATCCAATCATTAATTCTCTGATAACCCAAACTTGACACTGAATTCTAAACTGTGTTTATAGAAACCAGATGAACACTCAGGACAATTATTTCACAGATATTGGACCCCACCCTTAACAAAACCAGAGAAAAATGAAGCAATTACACAATTTAGTAATGAGAAAACTACTTTTAAATAAAAAAGCTATTTAAAATTTTTACGGTCCACATTTGACAAAGGAATTTCCAATATCAGCTCAATCACATTGGTGTTTTTTTTCTTTCAGAAAACGATTGTGAAGGTACTTAGGCCCCTTTGCACTTTCCCTCCTCAAATATTTATTCAAAAAACAAATTAGTATAAATTTTGTATGAGCAGTTTACCAATGAGCTTAAATTTTTATTATCAATGGAAGGTAGTCTGTCTTTCATATGGGTCAGTTCTGTTACTCTGTTATTAAAGTCTGTTATCAAATATGCAGGGTCATCAAGCGGTACATGACAAAAATGTTCTGAAAAACATAAGAAATAACAATTTTAAAAAATTAGCTTATTTAAAGATATTGATAGTTTTACTGATAAAAATGTTTATACCTGGACAAGGGTTTGCTGCAAGTACACAAAATTTATCATGGGCTGATAACAAATTTTCTTTCAGTTTATTACAGCTTACTTCATCTGAAACCAAACAAAGAATGTCAGATCCAAAAAGGCAATTACTGTAATTTTCTTAAGAAAATAAATTTGGTTGGTTATAAAAATAAAATTAGATAATATCAACAAAAAAAATTAATCAATTTAAATTTAGCACAAACTGCATACCTAATTGAAAAAAACATTGGGATAATTGAGAAAATAGAATAGAAAAGTGACTACAAACATGTAATATTTACCCTATTATTATAATAAAATGTATTACACAGTATTTATTGTGTGCATAAGTTGAAGATTATTTCTTGGAACTAAAAGAATATGCAAACAAAAAAGTTAAGATTTATACTCACAAGCTTGAAAATCTGTTTTACTTGGAAGTTGACCACTGAGAAAAGCTTTACAACAAACACACTGTAACATATCAGCATCTACATTCTCCCAACCATAACGTGCACATATTAAAGGGCTCAGATCAACAGGGCGTGCAAACCAGGTTAATGAATAAAGTATGTTAAAGAAAAGCAATACAAATATTTCAAAACAATTTTAATAATTTCAATGTTTGTTTTTTAAATCACCAATCTTTCCTGGCATCTGCTCAAAAAATGAGTGCATAGCACTAGCAGTGGTGAATTCAAAATAATACTAAGTAAAAGCTTATTATAACAAAAGGATACTGAAAAACTATCAAGTCTTTCTAAGAAACTAGCATGGCTTCTAAGGACAACAGAACTTGTGCTAGCTTTTGGGACCTCACTATCTTTTCCACTATCTGAATTACTCCCAGCTCCATCAGTTGATCTGAAAATATTTTTTTCAAAAGACTAATAATAAATTACATATCTCAAATGAAAAGAAATAAACCTTCACGATCATACATACATTATATATATATATATATATATATATATATATATATATATATATATATATATAAAATATATATAATATGGCTACATAGTCTATTAGTGTATTAGACCATTGGATGATGCACATTGGAAATCCAAGCATAATGCCTGGGTGATAAGATGAGGTGACAGATATTGTTCATATAACAGACCCCCTCTCTCCAGTTATGGACCCAGGGGACAAGACGTTACCTATACAATTTGGAATCAGCAGTGTCAAAGGAGCTGCAGAAAGTTGGTAATAATAATATTGCTTGAGAGACCCACTCCTATTTGTTTTTGGAGTTATCTCTCCTGGATGGATTGCAATCCCCTCAAACTTTGGACTTATGGGTTGGTAACCATGGGGGGGGGGGGGAATACTTACACATCTACACATGCCTATTAATACTACACATGTAATAAATTGGTTGGGAGAATGTTTACACCAGTGTCCAATAATGGAATCTTCTTTAAAAAGGGGTGTTAGGTTACTGGTAGTTAACTTAAAAGTTAATACACACATGGCTGATATCAATATGTTAGGCTTTTTGATGAGAATTACAGAATGATTTTTAATTAAAAATGTATCAATAATAGCTAGCACACTAGTAAACTAAGCCAATTTAGCATATTTTAACTTTCTGTGCAAAGTCATTATTACTGAAAAAAATTCCAAAGTCAGGTCAGCCTCTGGCACCCTCCACTGAACTTGACAGAAGGAAAAAAAACTTGACCTGTGACCGTCATTAAAACAGAATTTGCATTGGGGGTGATCGTTTGCCCACGAACATATCTCATTAACCCCATAAATTATTACCAGTTAATTGTAATCTGTGTTAAATTAATACTTTAAAGTTTATGAGCCACATAAGCTGGTTTAAGAGTCAAGCGATATCTCAGAGTTATTTGATTTAAAAGACAAGAATACATAGAGTCATAGAGCTATTTTCACTTACGCGCCGCTTGCAAGACAATCAAAGAAATTAGGTCAAAAGTACATCTGGGAATTCTTAAATAACAGACTGAAATAGAAACGGATAGTTCCGATGTCTAAAATTAACGATGGCCTCGTAATTATTAGTTTTATCCTTCTACCGTTTAGTGAAAGCGAAACTGGTCGCCATTTTAGTAAGCGCATGAGCCGTGCGATGCCACGAAAATGACAAACCCGGAAGCGTTGAACCGAACGGCCTACAATATGTCAATGACTCAATGCTAACCCTGTCCCTAACTAGGTAAAACTCCATTTCAGCGTATTTTATTCTCCGTTGCTTGTTTACCTCCAGTTGAGCGTATTTTATTATAACAACCGAAACACACCAAAACATTAGGAAAACACGATTTATTTTTTGTATTGTATTTTTGTTTTAGCAAATGAATAAAAATTAATGAAAACAACAATCAGGCTGACTGAAATGCTACACGATTTATTTATTTTTATTTTGTTTTAACAAATGAATAAAAACAACACAGAGACTGACTGAAATGCTTTGTTTGTTGGTTACAAAAAATAGAAATGCACAATTTGTACAAATAAGTGTTCAATTTCAACTAAACTGAATGAAAGGCATAATAATAATTAATAATGCTGCCGGAATGGGGGAAGTGGGGGGGGGGGGGGTAATTTTGTGATGATGTGTGACGGGGAGGGGGGGGGGGGGTAAAATCGTCCAAAAAAGCGTGACGTCATTTATGGATGACCCCACAATACAAATTTACAAATTTATTATATCAAATTATGACATTTCTTAAAGTTTTAACTAAACTGACAAGTAAAAAAGCACAATTTTTTATTTACATTTTAATGATTTTATTTTTAAGTCAGAAATTTACTCATACAAAAAAAACATACATGATAATTAAACCAAAATATTGGGAAGGATGGTTCTATGAATGTAAATAACATAAACTATACAGTATAAATATTTTTCAGTTTTTTTTTGTAAAACTGTCAAATAAAAAAAAAACACAAAGTTTGTACATTTAGATGAAATACAAAAATCATGAAAAATGTACTCATACAGAAACATACTTGATAATTATATCAAGATATTGGAATTGATAGTTTTATGAATTTAAATAACATAGTAAGATATAGCATAAATACAATACAAAACTATAATAAAGAATAATTAACAGTGTATCAGTTTCACCAGGAGACAAATGCCTTTTTTTTAAAAAGTAGGCCTACACAAAATAACTTGTGACAGGTTACTAAGCGTGACGACACACGTTTATGCAACAGAAATAGTTCAGCAATTCAAGTAGGAAGCCATTGGTCACTAGGTAGAAATCAGCAGAAAGATGTATAGCCCAACCAAAGAGAAAGTAGAACACTTAGATAGCAGTTGAAGTTTAAAACCGATAGATTTTTTATTAGGTTTTAGAAAGTAGTATTGAAGAATAGTGGATGATAGTAGAGTTAGACTGGATACAATTCAGCCAGCACCAAAAGGAATGAGCTGAAAACATTCCCCCCTACAACGGAACACCGAAATTCAAATTCTTTTAAGTACGATGGAAACAGAATTCGGCTGGTTCCGAATTGTCGTTTTAGCTTCCTTTTGGCCCTCATCAACAGATTTTCTATATTCTGAGTGTGGATGTCGGCATCGTCAGGGTCCACAAAATGGCGCTCATGGACCACCACTGAATGCGTATATATACCGTTCCCCAAATTGCCAATGTTATTGTATGAGGCCCAGCCATCAGATATGATATGACTTCCAGGCAGAATATGGTCTAATATGATTGGCTACAGAGTGGCAGCTGTCCGGTCCGGAACCTCTATCAAAAAACACTAGCCCGATCCTCTTTCTACCCCTCCAAAAACCCAATGGCCCTCATGCCATGCACCGCGATGATATTTTCTATGAAAATATTTTGACTCGTCTATCTCCACAATTATTGGATTTCCATCCTCGTCCATGCCTCCAATCTCAGTTCGCCGCCGCTCCAAAAATCTCGCCGAATCTTCCCGGCAAAAGTTAAACCAATCAATCACAGTTTTTTCATTCTCAATTTGCGCCTCATGTCTGCTAAGACTTTGGGGCATATCCTGTGCAAAGCAGTAAATCATCATTATAATCTGTTTCAAGGTCAAGTGGATTTTTGTGAAGAATGAACCTTCACGGACACTTTTCCTAAATCCGCATGGTTGACACGCCCACCTCTTCTCATCTATTCCTTGGCGATATGTCATTAGTTTGCATAGTTCTTTGCAGCTATCACAAATCATAGTATTGCGAAGCAACCTACGCTTGGCTAGCCATATCAAGGCAGACTCTGTCTCATTTAGGATTAGTGCCAGTGATGCGATGCATCAGATTTCATTTTCAACTAATGCGGCATCTAAAATTTCGGCAGGATCTACAATGGAAGTACGTTCTACTTTTGGTCTACCTGCCATGTTGCATAGTTCATAACAATTAAATAAATTATAAACAGAACTGATACGAAAATCAACCACAAATGTTAATATATATATATTTTTAAATACAGCACTTTTTGGATTTTTGAATAAGATTGGAACACTAAACAAAAATTAACCGGAAGTTACCGGGAGATCGGGAGCATGGAAAAATATATTTTGCCAACCCATTTGGGGTTTGACGTAACTGGATTCTACATGGCGAAGATGCAGATATATAACAATTTGAAATTAAAATCATCATTTTATATTTATTTATTTTTTGTTAAAAGAATATTATTACTATTACTTTTTGCATTGAATTGAATTTGTGTGACTACCTTTTTTATTATTTGTAACCAACAAACAAAGCATTTCAGTCAGTCTCTTTGTGGTTTACATTCATTTTTATTCATTTATTAAAACAAAAAATACAATACAAATAAATAAGTCGTGTTTTTTAAATATTCATTTTTAATAATTTGTTAAAACAAAAATACAATACAAATAAATAAATCGTGTTTTCCTAATGTTTTGGTGTGTTTCGGTTATTATAATAAAATACGCTCATCTGGAGGTAGCCGAGAAGCGGAGAATAAAATACGCTGAAATGGAGTTTTACCCCTAACTAACCCTAACCCTGGTCCTACCATACGGCATACACGCCTAACCCTAATTAACCTAATTTCTAATCATAAAATTAGTCGAGATTACAATACTACTACTAACAACTAACAAGTACCCAACACCCCTTTTTTAAAGAAGATTCCATTATCGGACACCGGTATCTAGATCTAGAGATCTAGTAATCTAGAAAAATCTAGTAACTTACATATTTTTTTCAGCAGAATTATTTGACTTGGCAAGAAAAGACGATAATAAATCTTTTACTTTCTCTGGGGTGACTATGTTAGTATGATCCATATTAACTACAATTAAGTAATAGGCCTAAATCTAGTAAAGCTCCAATTATATTTTAAAACCTAATCAATGACTGAAAATCTGAGCGAATCCTTAACTTCAGCAACTTGTAGGTCCTAACTGAAACTATTTATTTTCGTTCACAACTTCTTCCTAAATTTCAAAATAGGTATTACTAAATGCCAAAGATTAACGAAACCATCATAAATATCTTGGTTAAGAAAGGAAGCAGGCCGAGTTTGGGACGTCTGCGAACATAATCAGGGTTTCCGTATAAATAAGACATAAGACATTTTTTCTCCAGAGTGGGCGGATACTGGTTAAAGAATGTATTTTCTAAATTAATTTTTTTTCTGTTTCGTCCAAAGGACATTCTTCAGAGGGGGGGGGGGGGGGACGGGGGGGGGGGTCATTTGATACTTTTACTATCCACACCCCACCCCCATGATGCAATTCCGCAAATTTGAATTTATTACTATAACGTCTATAATGTCCACCTCAACGAAAATTGCCATGTTTTTTTCACATTTTAATTCTTAAGATAAAAAATGGCTTACCAAATACACATAGTATGACATAGGCATATGGCCTATACTCTATACTGTCTATACTCTATGATATTTTGAATTTTTAAAATCTCCCTCCCCCGCACATCGTTATAGTTTAAATACCTGAAAAAAAAAACCAGCCCTTAAATTTTAATTATATTTTAATTTTTAAAATTTGTGAAACATTAAAGTAAATTCGTATTTGATCAACTTTTTTTCATTGGCCTCCGTGCCTACTATTGTTACCGTAATTGAATAAATAAGTCAATAAATGAATGAATCACCTTATTATACCCGTTTGGGGTCGTCCATAACGTCACACTTGCAGGGGGTAGGGGGGTCCGTAATTTTGTAACGGTGTGTGATGAGGGGGAGGGGGTTCAGATGGTAGGACGTCACACTTTTGAAATTAACAAATAGTAAGGTAAGAAAACAAATTTTAGCCGTAATTTCGCGTTTTAGAAAACTGTTTTAATAAATTGTAATAGGAATCTATATATATATATATATATATATATATATATATATATATATATATATATATATATATATATATATATATATAATTCTCTTCTGGGAGCCGTTAGAAAACAAGCTGCAAGCGCCTCCTTGCAGTCCCCTCTCTTTCTATCTATCACTATCACTATCACTACCACCCCACCCCCACATTGTCTGGTGAGCTGTGGTCATACTAAATGTTTACAAAGCTAAATGTTTACAAATCGTAGAGCCGTAGAGCCGGGTTTCTATTAGGGGCAGATAATTTAATTCGATTTTAAACTTACAGGAGGTAACCAAGAAATAACTAAGAGGAGGCTGCTTTCACGGGGGGGGGGGGGGGGGTTAGTAGGGTCGGGGTTAGGGGAAAGGGGGGGGGGGGTAGTGTTTTAAAGCAAATATTTTCAGTGGCAGCATTGGTACTGTCGAATTCACAAATTATGAATTACTGAAAAGTAGAAAATAAAACAACTAAATGGCGGTGTATGATACGCTGCGGGTCGGCTCGTTGATTAAAATACTCTATGTTGAGAGAGTTCAGACAAGATTTTGGAAAAAAATATCAATGTTTTAAGAAAAAATCAACTGCAATTTTGAGCGGGGGGGTGTAGGCTGAGGTATGACGTCATTTAGGGGGTCTGGTTTTATGTGTGACGGAGGGGAGGGGGAGGTAAAAATCGTCAAAACCAAATTTCTGAAAATAAAAAGAACTTTGCAATATCATTTGTTACTTGAATATTTGTGGTTGTTTTCGGATGTTTGAGAAAAAAATTGTGAATTTATATTTGTTCGTAGCAAGTGAACTCCCTTTGCGGTAGCAACAAATGCAAAATGGCGGATACGGTATTCTTGTATTAAATAGACAGCGTTCATAGTTACGAGAATGAAAAAGCTATGGAAAAAATTAAAAGGTAAAGACAGAAGCGGCGAAGCATCTCCGAAATCCGGCTCAACTCGTGGATCAGTTGCTTCTCTTAACACCAACTTTGATGTGAATGTCAAAGAACTAGGTAAGCTTCATAAAGCTGCTTGGACAGGTGATCTGAACAAAGTTAAGCAACTTGCCAAAAAAGATCCGAATCCACTTGATAAAGAAAAAAGGTTAGCAAATATTACATTTTTTTTTTTAAACTATATGCTACATCCAAATACTTCACTTTGATATGAATGATATTCCGCTACTTTAGAAGGTGTTAGGGCTTTTAAATTAACTTTTTTAGTTGATAAAAAAAGCCAACACATTCTAGTAATTTTTACCTTAAGCTCTGTTCTTTTAATTTAAGTATTCAAAATCTATATCTGAGTTTGAGCTTAGTAAATTTTTTAGGTGGAGTTAGCAGCCTTGCATATATTCTAGTTTTGATTTTTGCCACCAAGCACTGTTATTCCTGATAACATCTTATGTTAAAATGCATTTCAGAAGCCCGCTTCATCTAGCTTGTATACAAGGATATGACCAAATTGTGCAAGAACTTCTTGAATGGAAGGCAAAACCTAATATTGGAGACAGTCAGTCAAAAACTCCACTTATGCGAGTAAGATATGATGTTTTCTAGTGTTTAAAAAAAGCTATTAAAAAAATTTGTATTAAAAACTAAACAAAGCACTCTTAGCACCACATCATAATCATTTATTTCAGGCTGTTGAGTTCCAACGTGAAGGTTGTGTTGATTTACTGTTGGATGAAGGTGTGGACGTTGACACCACAGACTTTCAGGGATATAGCCCTTTACACCTAGCAGTTGAAACTGGAAATCTTAATATTATCAAGAAGCTACTTAGTGCTGGAGTTTCACTAAATACACTTACTAAAGTAAGTTAAAGACCTATAAGTTGAGTCATTTTGGTTTGAATGGATTTAGAAAATGTTGTTGGCAAGCTAATTGGTCTTTCTTGCCATGTATTACAAACTCACTACTACTATTTTGACCATTTAATTTAGCTTCTATTAAAAGTTCAATTTTTATTGCTAGGATGCATGTAATTATTTTAAATTCAGATTTGGTTGATAAAGCTTTTTAAATATAGAAGTGCTATAATTAGTGTAGTTATTTAATCTGTGATAAAGAAAGAGCATTACTTAACTTTCTGTTAGATATATGGTTATAATTATTAAAATATAAGTTGAAATAAAGACTTTTTTATACCACAGGAAGGTTTTGCTCCTCTTCATTTAGCAGTAAAAAATAGACAACTTGAAATATGCACTTTGCTGTTGAACTCTAGAGCAGATGTCAATATAAAGGATGCAAATTCTAGGTGAGTTGTATTCACGCAGAATTGTAATGTTTTTAGTATGTATAATTCCAAATATGTTCATATTTTATTTAGTGATTTGAAATTCAGTAAAAAATTTCGTGCCCATTTTTAATTGTTTAAAAGTTTGATTTATTTTCTTGTATAAATCTGTGTGTGATGCACAAATGAGACATTTTACTTAATCTTTTCAGGACTCCACTCATGATTGCTTGCCAAGATGGATCTATTCCATTAGTCCGATTGTTGTTGGAGTGTAAAGCAGATGTACTTCATAAAGATTCAAAAGGTGGAAAGTTGATGCTTATTTATTCAAATATTAGAAACTGTTTTTCAATTAAAAAAAAGTTGTTTTGAGAATATTTGATTTTCTTTTTAGTAGTAGTAATCAGTACCACTAGATGCATATTTTTCTTCTTTCACAATACTTCAATTTTGTAAATAGCCTTATTTTATGTGATATTTTTAAAAGAATATGTTTTGAACATCCACAGTGAATTTGAGCTTTTATTACTTAGAAAGTTAAATTTTTTATTTGTTTTTAAAAAATCATTTTTAATTTGAAAGTTGTCAATGGTTACAGGCTGGTCAGCTGATGACCATGCTGGGATTAAAGGTCACCATGCATGCAGTCAGCTAATTTCTGATCATCTTCGATTGAGTTATGGAACCCCAGCCTCAACCCCGAGATCAACATCTCAACCCCCAAGTTCACTAAACACCCCAAGAGAGCTTGATTTGATGGGGCTTCCAGTGGCAGATGGTGGAGGTCCTTTATTTATTTATTATTTATTGGATTATTTGTTTCAGAATAAAAACTAACTTTTACATAAGTTGTACAGGAACTTGTCAGTTACTTAAAGTCTCAAAGAGAAAATTTGTTTTATACAAAAATGTAATTTAATCTTCAATGGTGATTTTGGCAAACAAGTTAAACTAATCAAACAAACATATATTGAACTGTTCCATTTTTAATAATCAGGTGAAGATTCAGACAATGAAACTATCAGCAAAGCCTCTGGAGCTCCTGGCTCAGATTCCTGGGCAGATTCACCAGATGTTTCTATTGGGGATGAAATAAAAAAAGGAAAGGTAAATCAAATTTCTTTTTTAAAATCACTCATAGTATATGCTAGTAACTGCTAGTAACATATCAAATTATTATGTTAGTCTAATATTTTGATTAACATTAATTTATGCAGCAAGAATAATCTACATAGTTTAACCCATTGATTGTAACCAAGAATATTCTTTCTATAAACACTTATGTGTATTTATAGAATACATTTGTCTTTTATGCTATATTTTTAGTTTTTCTTCCTTCTAATTAACTTTGTCATTTGTTGTAATATTTTAGTACTTCAATAATAATGTTAGGGGCTGGTGGTACATAGTTTTCCATGGCAGCGGTGTTTTAAAAACATACTGTAGCCTGATAATGATAGGATATGTTTTTATTACACATTTATACTATTATGCCACATTGGCCTCTCAGAAAGAAGATGATGATGGAACGGATGTAGGTGAGGAAATATTTGATGAACCTAAGGTTGGTGATGGTAACTATTTCAATCAACGTTGGCTTTACATGTTTATTGTTTTTGGTTCAAGATAAGTTCTTGTGTGGGCCTTCTCTGGGGATTGCATTGAGCTTGTGTTTATTTGAGCTATGTATTCAAATAAAACAGTTATCAAACAAATTCACTAAAATTATGGTTAACTAATTATTATGATAAGTAGTAATTATTTGAACCAGGACATGAATATATTGTTTTCCTAGGGAACACTTAACTTCAGGTTTATAAATTTTTTATGTAAAATATTAAGTTGAAAATAGAAACTTTATTTTTGAATATTTTTAGATGTTGCAAAAAAAATATCTTTAAAGCATTCTTCTATTTTTAGATGTTTTTAAATATTTGTATACATAATTTGCACAGCTTGCTTTCTTTTCAATGAAGTACTATTTCTTTTCATCTATCCTTTCATGAAAAGTTGGTTTTGCACATCTTTTATTATTAATGCCAATGAATCTGAGTATTACTGAAAATTTATTTTAGTTCGAATTTTTCACATTTACAAGCATAGAAAGTAATATAATAGATTTAAATCATACTGATAAAACATAAAATATAATAATAAATCTTGTTAAAGCATAAATATTGTTTTATTATTATTCCCGATGAATTTCTCTAATTTATACCCTTTTTCCATCACATTTTTTGTTTTGTATTTTCACTTGCTTACCCTTTTTTTAGCTGTAGCATAAAATTTCAAAAGCATTTATGAAGTAATAATTCAGTTTTAAAAAAAAATCATAAGGCTTTACACATATTTACTTCTGTTGAAATTTTATTTACTGCTGATAATATATAAAATAAATTTTAAAGATTTTTTTATAATAAGGGAGGTACTTACAAAATTGTATAGATCATACAATCAGTTAGCAAATTTTTGTACCCTAGGTGAGTGCACCGAAAATCAGTCTTGCCAAGTTTGCCACAAGTATCCACGTGTCTGAAAGTGATACTGATGGAGGTAAAGGGAGATCATTGTTATTGTTTGAATACATCACATACTTTAGTATAGATCTCATTTTCATATAGCTAATTGCTTATATTTGTAAATTCAGTTAATTTATAGAATATTCACTGTGGAAAAACATTTATCTCACTAATATTTTTCTGTTTTTAAATCTAGAAAATATATTTCAGTGATTTTTTGTTTTTTTTTGAAAATTTACCCACTTTGTCATATTTTAATAAAAGATACACTTTATTATTTAAAGAGTCAGTCAAAAGCTCAACCCCAAGAAGGAAAGTTTCTGTTGTTGACAACCCTATGGACCATCTGAAGGAATCTCTACACACCACAGAAGCAAAATTAGACAACAGGCGCCAGATCTCATTACAGTCACAAGTGTCTGGGGAAGATAACTCATGGGGAGATTCACCACAGACCCCACGCAAAAACATTTCAGCGCAAAGAGTTTCTTTCAAAAAGGATGAAGAACTCTCAGAGATTCATGACATTGTTAGTATCTCTCTGCTAAAAATTGATTTAGTTTTCAATAAGTATAGAATAGTTTACAATTAATTACAACAATAAGACTTAAGTAACTACACTGAAAGTCATAAAAATATTTTAATCTGTTGTTAAGTCTAAACTACAAGATAATCCTTAATATTACCATAATATAAAATGTGAATATAAATTTAGTCATTATTCTGTTATTGGAAAAGTTAGTTAATGTAAGTTATCAGATGTTGTAGAAAAGTAAGACATGGTTTTGTGTGACTAAGTGAGAGTTAATTTTAGAATTAACATGTGAAATTTGTTATCTAGCATTGCAAAATAGAACAATTCAAGATAACAAGATAATACTAAAATGGGCATTTAAAAAAAAAATTCTATTGTTTTTAATTTTCAGACTGTTTCTGACTCAGAATCTGATCTACCTGACAACAAAAATGGCGCAAGGAAGCTTGTTGTAAGATACTTAATAACAGTTTCAAACATATTTAAAGCTCCTATTGATAAACAAATAATAACAATGCTAAATTAGTTAGAAACTAAGCTTGCTCAAAAAGAAAGAAAATTATTCTAACTATTAGCCCTTCACTATTATTGATAAATATAAATGTGAAGTACTTTTCTTCCTCAATTTTCAACTGAACTCTTAATTATTAAATTTAAAATAGTCAATAAAAATATTTTCACATTATTGATACACATTGTTACATAACATTGCTTTGTTGGTTATTACATTCAATAACAATTTTCTTTACTTATCAATGATTCTTCACTTTGAAGAAAAGTAATTTTTTTTTTTTTTTTAAAATGCAATTAGATTACCTCTACTCCAATCAAGCCTGAACTCCAAGGTTATGTACCTTCTGCATCTGCAACTTCCAACCCTAGTCTTCCTTCCATTGATAAGATGAAAGGTAGTTGTTTTTTTTTTAATTACTAGAGCTATTAATGCAATAAAATTATTAATAATTCTCTTGTTTGTTGGAATCTTATATAAAATGAGATTAAAATTTTTATACAGTTAAAAAATAGATATTTATTTACTTTTAAAATTCTTACATGTAATTAGCAGGTAAAAATCTCACTCAAATAATAAAAAAATCTGATGGGTAGTTTGTAAAAAAAAAAGAATATGCAGCAACAAAAAACAATTTTTGCCATTTCCCTATTACCCCAGCATGTATTACAGAATGTCTGTGTGATACTTTGTGTTCTATATTTCCTTTAATTTAGGGAGTGTTGACCCAGGTTTGTAAATTGATCATTCAATAACAATTTTTTTTTTTTTAAATTGAGTTTTAAGAACATTTTAATATTTGTGTTTCTATTCTAGAAATATTATCATTTAAAAAAATATGTTTTGCTGTGGTTTTTTTTTGTTATATTTTTTTATTACTAATCTTTGTCACTGACATCTAGATGTTGATCACTTGACAAAACTCTGTGTGTGTGTGTCTCATTGGTTATGATTGCCGTTACTGGTTTACAAGTGTATAGCATTATTATATTCATACTTCTTTAATTATTGCAGTAAATTTCTTTTCCTTTTTTTTATTTATGCCTTGTATCTTCCTAGTTATGAAAAAGAGCTTTTAAAAAAAGTAAAATAATTAATATATTCCATAATCTAAAAATGAGTAAAATAAACAAAATAGCTATTTTATGTTTTTAAATGAACCATTTTTTATATATTTTTTTTTTTTTGTTGGTTTAACTTTGTCTGATTTTTATCTTTTGTTTATTACCTGCTAGAAAGATCTATCATATGTATATTTGCCTGTGTTAGATAGAGCTCTCATTTCACATACTTTTTAGCCATCCATCCATCCATCCCTGTGGTGCTGCAGCCCATGGAGGGCTTTTGCCTGCTTCACCACCCATTTGCCCTCGTCCACTGTCTTCTTCTTCTTCCATGCCACTTTTAAAGTTAGCTGTCAAATTAGTTTTTTTCTTTAAGTAGTTAGCTACACAATTTTAATTTTTTTTTATCCCTATATAAGCCCATTTTTAAAAAGCTTATTTATAAAGGATTTAAAAGTGTTGGATTAGGGATTTAAAAATAGATTCAATTTTTGTAAAAATGTTTAGAAATAAAATAAAGGCCTCCATAATTTTATTTCAAACAAATTGATTGGGCATATTTTATGATACATTTCTAGTTTCCAATTTTAAAAAAATAGGCTTAAATTAACTTTAAAAAAATATTTACAAATGCAATAAAATTAATTGTCAAGTCCTTATAATTAAGGCTTTTAAAATGTTTTAAAAATTATGATTAACTGTAGAACTGTAATAAAATGTGTGTACATTTAAAACTAACCTTGCAAAATATTTTCTACGCTACTATTCTAATACAAATACTTAGTAATCCATATTAAAAATGCAGTAAGTATTTTTATATATCGTAAAACTAGTTCTCTTCATAAGTTAAGTATAGCAGAACCTAATGATCCTTTGTTATGTGCATGCAAAAACTTATTGCCAGAAGATAACAATAAAAACAGAATGTCAACCTTCACTTTGAGGACACTCTTGTTGTTTCTTTTATTTCACAAAGTCAAATATCTTGATTGTATTATGTGATGATTATTTCACCAAGCCAAATATCTTGATTGTATTATGTGACGATTTTTCTTACAGCTTTGATGGAGGAGCTGGGCATTGGTGATGTGGACGACATCAGCGATGTATCCGATGCCTCTCCCCCACCCCCTCTGCCAGCATCCCCTCCCCCTAATGTCACACATGTCAACCAGAAGGAGGCTGACAGTGACTGGGATACATCAGTGGTTTCAGACTTGACCACACCCAGGCCTGGTATCTTAAAAAACTGGAGTTCTGTAAGTTGGCAAACTTTTTGTATATTTTTCTGGTTTTTATACAACAGAGAAATCATAAGCCTCATAGGAGTTGCCTTGGTCGAGTCGGTAAAGCTCATGGTTGCTAAACTGAAAAGTCTCAAGTTCAAACCCTTGGGCAGATGAGGCTCGTTAGGAGAGACAACTCCAAAATCAAGCAACTGCTGCCTTGTAGTTTGTTCTTGGTTGGACAAATCCAAAAAGAAAAGCATGCTGAAATAGGAGTCAATGGCACATCAGTTGACACGTATACTTAATTGTGTTAAAGGGGTTCCCTTCCAATACTAAAATTAAGAATGAAGAAGAAAAATATAAGCCTTATCTCCTTAAATTATTTTAGTAATTATTATAGTATTAATCGAAGAAGAAGAAATCATTATGTAAACCATCCGAACCATTCAGCATTCATTCCATTTTTTTTCTCCAATTTTCTCCATGTTTTTAATTTTCAAGCACAATTGTATATTGTTTAGACTCAGATGCTCATTACTTTTTAACTTTGTATGTTTTAACTGTATAATAATTTTGTTAATTAGTACCTTTACAATTTTCATAGTTTTTAACATTTTCTGTTTGCTATTTTTAGCCTGCAGATTCTGGCAATGCAGGCCTCAAACTGAAACCACAGACATCCAATCATGTACTAAAGCACTCTGCTGTAAGTTTGTTGCCTTTAAATGCTAAAGTTTGAAGTAATAGAGTATTTTGTAATGCTTTTTGTAAAACAAAACCAAAAGATCCATCCTATAGTAAGTGAGATTAAACTACAATAAATTACTTGCATTTTTTTAAAGGCTGTTGATTCTGGAGATGAAAATAGTGACTGGGACTCAACAGAAACTCAGAATGTTCCATCCCACCCAAAATCTCCTGTACAACTGAAACAGAAAAAAGACAGTGTAAGGTCCATTTGTTGGGCAGGTTTTAGGTTTCTTTTTTTATATCAATCATTTCACACTGAATATTTTCTTACATTTAAATAAGGTACAAACTTTATCAGCTAAAAAGTAAAGGCTTAAAGTAAAGGCTTAAAATTATTTTTAGATATCGGAATGGGACAGTGAAATTGAAGAGAGTGTTCATCCTGCGTCAGCATCCTTGCCTGCACCACCACAAATAGCACCACCAGTCACTGCCGAGGTGAGTTGGTACAGCACCATCATAGAACAGCTTTGTTGAGAAACAATATTACAAATCAAGTATATTATCAAAGCAATTTAGCTGCAAACAAAATTATTCTAACTCTGAAAGAAAAAAAAATGATAGTGTATTTGTTTAATTCAAATGATTGTGCTTTTATTTAATTCAAAAATATTCTCATTTTATAAGAAAAAAAAACCCTCATATTTATTATATGAATGCCATTATGAGTCCGTCTTAATTGATATAGTCTTAATGTAATAATAATATAATGCGTTCTATAGACATATTCTCCGTATCCTCCTGTTCACTTGTACTGGATGTGTTATTCTATTTTTATCAAACGTAGTGTCAGCAACAAACATCACTCGCATCTGTCTCTGCATGATCCATAACTTACCAGCGTATAAAAGATTTTGAATTTAGTTAACCTTATTATCATGTTTCAGAAACAAACATCTAGATCAATATAATTTCATACTCATAAAGTTAGGCACCCTTCTGAACCTGGCAGTCTTTTGAGCGGGTGAAGTAGAGTACACTTGTTTCTATTACTTCTGCATATGAAGGAATAGTGTGGTCAGCATTATTGCCCGACACCTGACTTTCCCAAATGTGAGTTAGGTACCCATCAGAGCTGGTTGGACTCAGGGACATTGTGCTGACACAGTGCCAGATTTTGACTCGAGGCCTTCAAGTTAGCAGTTGTATGTTCTATCATCTAACCACGCAGTCCCAAAATGTTACGCTCATACGTTATAAAAGATATTTTTTCCCCAGACAAAATTAAAAGTTAACCACAATGAGCATGATGATTGGGACACTACTGAAGCTTCTAACCATGATGCTTCTCTACCAGCAGCTACGGTACAGTTTACCTTAGAACATTGTATTGTCTATCCAGTATGAACTGTTGAAAAAATATTTTGGCATTCATACCCTTGAAAACTTATGATTGTTGTTTGTTGGTGTTGTTTATTATTATTTGAGGAGGTTTTTAAATCTTATATGTCTGATCATACAATAATTCCCTTATTTTCATCTAAAGATTTGTTGTTAGAAAGCTTGGCTTATGAATGGATAAAATAACCAAAACTTAGCCAAACTTAAAACTATGTTAAAAATATAAAAGTACAAGATTAGCCACTAGCTGTTTTCCAATCTCATTTCTTATCTCCCTTTTCTAAACAAACTTTTCTACTTTTAACTTAGTATGATATTTATCAACAACTACAAAATTTATATTTCTAATTATCCTGTGTAAAGTAAATGTGTATTTGTAAATATTTTTTTAGGAAACAAATAAAGTTGGTAGCTCTAAAAAGAAGAAGCGTGGAGGATTTTTTACATTTGTTGAGGGGAAGTCAGAACCTCGTGAGGATGATGATGATTCTGAAAGCAGCTGGGATTCTGAGGTAGGGACAGTATAGTTCTCATCAGTACATTCAGCTTAAGATATGTGTTATATTTAAGGCAACTCAACAAGAGAGCTTAAGTTATGTGTTATACCTATGGTAACACCACAAGAGAGCTTAAGTGTTATGCTTATAGGCAACACAACAAGAGAACTTAAGAAATGTGTTCTACTTATAGACAACACAACATGAGAGCTTAAAATGTATGTTATACTTACAAGCAATGCAACAAAAGAGCTTAAGTTGTATGTTGTAACTATAAGCAGTACAAGAGCTTATCTATTTGCAGCAGATTTAGGAGAAGTTAAATTCTAACTACACAAATTTAGATGTAACTTGGAAATTGGGTTGTATTGATTGTTGCTCTAGACTTTAATGGCAAGAACAATCACCACACCTCCTATTCTATTTTAGTACTTGCCTCATGTCTGTCTCTCAACCTGTGGAACTGCTACAAATATTGTTGGTTTAATTTCTTTCCTGTAAATGACAGAAATTTAAATATATATATATATATATATATATATATATATATATATATATATATATATATATATATATATATATATATATATATATATATATATATATATATATATATATGTCTAGTAATTTCACTGTTTTTTCCCCTTATAACAAATTGATACATCCAAATACAAAGGGAGTTACAAAAAGGCTGTTAGTGTAATTTATGTCTTGATTTGTCAGACATTTTGAAAGAACTCTTTAATTCCAGGCTGATGAGGTATCAGATCCAGGTACAGTCCCCGCTGTGTACAACTTTTTCCAGGAGACCCAGCCTGTTGTCCAGCCAAAAGTGTCGCAGACACAAGTAGCAGCTGAGGTCAGCAAAACCAAAGAAGACAGCTCAGATGAGGAGGAATCTGAGTCCATTAGTTCCTGGGAATTGGAAAGAAGAAAGGTAAACTTAAATAAAATAGTGCTATTAACCGCTGGCTAGAGTTTATTGTCTTAATCTCCTAATGAAAAAAATGGTCACTCATAGGGTTAACAATTGTAATTAATGAGAATTTATGAATAGGTTATTATGCACTTTTATTTGGATGCACTTTTATTTAGCTTTACTTTATACACATAAATTAATTTAAGATTATGATAGTTGGATTGTTAAAGTTAAAATAGGTCTACTTTCATGGGTGTTGGAACTATATATTTTTAAAATTAATTTTTAGCAAAAACAAGGTGTAGTGGATGTGTTGGCGGAAGAAGTGGATGTGGATGTGATGGAGAATCATTTGGTAGAGCAACAGCTGTTTGGTGTACAGGGAGAAGGGGAGGATGATGAGGAAGAGTTTAATAGACAATGGGAGGAGGAGAGACATATACAGCTCATGGAGGAGGAGATTAAAAGGGAAGAAGAGAAGAGGAGAAGGGAGGAGATGGAAGAGGAAATGGAGGAGGAGAGAAGAAGAGAAGAGATGGAAGAGGAGGAGAGGAGAAAAGAGGAAATGGAGGAGGAGAGAAGAAGAGAAGAGATGGAAGAAGAGTTGAGGAGAAAAGAAGCAGAGAGAGTTAGGCAAGAAGAGGAGTTGGATAGAAGACGTAAAGAACAAGAACGTCTTTGGAAAGAGGAGCAAGAGAGAATTAAACTCGAGAGAGAGGAGAATGAAAGGAGAAATGAAGAGTTAAGGGAACAAGAGAGGATAAAAGAAGAGCGGGAGAAACAAGAGAAATTGAGGAAAGAAAGAGAGGAGCAAGAGAAACTGTGGAAACAAGAGGAAGAGAGAAAAAAGAAAGAGCAGCAAGAAAGAATGAGGAGGGAGGCTGAGGAGGAGAGGATTAGAAAAGAGCAGGAGATGGAGTGGATACGAAAGGAGGAAGAGGAAAGAGAAAGGCAGGAGGAAATAGAAAGGCAGTGGGAGATAGAAGAAGAAGAAAAAGAAGAGAAGCTGAGAATAGATGTGGAAGAAGTCATTGAGGTAGGGCTGTTAATATTAGCAATAGTAGATGAAACATATATAATACTTAAGCTATGAACTTAAACTATGGTTGATTCTGCCACAAAGAAGGCTATAATATTAAAAGCTTAAATCAGTTGTTTTTTTTTTCTCAGAAACAAAAGATGGAAAAGTTTCATTATTCAAAAATGGTAACTATTTCATTTTTGCATAAGATGAAAGCATTTATTGGCATTTGTTACTATATTCAATTTTGTTTGAATTTATTATCATCATCTGTAAAAAGTTATTCCAAGTTATAACAAAAAATGTTTGTTTACAATTTTTTATTCTGATTGTAAATATAAGAAAATTAAAAAAGATTTTTTTTTTTTAGAAAATTGATTTTATATTTTTTATTCTTACTAGAGCTCAGATGTTCTTGAAGATACCATTACTAGAGTAAAACTTCAACAGTGAGTAGCTCTTAAATCTTTCCCAGTTGCTAAAGTTTATTGTTAGTTTTGTTTCTCTTTTCTTGCATCAACAGAAAACATAGCCACGGTTTTTAAAATAAATGTGTTTACATTAAAGTGTGTTGAGCTAGTTGAGCTAGTTTTTTTAGAGTATTGTTCATTGTGAACTAATGTTTAGTCATTTTAAAAAAATGTATTTGCTGATATCCCTTTCTAGGGAAGAGCTGATTCATTTTGAAAATGATGAAGTGGATTTCTACAACAATGAGGAGACAACTCAGGAGAATAAAACAGAAACTATTCCCCCTCCTGTAAAGTCTTCTTCACCCAAACTTGGTGTTGGGTTGAACAAACCAGCTGTAAGCATCCTTTGAGAGTGCCTTATGTGACATATTATTTCCTCAACACCTGACTTGACAGTGCCTTATGTGAGGTATCATTTTCACAGAACCCCAGTGATTTTAAAAATCACTACAAGGCTTGAAAGTTTTGTTTTCCTTTATATTTTCATACTAAGAACTCATTGTGTAATAATGGTGAGAGATATGGAGATCAAATTTTTGGCCATGATGCTTTATAAATCTTGGGGGAAAAATGAATAATTGAACAGCCAGGTTTAGGGGAAGTGATATGTTATATATGTTTCCACGACATATATTGTGATGTATTGTATCTCTGTGTTTGAAGGACGTTAGGATTCGCTGTGTTTCCGAGTTTCTAAGACACATATTGTTATATGTTGTGTTTCTGTGTTTGACTGCTGTATTATCAATAACATTGCCTTGATCTCTTGACTCCCCGTCCAGGCTTCTGGAATGTACGCTGGACTAGGCAGCTCCACAGTTGTAGAAATAAAACAAAGACTTCAAGTCCCTCCTGTGTCCAGCACGCCCCCACCTTTACTGAGTGCCAGTCTACACCCTTGGCCAGACCCTTATGATGATAATGAGTCCATCTTCTCAGGGGATGAAAGGTCAACAATCACTTCACTTTTTATGTGGTACTTAATGGAAAAATGGAAAATCCCTTAGTACTTTAAAGCACAGTAATGGTTTATTGACTTTTGACACTAAGATAATAGTTCCACTTTTTTCTATTTTTAAAAATCACCAAAAGAAAATTAGACAGGTTTTAGGGGATATTACCCGTAGTGATGTTAAATACTCACTGTGATGTCATTTTGTTCTTAAACAAAGTGCACAGCAATTTAAATTGTTTCATAATGTTCCATCAACATTCATTTTATATGTGTAATTTTCCATCAACCTTTCCTATTATAGGGTTAATGATCCATTAAATATTGATATTATAGAGGTAATGTCCCATGTTCCATCCACTTTTGTTCCTATAGGGGCAATGTACCAACCACCTCGTACTACCAAGGCCTGCTGAACTCCCATAGCCTGTACAGGCCCAGTGGTCCCCTAGATGATGATGCCCTGAGTTACACATCAACAGAGTTTGAGGATCAGGTCCATAGCACACCATCCTATGGCAAAGACAGGGAGATCCTTACCAATATACAAATTGGAGGTGAGAACCTTTGATCTTTTTATCTTTATAAAGTTCATTAAAGTGAAGCAGATAATTTTTTTTACTTTGATTTGTTGAAAAACTAATTTTGGAGAAATTAGGAATAATGCAGCCTAAATTAAAAAGTGTACCTGAGTTAGTCATGTGTGCTGTGACATGCACTCAGTAAAAAACTTATAAATAAGAAAACTAATTCGCATAAGTTGTAAATATTTTGCGTTTGATTACGAGTAGATCCCAGCTCCTTACTGAAAGTCCAGGAGTATGTGAGAGACACAAGGCGTCAGCTGGAGCAGGAGAAGAACTACAGGATTGTGCTGGAGAACAAGTTAAAAGTGGCCACCAAGGAGAAAAATGAGCTGAACAAGTAGGCCATTGAACTTTTTATTATCTAAGTTAACTAGATTGTTCTACAGAACAAATTAAGTGGCCACAAAAAAACAATGAGCTGAACAAGTAGGCCTTTGAACTTTTTATTATCTAAGTTAACTAGATTGTTCTAGTGAACAAATTCAAAATCATGGAGAAGAATAAACTGAACAAGTAGGCCATTGAACTATTTTGTGTCTAAGTTACTCAATTCTACTGACAAACAAATTAAAATTAAATATTTTTGTTATCTACTCAATTACTTTTAATGTTGAAATTACTTTCAGTTAGTTTAAGTATTACTAATACTTTCTAAGTGTTAAAAAAACACCCACTGTTAAAGCTATGCATTATAATCATAAACTTTTGCAGGAAATTGGACAGCATCTCACAGCTGAAGACAAACCTGGAACAAGAGAAGCTTGACCTGGAAGTAAAGATCCGCTCACTGGAGTAAGGCTTTATTCACATAATTGTTCTTGTTCTTTGCTGTGGTATAGTAACTTTGGTGGTCGATTCATGTATTTATTGTCTAGCCTACACATTCCAAATATATTCCAATTTTTTCCTAAAAAGGAACATTTCTATGCCTTCTCTGTTGACAATTTTTTTTTAAATCTTCCTAATAAAAATAAAAGCAACTCATGACAGAAAATATATTCCAAACAAAATTTAAAGAACAATTATTTTATCATTTATAAACTGAGTCATCATCACAAAATCATATCAACGTTTCTCATTCTTCTTATACACTTTGACTACATATCCTAACTTTTGCTTTATAAATAGCAATTTCTTCATTTTAAGTATTACCATATTTATATTTCTTTTAATAAAAAATATTTTAAATTTAATACAAACAACCAATTTAATTAAAAAGTCAGAGTGAATACTACTGTCAACATACAAAAATACAGTTTATTATTACTATTATTATAAATTATAACTTAATTTAAATTCTCTTTGATGTTTGCCTGAAGTTGTGGGGGTATTTTATTAGATTTTCCAAATGTAAACATCAGCTAATAATTTGTATCAAGCATGGACACAATTTAATGGATATTTAATTTTTAGGTATGGCCTGGCAGATGAGGAAGAGAAGAGAAAGAATGCTCAGGTGCTACTCAATAAAACAAAAGAACAGCTCTCCAGAAAAGAAACACAATACACTAGGTAAAGAGATATTTATAAAAATGGGAAAACTGGCAAAGTACTATTTCAATATAAATAATAATAAGAAATTTACTAATCTACTGTGCCAGAAAGTTTAATAAATGATTGATACGAACAGTTTTTTGGCATCTTCATTTCAATTTTATTTTAATACCTTTAGTCCCTTTTGTATTAAAGATGCATTTCTTTAAAATAATCCATTCATTGCAAATATTATCTTATATTAAGTCCATCATAACATTTTTATTCAGATTAAATTAATTTTTTTTTAAAGCTCAATCTTTATGTATGTATATTTTCCTTTGTTTACTTTATTAGTGAATTAGAGGCCAAGCAAAGAGCTGAACTTGCTGTAAGGAATCTGCAGGTTGAGTACAGGACAGCTGCTGCTACCATTAAGGATGTAAGTCATTTTTTTTATTTGTTGTATTTTTTAGCTTTGTAAAACAACACTTTCATTTGTTTTGTATATATGTCGTTTGTTGTTTATTTTTCTGTTGAAGTTGTTTTTTTTATACTATAATTTCTATTATGGTCTGATTTTATCATTAAAAGATAACAATTTGTTTCTAATTGTTGGAAGTAAAGAAAAAGTATATTGTAATTGTTTGAACTCTAAACATAGAGAAAAATTATTAAATTAATTATTAAATTATTTTTAAAATAATTTTTTAACACATAGCTGGAAGAAGAGAGAGAAGAGCTCCAAAGGCAGGTCAACCACATGAGCAATGCCAGACAACTGCAGGAGCAAATCAATGAGGATCAGCAGAAATTTATTCTACAGCGCCAGAGCTCTCTGGTAAAGTCAATTTTAATTTTTTTGCAACAGTTAATGTTGTAACAAAAAATATTTTAGTTTGTACAAAATATAACTTAAAATTGTGTTTCTTGATTAGTAATTTTTTTTTTAAGTAAAATATTATTTTCATTAGTAAATTTTTTTAGTAAAATATTTTTTTCACTTTTTTTTTCAACAAAATTTGTTATGATAATTTTAAAATTTCCTCTATTATTACGAAAGTTTGAGTTACGGTTACTTCAGTTTGTTTATAACTTTATTTATAACTTTTAAGGAGAATGACCTTGAAGAATCTCCACGTGAGTTCAGTCCTGATCCAGGCAAACACAAGGCAGAAGTTTATGCATTGAAGGTAATGTTATGTTGGTCAGGTTGGTCAGTAGTTAGTTCAGGTTTAAAACTAAAGAATTTTGTTGGTCAACACAGGCTAATCATTTATATTTAATCAATCTAAAGGATTCTGGTTTATTTTATTTGTTCTGAATACCTGTTATAGAAATGAGTGTTTCTCCTCAGATGGAAATGGAGCGCCAGAGGTCAAGGTTCAAAGATGAGATCACCTTTCTGGGGGTGACAAATGAAGAACTGGAAAATAAAGTGGACGAGCTCAGAAATGAAATTGTAAGTTATTTTTCACACCACCTTTCTTTCTCCTAATAATTATTACTACCTTGTCTTAATTTCTAACCAGATGCGTAAACCATTTGATTTTTTAATTCTGTTTTCTCCTGATCATATTTTGACATAAAGTTTTATCATGCAGTGAACTGCACTTGGTGCTTTAGATTTATCCTGATATTAATTTAATTTTTCTGAAAGAACGATATAAGTAGAATTACCTAATGAAAAATTGGAAAATGAATTTGAGCAGAATTTTGCTCCAATACAAAAACATTTTGCAATATATCTTTTTTCTATTTGATTCCACAACTTTAAATTCTAATATAAGTGTTTTTTTCTTTTGACATTGGCTGTTATTTATTTATTTCTGAGATGCAATTGTTGTTATATATCTTACTTGCATTATATATAATATTAAAATAAATTCTAAAATATTAATGACAGAAACTCAATGACGAGGCTTTAGCCCATGCAACGATGCAGTACAACATGCAGTTAAGCTCATTGAGAGCTGACCTGAGCTCAGCCCATGGAGTTCTGGAGAAAGAAAGAGCAACTAAAGAGAAGCTAGATGCTGAGGTACTTTAAAGATAAAAACTAATGTAATGACATATGGTTAATGCAGTTTTATACATATAGACAGCTTAACCCTTAAGCCAAATTTGGTATCCAGACTCGCGATCAAACAACAATGCAGCAAGATTCTGAATTTTTTTTTTTTTTACAACGCTTGAACAGAACAATGTATATAAAACGAACACATAACTATTGTTTTGATAGAACATAGAAGAAACCAATTTACATTTAGTAATTGTTTTGTTATTATTGATACCTGGCCATACTAGTTCATAGCCAGAAGTCCACTTTTGTGTGATAACTTTCAAAAGTTATCACTGCCGGACCCGATGCAAAGAAAAACTTTGCATGTTTTGCACCAGTAAACAGTTTTTTTCGTTTCTGAAAGTCTTTGCCCTTAGCACCATGTGCATTAGAACGTACTTGAACAGTTTCATTGTCACTGTCAATTTCAATTTCACATTGTTCAGTCTCAAATTCAACGTGACTATCATCACAGTATAGATCAAGAATATTATCTTCGTCATCAGAATCAATAAGTAGTTGTATTGCCTAAGATGCAGTCATTCTACTTCTTTTGTTGATATTTCTGTCTTTTGCTTCATCTTTTGCACCAACTTTATGTGATGAAGTCGACGGATGTAGCTCAGCTTTTCGTTTCGGCGGCATTGCTACGAAATGTAAACACTTTCACTTTCACTGTTCCTTAAAATCTATTTTTAGAATCATAATCCCGCACTCAAAAGACATATGCGCAGTTTTAGTCAGTCTCCCGCTAATTATACTTAATTAAACGGTATACCGGCCGCTAGGAATATTCCGCTAGATCATCGGGCCGGAAAACCGGCTTTTCGGACATATATGCCTAATGTTGAAGCCGGTTTACTGGCCTGGCGGGCTCAAAGGGTTAAAGTGTTGCTGACTTTGCTTTATCAAGCCATTAGTTTGTATTTCACTCATATTATAGTTTTTTCTACATTTGAATTGTTAAGGTATTATTTTCTCATTATTTAGATTATAATGTTATAGTTTGCTTTTTTTTGGTTTGTAATGATATAGAAACTTCTTTTTTTATACTTAAATGGTATATTTATCTCTTTTTAAAATCTATAATAATATAGGTACCTCTTTTATTGATTGTCATGTTGAAATTACCTCAATATTTAGATTATGATAGTATATTTATCTCTTGATTAGATTGATTCTCTCAAGACCAGACTTGTAAGTACCAACCAGGAGATGGACAAGGCTATAAATGCTCGCAATGAGATTGAAAGGTAGATTTTCTTATAATAACCTATGTTTATAAATTCAAAAAAGGTTTTAAAGTATTTTGATCCTTTGATTTACTTGTATTTGCAATGTCTATTGTTTTATTACCCCATTTTAAGAATAAACTGGCACGTTTGGTTGTGGTTGATGAACCAATTCAGTAGAAAAAGCTTGTCAAATGCCATTTAATAAATGTAAATTTGAAGAAAAAAAATTCATTTATTTTGATCTTTTTTTTTATAGAGACTATCGAAGAGAAAAAGATGTATGGGCAAAAGAGATGGAAAGAAAAACAGGAGAAGTAACCAGTTTGAAAGATGAAAACCAAGTAAGAAAATAATAATTTTATGAACTTTGCCTCTTGGAATTTTTTAATACTAATTTTTAAAAAAAGCATTCAAATAACTTAATAACTTAATATTTTTAAGTTACTAAACCAAAGACTGCATGCTACAGAGGCCAAGTTTAACTCTATGGAAAATGAGGTAATCCCTGTTGAACCAAAATTCTTCTTGGTAAACCTAAGAATTTTTAGAAAAGCATTAATTCTATCTCTCTGTGTTTAGATGTGCTTATTAAAATTATTGTAAAATACTCTAAATATTGTGGTCATTCAAAGTTATAATTAGCTAATGATGAATTTCACTTTGTCACAAGGCTTCCAAACTATAACTAGGATTAAAATTAAAGCTTTTTTATTAAACTGTTTAAGATTTAACATACATCAAATTTATTTTATTATTTAAGGTATAAAACGTTGGTCAGTAACTTCTTCAATTAGTTTTTTAAAGAGTTAATACTGTTTGAGAAGTTACAAAATATTTTTTTAAAAATATAATGTGTTGATATTGAAAATGTAATGTATTGATGTTGTGTTGTACAGTTGCATGTGTCGAATACATCTTTACTGGAGAGGACTGCCCAGCTGCAGCAGCTGAAACATGAAATAGAAAGACAGAAATCTGTTCATGACACACTCGATCAGAACTACAGACATGAGAAGGTGGGGGATAAATAATTTTGTTATAATCATATTTATTTTTTTAGTGTTTAAAGTTGATCTAGGCTTTAAATTTTTTTATCTTTTTATAGATTGGGGGTCGGTGTATGATTTTGTAAAGTCATTAAATGTGATTCTTTTAATGATTAAATATGCAGTTTAATTTTGTTTTGGCTTGTACAGGAACAAGGGGCAAAACTCCAGGCTAAGGTTGAGAACTTGCAAGAAAGGTAAATACAGTTGTACAGAAACTCAACTACTGAATCCAATTTTATTTGCTAGTGTGTTTACAGGAAATTTTTTTTTTTAAAATTTGAATCAGAAATGACAAAAACTATTAGTGATGATTTAGTACTAGTAAATGTAAACCAATGTGAATTAAGATACCAGATACTTAAATTGAGAAACAACAAATTTAGTCTATTCAACTTTAAAAATCATTTATGATTAACTAGCAGGCAGTATAAAAACTGTCCTTTGCAATGGGAGTTAGGCAGAGACCAATAATGCTTTATAACTTACAACCTCAACTCGATTAAATACAAAGTCTGTATATAGTTATTCTTAAAAGAATGGGCCCCCAAACTCTAGCTACCATATGTCACTTCCCCCATGGTTCCTACACAAATGTTTAAAAAACCTTCTATATATAATTATCTAACACATTCTTAACACTGTCCTCATAAAAATACATATATAAAATCTGTTGTAGATTGACAAACCAGCAGCTTGAAAACCTGTCCTCATAAAAATAACTGTAAAATCTGTTGTAGATTAGCAAACCAGCAGCTTGAAAACCTGTCCTCATAAAAATACATATATAAAATCTGTTGTAGATTGACAAACCAGCAGCTTGAAAACCTGTCCTCATAAAAATACATGTATAAAATCTGTTACAGATTAACAAACCAGCAGCTAGAAAACCTGTCCTCATAAAAATACATATATAAAATCTGTTACAGATTAACAAACCAGCAGCATGAAAACCTGTCCTCATAAAAATACATATATAAAATCTGTTACAGATTAACAAACCAGCAGCATGAAAACCTGTCCCTGCGCCAACAACTGGACACACTGAAGCTCAGTGCTGGTGGGTCAGGTGAAGCCAATGAGAAACTCAACAGTATTCTTGCCAACCTCAGGGCTGACAGTGACAGGGTACTTACAATTTACAAATATCCCACTTGTACTAAGTTCATTTTATTTCATGAATATAAATGTCGATCAACCTGTAAAGTTGATTTTATTATTAAATATTCTATCATATGATATTTAAATTTTTGTATAAATCATCATTTATTCAATATATTCCACCAACTTAAAAAAAAGTAGTAGGGTGGACTCAGGGACTTCCTAGAGTCATAAGTCCAAACCAAGATCTGAACTCATGACCACTCAACCATGCCGACCACTTTTACTACATAGTATTTAATTACCTGAGTTTTACCGACCAATTAGCAGATTTCATATTTAAAAATTCTATTATACTTTGCTATTATTATTTACTAAATTTTCCAGTGTATATTTTAAGACTAAACCTCCTCTTCAACTTTTCCACTGAAAATATAGTTTGGAATATATTTGCGCCGAGAGTGTTTTAAGACTCGAGAATATTTTCCTGGGTTAAAAAAATTGTTTTATAATATACTTATTTGCTGTAAATTATGTATCTATTTTTTTTCTATGTCTAATTTTGTATATCAGTATTCATTTTATTTTTACTGCGCTTAATGGTTTTTATTTAAGGCTAAGACTAGCTTAGAAGAAAAGAACAGCAACCTGATTGAACAGGTGGCAAGACTGAAAGAGGAAGTGAGGGGATCAGAAACAAGGAAAGTAACTCTGGAGCAAGACTTGAGAAAGCTGAACGAAGAGCACAATGCAATAGTGAGAAAGTCATCAGAGACAGAAGCCACTCTTCACATCACCCTGAAGGTCTGGTTAAAATTTTTTTCATAAACTTTACAAGTCACAGGCTATTTATGGAAAATAATGTATGTTAATTGATTATCTGAAAATATTTATAAGCTGAGTCATTAAAGTTTAAAAAAAAATTTCTTAACTATTATATTTAGGGAAAGATTCACAGTTTAAAAATATTTCTGGAAGTTAAATAGCTATGATATGAATAAAAGGCCTAGTAACACAAAATTAAAACACTAAATAAAAATTGCTAGTGTTTATTGTTTTGTTCAAACACAGTAAAATAAAGTTTAATTTTTGCGAATCGACAACTTTAGGCCAAGGAACAAGCTGAGCAGGACAGGGCACGGCTGAAGTCGGAGGTGGAACAGCTGCAGCAGCGCTACCAAGCCACACATGACAAGCTGATTGAGTCTCAAGCCAGGATCTCTGAGCTAGTAGACAGGCTGGAGAAGGCTGAACACACATCTCTCTTCAGCAGTCAGCAGCTGGCCAACACCTCGGCCAACATGCACGGGCTGGTCAAGTCAAAGGTCAGTTAAATGGTGGAGGGGTGTCAAATCTAATCTAGTGGTCATCAAAGGTTAGTTGTTTGGTGGAGGGTGTGAAATCTAATCTAGTGGTCAAGTCAAAGGTTAGTTGAATGGTGGTAGGTTGTGAAATCTAATCTAGTGGTCAAGTCAAAGGTCAGTTAAATAGTAGTGGGGTGTGAATTCTAATCTTGTGGTCAAGTCAAAGGACAGTTGAATAGTTGAGTGTTGTGAAATCAAGTCAAAGATCATTTGAATGGTGGAAGGTTATGAAATCTAATCTTGTGGTCATCAAAGGTTAGTTGTTTGATGGTGGGTTGTGAAATTTAATCTTCTAGTCAATTTAAAGGTCAGTTGAATGGTGGAGGGTTGCAAAGTCTAATCATGTGGTCAAAGCAAAGCTAAGTTGAAAGTTGGAGGGTTGCAAAGCAAAGGTCAGTTTCATTGAGTTGTTAATTGTTTCTTATTTTCTGCTGAGAACTTATTTTAAAATAACAGTAGCTGTCCTTGATTCACTCCTGCAAGCTGTTACAGATATTTATATTTTATACAGATGAAAAATAACAAACTCAAAAAAAGATTTGTAGGTTAGTAGTAGTGGGCCCTAACACTCAACCATCCCATAATATCATCTTTAACAACTTCAAAAAGAGGCCATAAGCAATGAATTTATAGCCTTGAGATGACACTGGATTAGTGCTATATTTAGCAAGGATTTCTGTGTAGTTGAATTAACAAGATAGGTGAGGTAACTCCTTGATCACAGTTGCTTATTTCATCTTTTGTTTTCAGTCTCAGATGGATGAAAACATCCAACAGTTGCAGATAGAGAATGCTAGACTAGAAGCTGAGCTCAAGTATGAGAAACAGAGGGCTGACATGTTGAATCAGGATCTCATGGATTCTCAAAAGGTTGGCATAGCAACACATGGAGTTACCTTGTTTTTTTTGTGTGAAGTGTGAATATGTAAAGTGTGCATGCACAAAGCAAACCTGTTAAATATGAAAAAGTGTGTACATAAGAAGTTGTATCTGTAGGAAGTGTTTACAGTTAATCCAACCAGTTTGTATGAAATGTGAACAATTGAAGTGTGTAAATATGTTATATCTGTATAAAGTGTGTACAGTTACCAACCTGTTTATATTAAGTGTGAATAACATTAATTTGATACATTAACTTGTAAATGTTTTAAATTTGAAATTGTATCAACCCTGTACTAAATAATTATAAATGAATACAAACTATGAAAGCTGTACCATGAATGAATACAAACTGTAAGAAAGCCATACCATAAATGTATAAATACTGTATCAACCTTGAACTATGAATGAATACAAACTGTATGAAAGCCGTACTATGATTGTATAAAAACTGTATCAACCTTGAACTATGAATGAATACAAGCTGTATGAAAACCGTACTATGATTGTATAAAAACTGTAACAACCCTGCACTATGAATGAACAAAAACTGTAAGAAAGATGTACCATGCTTGTATAAAAACTGTATCAACCCTGAACCATTATTGTATAAAAACTGTATTATGAATGAATACAAAGTCTGAACTGTATACTTTGTATCATAGTACTATGATTGTATAAAAACTGTAACAACCCTGTACTATGAATGAACAAAAACTGTAAGAAAGACGTACCATGCTTGTATAAAAACTGTATCAACCCTGAACCATTATTGTATAAAAACTGTTTTATGAATGAATACAAAGTGTGAACTGTATACTTTGGTGCAGGTGAGAAGCAGCCTTGAAGCTCTCTGTGCCAACCTGAAGACTACGTCTGCCCATTTAGAAGATAGACTTGGTGTAAGTAGAAACATTTTTTAACCACCTCTCCCAGATTCCTTCAATTTATATTTTTTTACCACTTCTGTATTTCATTTACAGTAAAAGAAAATTCTTTCTTGCATCAATGTTAGATTGTCCTGTTTCGGTACAACACATTAGTATAATACAATTTTCAACATTTTAATTTAGTGTTATTAATTAAGTATAATAGCAATAATAATTATGTTTATAAAATTAATAAAGTCAATAATATTCAAGGTATGCTCTTACTTTGGTATAAAACCCTAGTTTTCTTAAAATATAAAACAAAGGTTTTATATTCAACCCTTTAATAAAATTAATTTAGTAAAACATTTCACACAAAAACTGAAACTCTAATAAAGAAAAAACTGTGTGACATTTTACAGAATTTTTTTTTAAATAGAAAGATTTACTTTTTCAGTCAGAAAATGGATATGAAGATACTAGACTTGATGTGAGTTTCCCTGCAGTGTAGCAAAATTATTAATTTTTATTTCACTGATTTTTTTGACTGCTAGAAAAGTATTTTCTGTATGCGAGTGGGTTATAATAGCCAGTAGCTACGTTTCTTTTTTTCCCTCTTTTTTGCTGAAACTTACCTTATACTATAGCTAACCTTTTATATTACGCTTTTTACTAATTATAAATTTTTAAAGTTATTGTTTAAAATTTAAATTTGTATTAAATATCTTTATTCTTATCTCTTAGCAATGCAATGTAGCCTTGTAAATACATTTCTGTTAAAATCAACAACTAGGTCATCCAAAATATATTTTTATGTTTAGTATAACACATGCTGCGTTCAACATGTTATCTTGAAGTTTTGCAAAGAACCCGTATCTTTGTCTCATCAAATGTCTTTACTTTTACTATGCAGTGAAAATAAATGTGGGTTGTTTTTTTTTTGTGTTTTTTTTTGGCTTATAGTTATAGGTTTGGAATGCTGTGATCTTACTTTTCTGATCATCTACCAGCAAAAAACTCTGCTTTACTTTCATTTTAACATTTCTCTCTATACATGTTACATATCCTTCAGGAGGAGACAGCAGCTCGTGTCTTGTACGAGTCTGAGGCACGAGAAAACAAATCTTTGTATGACATTGAGCTTAAATCACGCTCAAAGTTAGGGTTAAGGGTGAGTCCGCATGACAAGCAATCACAAAACTGTTGGTTTTAGTTGCTCTTCACTGGGTGTAAGCATGAAAAGCATTCACAAGACTGTTGGTTTTAGTTGCTCTTCACTGGGTGTAAGCATGAAAAGCATTCACAAGACTGTTGGTTTTAGTTGCTCTTCGCTGGATGTAAGCATGACAAGCATGCACCAAAGTGTTGGTTTTACTCACCTTCTCTCTTGTTTCTAGTAACTTTGTTTTGTATTTTCACAAGCAGGAAATCAGCTTCATCTGATGTCTATGATGATTAAAGCTATTTGAAATCAGAGTGTATATATTTTTAAGAGCTCTTTTGTTTTTAAACTAAATCCAATCCTGTTTGTACAAATTTGTTTAGGAATAACCAAATATTTTCTCTCTCTTGCCTTCACCCGCATATGTATATATTTTATTCACTTGTGCAAAATTTAATCTCTTCATATTATCTGAGCTGTGCCATTATTACTATACGAGCCGACCCGCTGCGTATCATACGCCGCTATTTAATTGTTTTTTTTTCTTCTACTTTTCAGTAATTTATAATTTGTGAATTAGACAGTACCAATGCTGCCACTGAAAATATTTGCTTAAAAACACTAAACCCCCCTCCCCCCCCCCCCCCACGTGAAAGCAGCCTCCTCTTAGTTACCTCCTCTAAGTTTAAAATAGTTTCAAACTAAATTATCTGCCCCTAATAGCCGTCACCAAACCCGTCTCTATGATTGTAAAATGTAAACAGCGTGAACCACAGCTCACCAGACCATGTGAGGGTGTGGGGGGTGGTAGCGATAGATAGGAAGAGAGGGGACTGTAAGGCGCGCTTGCAGCTTGTTTTCTAACGGCTCCCAGAAGAGAATTATATATATAGATAGGCTACACATTTTCTGCAGACTAAGAAAATATTTGTTTTTACCTGCATAACTCCAAAACTGTTATTTTTCTTAAAATGATCCTTTCCAAAAACATCATATAGAAATGTTTTATTTTATTCTAAGACTAGCTCACTTTTTTTATTGTATTCACATTTAATTATTCTATAATAGCCATTGAATCTTCAAGCCTAGAAGCCCAATAGATTGACCAAAATATATGACTGCTATTGCTTTACAATTTCAAATTTTCACATAACCAGTTTTTCAGTTTTAGTAGTGCTACATTTATTAGTAGAACATATAAAAAGCATGACTGCAATGTATGAAATGTGATTGTGGACAATATAAAGATAACATAACAAAATGGTTGTGTTAGCCAGCTCATTGTGTAAAGTACATGAGATACAATGTGTAACCAGTACACATATCTCATTTCACATTAAATCAGACTGCTTGATGTGGGTGACTGGCACATTGGAGAAGACTGAGTTATAGTTATACTCGCTTTTATAAAAAAGTTAGTGAATTGTTTTGAAATAACCTTACATTGACAGCTTTCATGATTAACTAGCCTTGGTACTTTAAAAAAATTCTGGTCAGATTTTAATTTAAAGACTGATTTAATAATATTGGCAAGATGTTTTTTTTTTTGTTGTTTTTTTTTGTAAATGCTATCCCAAATTTTGTCTGTTAAGAAAAAACAAAGAATAAAACATTATGTTCTGTTTTTGAAACTCTTTATAAATATGGGATGTTAATAAAAACTTCCACATTTTAAAAAGCTCAGTTATTTGAAGATACCCAGTTCTTCTGTTGTTTTTTTTCCCACAATTTTAACCTAACTTGATGCAGCATTTGGCATGATGTTGATATGTTTTGCTTAAATACTAAATTACTAATACCAATATAAATTTATAAAACAATTTAACTTACCAGTATTTAACATAATATAGGGTGATTGTACACTCTTTTTGATATTTTAGAGGATGTTTAAGATTCAGTGACCAAAAATGTTGATAGACTAAATATAATATTACAGATAGCTGACCTAGAAAGAAATAAAAATTCCTCCGAGTCAAAGCTTGGAGAGGTAAGTTTGAAAATTGTATTGCTTAATATGATAAACATTGTTAACAACAAAATAAAATATTAATTATTTGACCCTTTTTATGTAAGGAATCATTTAGGGCAAAGATGGCAGAAGAGGAAAGAAGATCTTTAGAGGAAAGACTTGAGGTTGAAAAGGAAAAGTAAGTTCAGCTTTCTGCCATATGAAATTGAAACAAAATTTATAAGTTTCACATTATGTTTAACTTACTTGATGGTATTAAAAGAATAACATTTAAAATGAAGCGTTTGATATTGTTTCAAATGTTTTAAATACCTGCATTCAAAATAAGATATTGGAAAGTAAAATAAGAATGTAATGCTATGAAATTTGGTCCTTTAGAAATCACCAACTTCAGAAAGATATCAACACTCTAAAAATGCATCTCAAGTCAGCAAAGACCAAAATTAAGGCAAGTAGCTGAATTTTGTTTGATTTTAATTACATTTGTTGTTTTATGAAAAAAGTGATAGTGACCTCCATAACTGCTAAAATTTTCAAGTATGTTTACTCCTTAAAAGTAAAAGCTCTTAAAATATACAAGGTTGCTTTTGCAGCCATTGTACCAACAATTTTATATTTAAACGGATTTAATGATCTATTTTACTACATTTAACTTACCATGATTTTTTACATTTCGTTTGGTCTTTTTTAAAAAATATTTTGATAAATTGTAAAATTGCAATGAACTTTCAATCATATTTTCATGAATTATTTATGGACATTTTTATGTGGCAATAATGCATGTCTGAAAAATTAATTGGATTTGGTAAAACAAGATTTTAGATGTGTTTTTATGAGTAACCTGTTTATTAGGATTCTGGAAGGCTTGCTCAGTCAGATTCTCAGTACGCAGACTTTCGTCAAGAAGTCAATAATAAAGAAACATTTGTTTCCACACCTCGTCAGCAGTTTTCTAGCAGTGAACCTCAGCAGGTACCCCAGGCACACAAGACAGCTTTAGTAGCAGAGCTTGTTAGTTAGTTAGAATACCTGTTGTTGTATTTTTTTTCTTTATTTTCAATCCTTATTTCATAAAGCAATATTTGTTAGTGATTGGCAGCCTTATAAAAGATGTTACATGTTTGCGGTTGGAAATATCAATAGGCTTGTGATGGGGGAAGGTTGGTCTTAGAAAAAGTGATATTTTCTTTTTCTATGCAAAGGTCATTTAGAACTTCTGTCTTATACTATTTTTTCTATTATTTCTAGCTCTCTTCAGTAATATTCCTATCGATTTTAATTTCTCTGGCTAAGTGATTTTAGGTCTCCCACTTTTTCTAGATCCTTGTGAATTCAATGATATGCCTTGTCTGGTAATACTAGTTGCCAGTTTTCTCCTCTCTTTCTGGATTTCATTTTCTACTGGGTTTAGTCCCGCCCTTTCCCTGTACTTTATCAAATCACTTAAAAGTTAAGTTACAATATTGTGTCAAGGTCTGCCCTGTACTTTATCAAATCACTTAAACTTAAAAGTTAAGTTACAATTGTGTAAAAGTCTGTCCACCAAAATAGTAACGGCAGATAGTTCAAATTTCATCCATGATATTTTTGTGCAAACAATAAAAGCTAGAAAAAAAAAAAAACTTTTTCTATTAAGTTGTCAGTGTTGCTAGATAAGTGATGATAAAAATCCTTGTTAATTCAGTGACATGAAATAGGTAGGGGGCTGTGTAGTGTGGTTTGACTATTAAGTCATTTAGTTAAATGCATAACATCATTTATCAAAGCTGTCTATAGACATCTCATTAGTAATGATTATTTTTCAAATAGAGCTTTTTTTCTTTTCTATGTTGTAACTAGAAAACTATTTTTTTATTTTCATTCCGTCATTTGAAAGTCAAGTTATCTGATTTTTAAAAAAAATGTAATGTATGGAAACACATAGCTAGTACTATTCATGAGAATATATCTAGTAGAAAGCTAACAAACATTTCATAAAATTAAGCTGAAGGGTTTTTCTGAAATCATTGTTAAATGTATACACATTTGCTCATTTAAAAAAAAAAATGTAATTTAATTTCAAGATACAATAGATTCATACATAAACTTTATCATTTATAAAGCAACAAAACGGAGTGCTCACATGCATCCCTAGGTCACGTGTCCAAAACACTATATAAATAGGGCCTAAGTATTTAAGCACTAGTATTACTGAATGTTAGTTTTCTACTCTAAAACATTATTGTCAGTCTGCTTAGAAAATGCACTGATTAAAAACACACAGAAAATCTTTTATGTTGTAATTCCTTGCTTATGAGTATGATTTTTTTAGAATAGTTTACTTAGCACTCTTACTGATGTTATTGTTGTTTAATTTTTTTTTTACTAGCTCTAGTATCATTATTTATTTAGAATAATTCAACAGGTGACTGTTAGGAAAAATATTGAACAGATTTAAACTTTACATTTTATTCCATAATCCAGTAGAAATACATTTTTATATAGCTGTTTCATTTTTAGTTGTGTACAAATAATCCACTAGTTTAATTATTTTTTTTCCATTTTTAATCTAAAATTTTCTTTGCTCAAGTTGCAATAGTTGACTGCAAGAGTTGAAAGCAATTGTTTTATTAATTTGAGAGAAAACCTTTATTTCTTTTTTTTTAAATCAGTGTGCACATGATTTAATATGGCTTGAAAAAATTATTTTAACAATTTATTTCAAAATTAGAAAAATTCAACTTTTACTGAAAAGACAACAAAATAAATTGTGTTATTTACCAAGTTTTCATCAAGTGAAAAACAAATTCATATTTGAGGTTTTAAAATACAGCACTGTATAAGATAAAATATTACATGAATACTATTTCAATAACCTACTAGGCAAATTAGCAAAACTACAAAAGGATTTATACAAACTATTATTTAAAGTTTCACTTTGAAAAAATATTTTAATGTGTATTAATAAAGATGTTTTGATATTTAAATGGATTTAGAATCACTCAGGGCAGAATATTGACCTCATGAGATCTGAGATTGAAGCTAAATATCGCATGGAGCTGAACCGCAAGCTGGAGGATGTAAATAGATTCTTGGACTCTCAGTCTCATCTTCGGGACAGACTTGACACCTCTAGAACAGATTTAGAGGCAAACTTACTTTTGGACAAAAGAAAGCTAGAGGTAATTACATTTAAATACATTACCTTGATGATTGTAGAATTAAATGAATATGTGTATCTTTATTATAAGCTAATAAGTGATATTGTTTTAACTATTTAAAAAAAAAATCTTTTCTCTAATGAAAACAAACTTTATGTTATAATGGTAACAACAGTAGCCACTAGCATTTTATAAAAATTAAATTAAACACATTCAAAGAACATAAATAATAAAACTTAAAAGTTATGGAACAAATGCAGAATTACAAAATCTAGACACACAAAGATATAGAATTTAACGAATGAGAATTATAGATTGACATGGTTAATGTATTGAACTTCTGTATGCTCTACAGGAAGAAATAAACAATTTACGTATAAAGTTTGAACAAGCCGTGGCCCAGAGAGAGACAAAGGAAATGGAAGTGAAGCGGTTTAAGGAGCTGTATGAATCAGAGATGAAGTGGAGGATGAGGATCAGTGACCAGCTACAACTGGCCACTGAGAAGAGTTTTAACCTCAAGTCAAAACTCAGGTCAGTTGCCTGCTTGCCCAACTAGCTTTATTTACATCAAGTTTCTGCTGAAGAATGATATTTTAAGCAACCGGACATTTGCTATATCTTATAGTTTTACATCTTTTCACACTAACATTTACTACCTTTTTACATTGACTTTAATAATCAGTATAAAAATGTTATCAAAAAACATTAATGTTTCTTTAATTATATAATGTATTTCTAATTATATTAAGAGGGTGTTGTAGTTGCTTCATGCTCCATTTGGAGTGGAAAAAAGCGAATTAGGAATAGAACGATCATATTAAGATATTATTTCTAAGAACTTTATTGATTATGTCCATTCTGCAGTAATGAACGCCACTTTAGGAATAGCAGGCTAACAGGCAGTATTGGCAGTGTTGTGGGAAACAACAGCTTTGACGTCACCAGAGTCAATGGCTTCCATGACGATGAACTGAGCAGCAAGATAAAAGCAGAATTGGATCGAAGCATAGCTAAACACTTGGAAGCGGGTATGAAAAAAAATTAATTTAATTTTTTTTTATTGTTATGTATTGACCACATTAGCCATTTTAAACATAAGCATATATAGTTATTTTAGGGCAGTGTTTTCAAATGATAGAATGTTCGACCACTAACTTGAAAGTCTTGAGTTTGGATTTTCACTTATATAATTATTAGTTTTTTTTTAAAAAAGGATCTTGCTACCACCACAGCTAGTTGATGATACTTTGCTCATTAGCTTCTTGTGCTTGTCCATCTACAGCCCCTCATGATTACAAGAAACCAGTGATGATTCCAACCAAAGATGTCCCACTCTTTTCCTCAACACTCACACAATCCAGCAATGACTACATCGAAATTTTGAAACGCAAATACTGTGTATAATTTTTTTTCTTTATTGACTGCATTTTAGCATTCCCCTCACTGTTTGTGTTTATAGTAAACATAATGGTCTTTAGAATTGAACTGTGTAAACTGCCATTTGGTAATGTTACTGTTAGAAAATTGCGGTAAGTAGCCTAAATGGTTGTTTTAAATAAGCTACTGAAAAAATACACATTTTAGTTATAAGTAAGCCTCTCTTTTTCTGAAGATTAGCAATTAGTAATGTTTTGTTTTTGGATTTTAACTGCTGCAACTATTTATAGTATGTGCATGCAATCATGTTTATTTCTCAGCCATTTTATCTAGTTTTAATTTTCCCCCACCTGTTTTAAAATTATCCTGCACTTGCATATAATGAAAATTAATAAACCGCTGTTTAATATTAGCAGTGGAAGGGTACAGGTAGTTCAAAGCATATTTATTGTCATTTCGATATTTCGTTTTTGTCCTCTGAGATAAGATTTATGCTTTAAAGGTAACCACCATTCTCCCCTTCCCATATTATTCTGATTGTGATAAAAAAAAAACACATTGAGACTGTGTTAATACTTAACATCCCTGTTAGCAAAAATTCCATCCAATTTACTCTGTGAAAATACAATAATTTTGCTTTGTTTGTATATTATATATTTTGTTACAGTTGTATTTACAAGTTTTAAGATCTGCTTTTAATGGTGATGTTTGTTTTGTTCAATTTATTTTTAAATGACCCGTCCAAATATACATGCTGTTTACACATTTCTTAATTATACTCTTGATTGGAGGATGTGTTACAACTGCTAATCAAATTTTTCACAAGTGATATTCACCTTGTACGTCTTCTTAAAGTTGAATCAAATATATACTTATTTTTATTAACCACTTGTAAATATCTGAATGATTGGATAATACTATTTTTTTTAATACAATTTGAACTTAGATTGTAGTCCATTTAAAATATTCAGGTGTCATATCTAGTTATGGGTTGTTAGTGTGAATTTACTGAAATGTAATGGATGTATCTCACATTTAGGATTAGCACATGACGATTACATGTATTTTAACAATCAAACAGGTTTTTTTAATTTGTCTTTACAAAACAACAAATACTGCTTAGAAATAAAAGTTGTAAAAAACTTATTTACAGAAAATGTAGAGGAAAAATTTGACTTTTTATTGAAAGTTTTGAATACTTTTAAATTTTTTAATAGCTTAAAGGTATATATATATATATATATATATATATATATATATATATATAAGAACCATACCAGAATACTCAGGGAATGGTTGCCTTCTATTATCTATATATGAACACATTTCCCAACTGGTGTTCATGAATTTTTACCACTAGCTTGGGTAACAAATCAACCACTTTACACACCTCACCATATCACTATACGTTTTGCTAAATGAGTTTTTTAAAATAAATTAATGGCATACAATTTCTCACAAAAATGATAAAATTAACCATAATTATTCTTTACATTTTAATATTCTGAAAATATACTGCCTCAATTAAAATATAATTAAATGTCTATATCACTGTGTGACTTGTTTACCAAATTTTAATATTACTTTTATACTGGTATATATTATTCAATAATATCATTTTTTTAATAATATAAATTTATAACATTTTAAAATTTTGTACCCACTTGTTTATTTTAAATACTACTGGTACTTAACCTACTAATGAAGCAATATTATAAAATGTTAAAAAATAATTGATGGCTAAAATATTTTGAAAAATGTAATTTTGTAACAGTTTTAATTTTTCATTCGTTAAAAAATATTGAGTAATAAGACACTATATTTAATTTGTTCCAAAACGCTGCAGCTAAAGATATTTTATTATAAATATTATCTTGTTAACATTGGTAGTTTTTATAAATTATTTACCTATTGTAAAAATGGTTGTTAAACTAACTCAGATATCTTTGATCTATTTACAATTATAGTTACATCACTACTTTTACTTGCCATTTTGTGCTTTTGAAGAGTTGAAGAATAGTTAAATCTTTATAAAAACATTACAATACTTGGAAAGAAATGCAATTATGTTACTGTTTTTAATGCTTTTTGTTAATGAATACATTATAGGAACATTTCAATTACTTGACACTCGATTATTTAAGAAATTAGTTGGTTGGGGTTTTTTTGGCATTAGAAATACTTATAGGTCCATCTTTTGAAAGAATTACCTTTATCATTCAATAATAACCACATAAACATTGAAACATACAGCTAGTCACCACAACCTATGTCATGTAGTGTAAACATTTTGAAGTTATCATTATTATTCAAATCAGTTTTATTTTGTTAAAAAGCAATACATTTTTTGTGTGACTATGTGGTTGTTGTTTTTTAAGCTCCCTGACAGACATATCTTTAAAAGTAATCACAAAATGTATACCTTTGTACTCATTTAAATTTTTGTTATCTTAAAGTATGTCTCACCATACAAGTATTTACATATATATAAATTAATACCAGTAACCCCTGTGTTTCATCATATGCAATAATAAAGTTTCACAAAATTATCTATTTCTTAAAATGTTATATTTTTGTCATTAGACAACTGCATTTTGTGCATTTTTATATGTTGAGCAAGGAAAATCTTTTCGCATAGGACTCATCAATCTACATTTTTAATCTACATGGTTTCAATCCTCCCCCCCACCCCCCCAAAAAAAATTATATATATATATACATATATATATATATATATATATATATATATATATATATATATATATATATATATATATATATATATATATACCCCAATTCTATTTTGCCTACTGCCGTCAATTTGTGTGCACATTGTATTAATCCACCTAATAGTTAAAGTGGAAAAATCACCGTTTCCATAGTAAATTAAAAGTCTCGAGTTCAAACCCTCTGGCAGATAAGGTTCGATCCCTCCCAACACTAAAAATTAAGAATGAAGAAGAAGAAGAATAGTTAATTATTAGATTTTGGTATCACCTCCTCCCCTGTCGTTGATAGACTTATCAGTTATTTCAAATACTCAACAAAACCCACTTTCTTTGGTAATTTTTTCAGTAAGTGGAACCCCCCCCCCCCCCGGGTGATAGTTTAAAGTGTTAATAGTATACATTTGTATCCATTATCAGTTATTAATATAGATAGATTAACCAATTAACTAATTAGTCATTAATTGAATTTGCAAAATGCAAGTTTTCTCTATATATTTTGCAATTTTTTGCCATGGTGTCACCCCCCTAAATGGTGTCATCTGGTTTCGTCTGCATCCCCCGCCTTGCCACTATATATATATATATATATATATATATATATATATATATATATATATATATATATATATATATATCACTGCCTAAGAACCAGACTGTTCTAAAATGTTCACAATGCACCATGGTTAAAAGCTAAAAGCATTGGTCAATTATAAAATCTACAACACATTTTAGTGACTAACTAAAACAAATGTGTTTTATTTTCGTATTTTAGATTAGATACTAGAGTAGATCTATATAAGTTTAGACCTTTAAAGTTAAAGACTAAATCTCCTAAAAACGATTTCAGCTATTAACTAATTTAATATTAGGACGTCAAGAAAAAGGTGTTTTAAATGACAATCAGATAGGTGTAGACTCTAAACCTAATATAGAATCTAGATCTAGTTCCTATTTTTATTGTGATAATCATTTTAGATCTAGGTCTAGATCTAGATATTTTTTGACGTTTGACATTTTTTGGCTTTAATTTTTTTTCTCAGTATTTGGACTTCATCACATGGGATAATCTAAAAAATATGATCTTAAAAAAAAACGAAATGCGAACTTAAACTCAGCACTATGCCGGCAATTTATAAAACTTCTGTTTGTTTAGGCCTAGATCAAATTATTTATTAATTAAGGTAACTCTCTTATCATTGCCCTTTTATTTGGTAAGTTCACTGAAACATGATCCCTTATTCATTTTCCTTTCACGCAGGAAACCCTAAAGGAAACACTTTTTTAAAATAATCTTTTACTTTACTTTAGTTTTAGACTTTAGTTTTGAGCAGTGTGAGTGATCAGGATCAGTCCAGTACTCAAGTAAGTAGATCTAGATCTAGATTCTAGATCTAATTCTAAATCTACTTACTTTAGTTTAGTTAGTTAGTACTAGGAAATCTACTAATCTAGGTCTACTATTTACTATTACTAAGTTAGTAGGCCTAACTACTTATTTAGTATTTAGTTAGTCTACTAACTAGTCTAGTAGTAGTACTGTAGTAGAGTACAAGTATTAGATCTAGAAATCTAGATTATTATATTAATATTATACTATACTAAGTAATAATTAATAATTTATTAATTATAACTAATTTAAATAGTACTAGTACATAAGTACTATCTAGTACATTCACAAGGACGATATTTCGAGTCGTCCCTTTGAATCCCGGACAGATCGTCCCCCCCGGCGTGGCCTCAGCCAACCGGCGGGCTCGTTGCATTGAGTTAAATATAAACTCAAAACAATAATATAAACAATCTCCTTTTAGGTCGGTCAGGCCACATACCAGGCACGCACAGTGTTGTGTGTCGTGCCTTAACCAAAATAAACTATCTCCCTTCATTATCATTAGATATATTTCATTAGTTAATTAATTAATTAATTAGCTAATTTATAAAATTATGTATGATGCTATAGCATTAGGTAAGTTACAGTAAGTATCATTTTTTAAACTATGTATTTGTACTATAAAGAAACAGCTTCGTTGTTTGAATACCACCCCTTCCCCTTCTTGAACTCAAAGTTCAACTTTTAACCCCGTTCGTAGAGACATGCGGTATGTTGTAAGGCGGCGGGTGGGTAGGGTATATACTCATTGAAGAAAAAATCCACTGTGGTGCGTGTTATTGGCCTTGGGCCTTCTGTGACGTTGTTGGCGTTTGCTGTGAGGGGGAGAGGGGTGTGTTATATCCGTTTAAAAAAAATCGCAACATGGTATTGGCCTATGATGACGTCGGCGCAAGCGGGGAGGGGGGGGGGAGACACTTTTTTTTTTAAACCAAGAACTAGGCGTTTAAAGGCTGTAATGAAAATCAAGGACTGGTTTAGCCATGATGTCGAATTTAACGAGTGATGCTTGCTGGGTCTATCATCATTCGATTGCTTGGCGATGGGAATCTCGCCAAGCTCAGTTTATATTTACAGTGAACTATTGGGATGCTGTCATACACAAAGTAACAGCTACCGAATGTAGCACTTAAAACATCGAGTGCATCCCGCTCATTATAAATTTGAAATACAAGTTATGGATTGCCCAAAAACTTGAAGGACTATCAGAATATATGCATTGTATTATAACATTAATCATTACGATATAACTAAAATGTGTATCCAAATATTTTTAGGCTAACAGGATCTGCATTTAAATAAACAAGACCTATTAGGCTACTTTTGCATGGTAGCACAACTACATTTTTAGATTTAATAATGAGTAGCCTAGTCGTGCATTAAAGGGCTGTACTCAATAACAATGAAAAAAATGAAATGCCGGCTTCAAACTTCAAGCTATGATTTCCCCGTATTCTTCTACTAGAAATATAACTCCCTTGTTCTAATGACCTCACCCTCCTCCTCTCACCTAGTTCAATTTAAAGTTACACTTTCAACCCCGTTAGGATGCGTGAGCTACTGATGACCTAACTATTGAAAAAAAAAACTATTCTGGCGTTAAATTGCCCTCCCCTACTCGCAGCACTTTGGGGCCATACACACCAGGAAGGTCTAGGTCGGTGTTGTATCTCGTGCAAATTTACTCACAACACGACTACACACTATGGTTGTATCCAGGACTAAAGTCTAAAGCTGCGACACTCGCATAGAGTTGGATTTATTCGTTAGATCATTGTGCTTCAAATTCTGTTTCAATATTGGATTAGATGGATATAATGTTGGAATTCAGTTAGTTTGTTATATTATATTTATCTAAATGTCGTGTACCATCAGAAACTAAATTGGTTGACAAGACACATGTGTAGGCTAAAGAATGACCTCTAGATCGAGCCAAAGATGGCTGGTTAAGGTTGACAAACTGTGGTTTTCAAATTTCATGGTGATGCTTTTCTAAAGGATTTTATTTTGTGCTTTCTTTGGGATTATTTTGTGTGATGTGATTATTCAGAAGTAATTTGTAAGTAGAAGCTTTTCACATCCAACCATTTTAACAGTTTGCGATTGATCTGCGGCTGGGCTGATTAATTTACATTTAGCAAAACTACACACTACACGGCGCCCTCAGGCCGTTGTTTCAGCATGCCCTACTAGTCAATTATAGACAAGTTTAGAATCAATACATAGAGCCAACACACCGATTTTTATTTAATAATCTTCAAGAGCCATTCCTATAGGGTCGTTATTTTCACGAAATTGTCGTTTTCCATTTTGTTGTCAAGAAACTGGTATTTAGTTCACGAGAACGTATGAAAACCACTCATGCGTGACCGAAATCGTCGATTGGGTGCCTTCACGTGGTTTGACACGTGTTGACCTAGGCCATTGTTTACATCCAAAAATCACCCAAAACGGCCTTTTTTCGAAAAATTTGTTTGAAAAAATGGCTAAGTCCAGTTTGAAAAAGTGTCATTTTCGAGCCCATTTTAAAAAACGTAAAAAAATCCGAACTACACGTAGAAAAAAATGGCTTTTTCGGCCCTTTTTAGCTCCAAAAACGCGTCGCGTGACGTCACCGTGACGTCAGCCGCCAACCAAAACGCGGAGAAAGCGCGCGTTTGATTGGTTGGCGGCTGACACTATGAAATCCTCTAAGGACGATTCGAATGGTATACCCATTCACAATTATCAGACTGACTATGTGATTATGCAATTTTACCTGATATCGGAACATTTATATGATATGAAGGGTGACTGCTTAGGCCCTAATATTTATTATTTAACTTTCTTAACAAAATTAGAATTCTACTTTCTATATTACCACTGAAAAAGAAGACTGTCAGAGCAACCCATTTTTTTCAAAAAGTCAACTTAGCAGACTTTGCAAGTAGCGTCTTCAAATATCAGTTATTTTATATGATTTATTTTACACCCTATTTAAAAATTGGGTAGAATAAATTTTAAAGGAATTTTTTCTTTTATCTACATGTTATTATCATTAATTTTTGTATGTAATCAAAGAACTGCGAATATTAAAAGTTGAAATTTATGACTCCGAATTTTTTTTTGGTAGGTATAATTGATCGGTAAGACTTGTTAATTTTTATAAATTTTTATACCTATTTGAAAACAATTTAGTATAAATTTTTAAGGAATTTTTCTTTTGTCCAACTGTTTGTTTTCTTTGTTTATTTTTGCTTTTTGTGAAAGAACAGGGGAAATTATAAGTTTAAATTCCTGACGCTGTTATGTCCCTTTAACAATTAAAGTTGAGTAGTAAAAGCGTTCAATTATCAACCCCTTTTTAAAATTTTAATATGACATTTCTGAGAATCTGGTATATACTATTATTATATGATACGAGCCGACCCGCGGCATATCATACGCCGCTATTTAGTTGTTTTATTTTCTACTTTTCATTAATTCATAATTTGTGAATTCGACAGTACCAATGCTGCCACTGAAAATATTTGCTTTAAAACACTATCAGTAGGTCGTTAAGGATGATACTACCCCCCTCTTTTCCCCCAACCCCTACCCTACACCCCCCCCCTGTGAAAGCAGCCTCCTCTTAGTTACCTCCCCTAAGTTTAAAGTCGTTTTAAACTAAATTATCTGTCCCTAATAGCCGTCACTAAACCCTGCTCTACGATTGTAAACATTTTGCGTGAACCAAAGCTCATCAGACCATGTAGCTTACAGCTTGGTGTTTTCTAGCATCTCCAAGAAGAGAATTATATATATAGATAGGCCTAGCATATATCATAACATCTCAGAATAAGCATAAATTATAGATGCCATGTAGTATTATTACACCTGGTCGATAAAAATGTAAAAAATAAGTGCAATAGTGTTTTTAAAACATCAGCTTACTGTTTTAATTTTTAAGATTCCTAATTACTAAAAAGTAGAAAATAAATGTTAATGTCATTTAAATGCACCTATAAAATAAAATCATTTCTTTCTTTAATAAAAGCATTGGTTGCTCATGAAATCTCTACTGACTCTAACACCAGTTTGTAATAAAATCTCATGCCATGACCTATCTATAATTTTGATATGTTTCAGATGGAATCACATGAACACAGCCAGTCATGTTTGTTAATAGTGGATAAAAAGCATCCCTACTTTTACTTCAGACTTCAGTTGTAAGTATTGTAATATGTTATACATAAATATTGAAATACTTCATTAAAATATCTGCATATAAAACTTTGTGAAAATTAGAACTTACTCACACTCTACAGATCAGTTGATTAAAATTTTATTTCAGGACAATAGATGATGAAAATGTTAATGAATTAACACATACACAGTACAAATACTTAATTATGCAAGCTATTACAGAAACTTTAGGGCAGGTATGTACTAAACATTTTTAAATAACTTCACTAAATAAATCTAAATAGATTTTAAACAGTATATAGATAAAATTTTGCATAAAGAAACACATTTTAGTTCCAGAATTAAATATAAATTCTAAAAATATATAATCAACCAAGTTCTAAAAATGGACATATTTTATTTCTTTATTAATAAAGTTTTTCAGCATTAATAAGTCTTCCATGTGCAAGTGACCCCACTGACATTCAATACCACCAACATCTGTTTCATGACTAAAATCTGGAAGTAAATGTCTAAAAAGCTAAAAAGTTTGATGTGTGTTTCTTGTACTTATACTTTAAATTCAATTTTTTTTCTTTTACATCTGTAGATAGGTGCTGCCACAACTGTTGATCTTATAAGAGTTATGGACAGTGGCATGGCTTTGGTTAGAGTTCCAAGCAGGTGTGTGCATCAGACGTTTTATCTAAGTTAATAGTATATATGTTGTAAGAATAATTAGTAAAGCAGTACATTTTTTAAATTTTCAAAGCTTATAAACTACCTGTTTTTTTTATCAATACTTAGTAAAGCTGAGAAGATTTGGGCATCACTGACACTTTACGGGACAACTCCAGCCAAGAGAAGATGTGCATTTAGAGTTCTCCAGGTTTGTTATTATTATGAGATGAATTTTTTATACTTAGAAATTAATTATCAGACAGCAACAGGAAATAGTTTTTAACACACACAACAGTTTAATTAGTAACATTTATTAGTATTAGTGAGGAAATTACATTTTTAATTATGAGTTATCTAATATTTAATAATTAACACATTCTCTTGTAATTTTTGATAGAATGTACTCTCAATTTTACTGAGTAAAATGTGTATTTTAGAAAGATAATTATCCTTTACTGAGGTATGGCTGTAAAAATATAACTGAAATATAAATATTCTTTTCAGGCTTCTCCATTTCTTATGTGTCTTGCATTTAACTCAAGAGATGTGAGGTGACAATATGACAGATTCACATCTTGATGAAACAGTTTTGTACATATTTAGAATAAAACAGGAGAACATTTTTTTTTACTTCATTCAGCTGAAAACTTAACTTAGTAGTGGATTTCAAGCTGATTTGACGGAAAACCAACAATGTGTAACACAGTATTTCTCTTCTTGTTTTTTCTTCTAAAAGCTCAGAGATACCTCCTTAATTGAGCTCATATAACTATTATTATATATTGTTACTTTTATTTAATAAGAGAAGTAATAAAATATTTGTGTATTTTTTGTATATAAAGAATGACTGTTATTCAATTTTCATGAATATTACAATTTCACTTATAATGCATAAAATGATTAAAACCTCTTTACATCAAAACTAAGGATGCATTTTTAATTTTTGTTTTAAATGCTCATGAATACTTTGGTTTAACAAAAGAATACTTAAAATATGGGCAATAGAGCAATGATTGCTAATCCAAAATCTCAAGCTTGAATACTGGGCTTTTGTCCATAGAACATCTCTTAGTCCACCCAGCTTCCATGAGTACCTGACTCAGGGAAAGTAAAAGCGACTTAGCATTTATTTGACACACTATCCATTTAAATGCCAAGGTCACAGAAAAGATTAAACTCAACTTAATCTGTCCAATTATCTGGAAGGTTGGAAAGGAAAACTATTTTTTTTTAAATTTTACTCTAAATTTTTCCAACAGTGATAAACAGTTGATGTATTTAGATATACAGAGAATTTCTTATCAGCTTTAATCCAACTAATGCTTAATGCAGTTGTGCATACAGATGTATGTGCGGTTTATAAAATAAATTAATAAGCTTAAATATATGAAACAAAGCACTTGAATAGTGACTTATGTCTTAATAAGAGATGAACAGTTGAAAGAATTTTTATTTTAGCTCAAAATTGAGTGTCCAGCAAAAAACAACCACACAGAAATCTTAAAAACTTATTTCTTGGTTAGCAGTTTTTTTTTAAATGGCTGGTACCCCATCAGGGTTACAGGTAAATATAGGATTAAGGTTCATCTGCTTTTGCCTTACTTGGGTAATCAAAACTTGATGATTTCAGAACTATGACTTTGAATAATATGAATCTATGTGGCCTAGCAGTAGAGAGCTAGACTGCTAACACAAAAGTCTCGAGTTTGAATCAGGATTCAATTCAGTAGAATGTCCATGAGTCCACCCAGGTCTGATGGGTTCCCTAACCCACGTTAATACACACAAATGCTGCTAGGCTTAGTGCTGACCACACTATCTCTTCATTTGCCAAGGTCACAGAAACAGATGAACTCTACGTCTTGGATCCGAATGGGAAAAGATGATGAACTTTGAATAAAACATAATGATGTAGGAAGAGTTGAACCCTTTTTAAATTTACTAAAAAAATAAAGTAACTAAAATTAAGTTGTGCTCTTTTAAATTGTATTAACATAATTTATTAATACAAAATTAAAATCGCTTTAAAAGTGAAAGAGGAAGAATGCTAACATATTTCCTAATTTAAGGCTTAAGGAATGATATAGGCCCTCAACTTAAATTTGTATTATTGTTTAATCTTGAATTTAAACTAAAATACATCATATCATAACATTACTGTAAACTAAGCTCTAGATTAAGGTTTGTTACTTCCCTACTCAAAACGCTTGCTCTATTGTAATGATACAAAATATGTGACCTTGTACAAATTTTACAAACAACAATTTTTTTTTAGATTTAATTAATAATTAGATGGTGGTCGAAGAAAATTTATCTTTTGTCTCTTTTAAATTTTTTATTTTGTATTTGTCATTTTTGGCAATTTATGCTGAACTGATCTGGCAATTTTTATAATAAAATGTAAACAAACTAAAAACAAACTAAAGTAAGCTAAAGCATGTCTAAACTACTCTACTAAACTCTAGACTCTAGATCTAGATCTAAGTCTAAGCTCTTAACTAAAATCGAATCTAGAATCTAGATAGATTGTAGATCTATAATCTAGATCTACTAGTAGTGTAACTTGACTCCACAAGGAAGTCAGATCTAGAATCTAGATTAGATCTAGATTATTCTAGATCTAGAATCTAGTAGAAGAGATCTAGATCTAGATCTAGATCTAGATTACTAAAACTAAATTTTTAAACTAAAAAAAAACAACTCAGAACTGACTGGTATTTATAAATATTAATTAATTAATTAACTAGGCCTAATAATTTTAAATAATTATTAATTAAATGATTAAATATCACATTTTGATTGTAAGTTGTGGTAGGCCATGCCATGGGGTCGGTAAAACTAATTTTAGCGTATTTTTGTGTGTACTTGAGTGTTTACTGTTTAATTGTTTTGGTTGTTTATATAATATATTTATAATAAAATACGCTCAACTGGAGGTGAACGTGAAGCAGGGACCAAAGTGGCAGGGAATAAAATACGCTAAAATTACTAGAGTTTTACCTGGTCTTAGACTAGCACTAGATTCTAGATCTAGAGATGAATAGACTCAAGATACTGTCTTCTTAGAGTAACTTTAGACTTCAGGCCTTTATGATTATCATATTATAAAAAGTAAAAAGTAATTTAAGTTAATAAACAATAATTTATTGCAGGCATCTGTGCAGAGCAAATTGCATAATAATAAAATACATTAAATCATTAAATGAATAATTTTAATTATGGAATTCATAATCATATGCCAATGCTAGAAAAACAAAAGAGTGCTACTTCTGTCTTCATTTCTCCCAGAGAGTGTAGCGACCCTTCCCGGCCCCCAGGGACAAACTTTCGATTTGCACCCCCACCCTCAAACTTTTTATTTGCACCCCCCCCCCCTTGAAATTAAATTTGTTGTTTTTTGTTGTTGTTTTTTTTTTTTACAGGAAATGAAGGTCTGCAATGTTTTAAACTGCTCTTTCCCAGAATGGTATTGCAATTTTAAAGGCATTACCACAGAAAGGTTTGTATTAGTAGATCTATAACCTGTTAAAACTAAAACTGAATTTCAGTAAAATTGGAAATGTGTGCTAAGAGAAAAATAATTACATTGGCAAAAATAATGTAATAGCTTAAACCATCAAATTCATAAGTAGCATGGCAATACATTTGATTGGCTATTATTACTAACTGATTAGTTACAATTTTTAAAAAGTTATTGAGAAGCACTCAGCAAGGTGTTCATTTGTAAAAAATTTCATGCTATGTAAATGTGTTCATGCCCAACCATAAATTAAATAGCCAAGCACTAAAGTGATGTCACAATGTTCCAAACCTTTGATCAACTTAATTTTTGCTAAATGTGCACTTTTTTAAAATATAAAATTTTATGATGCTCCACAAACATGTCACCCCCTGTAGCACATTATCTGAATACTCCTCCTTGTATTTTTTTTTAAAAAAGTTTGTTTTGTATAATAAATAATAAACTTTTGGAAAATATTATATTTCAGCATCATAATTCCATTGCCAGGCACATTTCTGAACTATCTTCATACAGATGGTGTTGTTTTACCAGAAAGGTAATATGCCTTTGTAAAATGTGCAAAAAATGTTACTAAATTCAGGTAAATTACAGAAATCAATATAAATTATGAGTTATGAACAAATATTTTTCAGTCTTTCAAATGAAACATCTTTAAAACATATATAGGCCAATATCTAGATACAGAAATATACTTTTAAATTATTTTCAAAAATAAAAGTCTATTTTTCTGTTTATGTTATACTATAAGTTTTTGTTTTACAGTTCAAATCATGGCATATATACAAAAACCAAAAAGATGGCAATGGATGGAGATGAAGATGATGAAGATATCAGAGATGATGAGTTAATGAAAAAATATGAAGTAAGAATCTTTTAATATATATTTTCAGTCATAAAGAGCTGGCCAGTTTTTTAGCAGTTTTTGGAGAACAATATAATTACATAAAATATATATTTCTGATTAGTTTGTATTTTAGAAGTAACAGAATTTTTTGTGTGCACATCTAGGCTGACTGGGCAACAGATTACAGTTCAAAAACAGCAATGGTAAGTTTGTTAATTTTGTGAAGTTCAAATGATTGGATATAAATATAAATTTTTCTCACTGCTTATTTTAATGACAATGAATTGCATAATACAAGAGCTGTTATGCTGATCACCACTGAGACTATTTATCCATAAACCATTGACTGTATATTTGATCTGGTTTCCAGTAGTGGAATTTAAATAATTAATAAATAAGTCAACTCTAGAGAGCTTTGTTTATTAAAAAAAAATATATTGCTGTTAATTTTCTTTTTTAATTATTTTACATATTTTTAGTCACCAGATTTTGGAGAGTTTGACATTAAGGTCAAGTCAGCTATTAAAAGTCTGGGTGGTAAAGTATTTCCCAAGTTGAATTGGAGCTCCCCAAAAGTAAATTTTATTTGATTTTGCATGATTAAATGCAATATTTATAACTGTTTATAGTTTAAATTGGAATATTACATTTTTTATCTATATGGAAAAAAGAAAATAAGTATCCCCTTTGATGGAAATTTCTTTTGAGTTCCCAAGATTTCATGAAATGTTTATACGAAGAGAAAGGTGTGAAGCTTTTATTTATTCTTGTGACTTTTATGTGTTATCTCAATGATTATTGATATATTTTATGCTACCCATATACCTAAACTATCTCAGTAAATAATTTTTATTTTTAGGATGCCCACTGGATAGCATTTGATAAATCATTGATGTGTACCTGCCCCAGTGATGTTTATTTATTGCTGAAAAGTTCACAGTTCATAGCACATGATTTAGATCAACCGTAAGTAAAAATACCTTTGTTTTTAATAGGAAATAAATATGCTGACTTTATCATTATATAGCTTAAACATTAAGCTCTGAGCAGCAAGATTTCAAATACGTTTTCAGATTAATTTAAAAGACCTTAGATGAAAACTGTAACAGTCTATAGATTGTAGTTAGTAGGCAGTTATGTTGAGAACATTTAGCCACTCATACACTTTATAAAATACTGCCACTCATACACTATATAATATACTGTAACAAAAATGTTTTTTTTTTACTTTGAGTCTATCCTTTGTCTCTTGTCCCCTAAATAATGTCTGAACAAGGAAAACTGAGATAAACAATGCTGTTTCAGTACACATATAAAAGTCTATAGTTTAAATGTTAAGTCTCTTTGTCCAGGTTTCTTATGTGTGAAGATTATACCCCAAATACCCATGATTCGTCTTTGAACTTTTATCTCATACTGAGAAAGTGGGAGCCTCCTGATCCATCTACAGAGTTCAGATGTTTTGTACATGAAAATAAATTGATTGGTTTGTAGCTTAGGTTATTGCAGTTTTATAATGACTATAGACAATTTAATTTCAATATGAATAATCACTTGTGCCTAAAAACTAATTTAAGTTTACAATTAGAAAATATCTGTATGTACTTTGTTTGCTTGTAGATCTATTTCTGTATGTAACATAATGATTTATAAATTCTAATTTGTCATAGGTGTCTGTCAGAGAAATGCTAATAAATTTTATCCACACATTCTTAATGACAAGAAAAGCATCGTTGAAGATATTTCCACTTTCCTGAACCAGTCCTTGACAGTGTTTCCTGACTCAAATTGTAAGTTTTTATTTCTTGCTTAATGATCAAACGCTTTCTTCTTAAATCATAGCATTTCTTTTATATCTATGCTTGTGCTTAAAATTAAAATAAAATTTTAGTTTTTCTTTTTCAGATGTATTTGATATTGCTTACAAGAAAAAGGTAAAACTGAATTTTCTCATATGTAAACAAAGAAAAGTAAAATGGTATTGCAAATAATTTGTTAAAATGTTTATTTGTAAATAGGGCTGCGTATACTTGATTGACTTCAACCCTTATGGAGTTGTAACTGATGCTTTGATGTTCACTTGGGATGAACTCAACCAGATGGCAGATAATAAGAGAGAGGTAATTCTAAAATATGTTTGTTGCTTAATAGTTGGTAGTAAATTTCACTTTTTAGAGTTCACCTGTTTTTGTGGGTAAAGTCATCTTAACCATAAAAAAAATACCTGTGCTACTTTCAACTTGCATGTTCCTTGTAAACTGCTTGAAGATAAAATCTGAAATCTGAAGCCAAGAATTCTAAAAGCTAATTTGAATTTAATATATGTCTTCACACCCATGGCTTGTGTAAGTCTACATCCTTTAATAATCCATTAATTCAATGACACTGCTGTTTACGTTGCCGGGAAAGATTTCTTGTTTGTGTTCTCCCTTTTCAAAAATGTTTTTTATAATTGTCCATAAATAATCTTAGCCTTAAAACGTATTTTTTAAAAATGTTATCTTTTTGCTTAACATTCCTGTTCAAGCATCAAATCAGTGTAAAATATAATAAGCTACCTTGAACCTCTTTATTTAAAACTCCTGTTTAGTCCCCAGTGTCATTGAATCAATGTACATATTTAAAACTCCTGTATAGTCCCTCGTGTTATTGAACCAATTTACATATTTAAAACTCCTGTTTAGTCCCCAGTGTCATTGAATCAATGTACATATTTAAACTCCTGTATAGTCCCTCGTGTTATTGAACCAATTTACATATTTAAAACTCCTGTATGGTCCCCAGTGTCATTGAACCAATTTACATATTTAAAACTCCTGTGTAGTTCCCAGTGTCATTGAACCAATTTACATATTTAAAACTCCTGTATAGTCCCCAGTGTCATTGAACCAATTTACATATTTAAAACTCCTGTGTAGTCCCCAGTGTCATTGAACCAATTTACATATTTAAAACTCCTGTATAGTCCCCAGTGTCATTGAACCAATTTACATATTTAAAACTCCTGTATAGTCCCTAGTGTCATTGAACCAATTTACATATTTAAAACTCCTGTATAGTCCCTAGTGTCATTGAACCAATTTACATATTTAAAACTCCTGTGTAGTCCCCAGTGTTATTGAACCAATTTACATATTTAAAACTCCTGTATAGTCCCCAGTGTTATTGAACCAATTTACATATTTAAAACTCCTGTATAGTCCCCAGTGTCATTGAACCAATTTACATATTTAAAACTCCTGTGTAGTCCCCAGTGTCATTGAACCAATTTACATATTTAAAACTCCTGTATAGTCCCCAGTGTTATTGAACCAATTTACATATTTAAAACTCCTGTGTAGTCCCCAGTGTCATTGAACCAATTTACATATTTAAAACTCCTGTGTAGTCCCCAGTGTTATTAAACCAATTTACATATTTAAAACTCCGGTATAGTCCCCAGTGTTATTGAACCAATTTACATATTTAAAACTCCGGTATAGTCCCCCACGTCATTGAACCAATTTACATATTTAAAACTCCGGTATAGTCCCCAGTGTTATTGAACCAATTTACATATTTAAAACTCCTGTCTAGTCCCCAGTGTTTCGTTGTGTTGAAAGTGAGGCTGGTGTACAATGCTTGGACTATGCCAACTACTCCATACCCCAGGACATTCAGCATCTTACAACAGGAGAGGATTCTTATAAGCTCATGGATCTCATGAAACTTGTAAGTATACAACTTGGGCTGTCTGTTTAATGTTGATTATTTTTTCACGAGTCTGTGTATTCAGTAGGTGTATGGTCCATCAGATTTTGATGATCCTTTTATTTATCTTTTCCTTTGATACCACCTCTAGAATATCTTTTTTTTTGTAGATCTAGACGTTTAGTTGTCTTGGGCTGGGGGGGGGGGGGGGCTACTAGATATGTATAAATATGTACGTAGAAGTGTAGTTGGTTAAGCCCCAATTGTGTCCCGTTCTCCCCCCCCCCCTCCCCCCCACCAATCCACTGCTATACATGTACACATTAAAAAACTGAGCTGTTAAATATACTATAAAAGTGACAAATATGCAAACCTGGTAACTTTTGAAAGACCTACAATTTTCCTCTAGATCTGCCCATGGGGGCCAATCTAATTGATTCACCAAAGAATTGCTTATTCATTGATGCTTGTCAGCATGTTATCCTACATGACTTTAATTCATACTACTCATGAAGAAGTAGAGTTTGTAGTTGACACACTGGTCTGTTAGATCCTCTTTTTCATATTGCCTACATCTGTTTTAATAATGTACTGACATTTTTGTAGATTGCTTTCTACTCAACAGTTAATAAATTGAACAAACTAGTTTACAACTGACATAATTTATAATTTATTATCTTTTTACAGCAAATACAAAAAGAGTTTGACTCAAGTTCTAGCTCTGATGAGAATGAAGAAGCAAGTAATCAAATCAAGGACAGTTTTCAAAATGACAGCAGATGACACAGGGGAAAAAAGTTCAACAGTATTATATACAATTTTATTCTATTTCATTAATGTATATTAAAAAATCTGGTTAATTATTTTATTTGTTCTCATTGATTTTTAAAAGAATTTGAGCAAGTAATAATTCTTTTTGGCTTAAAGTCAGAATAATCAATTTATTTAAAATAATTAATTCCAGGATTAAAATTTTTAGATATCACAGACGTATAACAATAATGTAGTTTAATCATTAATAAATTATATTGTAGCATTTAGTTTAGTTATATAATTATGTTTTATAATGCAGGCTTAAGAAATGTTATAATTTAAGATACTGCATTGTTCATGAAACAGGTATAAACATAGTTGATCATTTGTATGTGGTTTATAAAATCGTCACAAAAAAAATAGATGCTTAAAACAAAGCAAAAACAAAAAGGCACTACAGTATTTAAACATATTTCTTTTGGCAGTTCTATTTTTCTGTTTATTGCTTCCAATCACAACCTATTAAAAATATCTACCTGAGATTTAAAAAAAAATCATATATTTAAGATTTGCTTACATGATTCACTGATTATTCTGCATTAAAATAAAATGGATGTATAAAATAATTTGCTATTGGGGGTGAGCAATTAAAATACAGTGGGTAAATAACATTTTACATTCTGTATAAGCAGGAATATTAAATAGGTGATTGTACATTAACATTACATATGGGTAGCTACCATAATACTTTTCAGCAGTGAAGTTGAACAGCTAAATACCCAACAAAAATGTAGAATTAATACTTTATAACCAACATGGAGATGATGACAGCAGTATGTACAATGGCTACAGAAACTGAAAGACAAAACAATTATAGGTGAACTTATGAACTTATTCAGTGGTGGGTGTAAATTCAAACCTCTCAATTTGTACAGTAACTCTGGTTAACAAAAGGTGTACACTAATAGATACTACTAATTAACTCTTACAGTAATTCTGGTTAAACAAAGGTGGACACTAAGTTAAACCACAAATTAACTTATACAGCAATTCTGGTTAAACAAAGTCAGACCACATATTAACTTATACAGCAATTCTGGTTAAACAAAAATTGAAACCAAGTCAAAGCAAAATTTAATTATAGAGCAAAACTGTTAAACAATATGACACTAATTTTAACAAGTAATTCACTTAGTATTAGCAAAAATGCTGTTTTATCATTCTCAAATCATATATCTCTGTAATATTAAAAATTTCAGTAAAAAAGAAAATTAAAAAAGCAGAATGGTTCTATAAGTTGTAACCCTTATTTTATAAGTATAAGGTACCCATTTTTATTGCCATTTTTTAAAATATTGAGCAAGGGAAGGTAACTTTGCTTACTGTAGGGCTGCATGAATAAAAACAAATTTTGGTAGAAGCTAGAAGTATCGCAACAAAAATTTTAAAATAGATCTGTATTATTTTCAGTCATAACTAAACATTTAACAAACAAGACATTAATGTCTAAAAATACTTAATGAATGGAACAGTTTTCAACGACAGATGTCACACTGTTGTCAAATTAGCCATAAAAAGTTATATAGAATTTCGGCAATGTGTTTTTTTACTCCAAATCAGAGTCACAAGTCCAGTTATAAATAGTCAGTGTAACTGTACTGATCCATCAATTTGTAGCAATAATGTGAGACAAGTTGTTTAGAGGCTAACAGGTTTAAGTTTTGGTGTGGGAAGTTTCAGCCTTGAAGTTATGACTCTTGAATCCTGATGAGACTGGCTGGGCAAGACAGCCTCACTTTGATGACCTTGACCCTTTTCAGCCACCTGCAAGTGGGAAAGCATATAAATGGTTTTTTGTATACATTATAAAATTGAAACTATTTTTGAAACAGTACATTACATTATAACATTCTTATCAATTAAGCAAATATATCGTTTCAATAAAGCAAACTTTGTTTTAGATAAGTATTTTTCTAAATGCATGTGATGAAATTTTTCTACTTGTCTGCTACCATTAAAGCCAAAATAATTAAGTTAAAAAATTTAAAATAAACTTAAAAAATAGAAGTGGTACTTCTAAAAATATAGAGCACTTTTTTATTAAAATGCTTTACAGAAAGAAAAAAAACTTTCAATGAAAACAGATCTCTCTACAAAACATCATTTGAAAAACTTTATATTTTTGTTCTGATTAATTTTTTGTATGGGAACATGACACAGTAATTACACTTCACATAAATGAAAACTTCATTAAGTCCCATTTTCTGTGATAAAACAAGTATGTAAACCAATAAAAACTGAAAAACCTTTTAGTGATATACATTTGGGTAAAAGTTAATGTGGCATAAAAAAAAATTGAAAATGTTTACAAATGACATAAAACAGGAAATTGTTTTGTTTATTCCTACCTGAGCTGTGGGGTGGTATATTGAAGGTAGCTCTGGTATCTGTGAACTGTAAAACAAAGATATTTCTTTCATTTGCCTCCAAAGTCTCACTGATTTGTTATTTCAAGTTTGTAATCAACAAATATTTGTAACAAGTAAATAAGGCAAAGATTAATAAATAAAAACAAGTGTTTTATTTTGAATTTTATTTGAAATTTTTAAATTTTAAAGTTTTAAAATTATTTAACTATTCGTAAACCCAATCTTAAACTCAAAATTATTTATTGAAATGTTATCCCTAATTGCATTTATATTAAAACATGTTTCCACTATTAGGGTATTTTTTTAAAAAATCAATTAAGTTTGTCACAGAATATGAGAAATATTGTTTTCAAAGGTTTTAGGTGTTAAAAACATATCCTGTAATCCCAAAAAAAAAACAAAAAAAAAACAGGGAAAACTAATCCAGCTTCTCAAACAAGAAAATAAAACAATAAAAAATTAAACTACCAACATCAAGAGACTTTTCATTTAAAAATTAGAAACAAAGCTATTACAAAAAGCTTGAGATAAATAAACTTTTTAGATGATTTTTAGTGTATAGAGATATAAATTTGTCAGTTGATTAATCTAACAATCTGTGTGACATGTAGTGCTTGATACTACTTGAAATTCTTAATAATAACTTAATTTCATATGCAAATGGCATTTCTAATTTTTTTAAAACCTTTTATTTAAAGTATTAGAGTTAGAAAGCAAACACCCTAATGGCTGCAGTATCTCAAAATATATTTTAATGGCTAACTGTAAATACATAATTACTTTAGATGAACCAACAAATTTAATTTTAGCAGCTTTTCTTAATACTAATAAACATTGGAGATAATATGTATGTAATATTGGTGATAAAACATTTCATTTCAGTAACTGTGCAAAATAAAGCTATAAGATAACTGTCATGTTTTAAACAAACCACAAGTCTAATATAGAAAAGTTAATGAAATATTAGTAGTAGTATTTTTATTTCATGAGACATCTAGCTATATCATTTAATGCCAAGTAAGCAACCTAAAAAATTAACAAACAAAAACATCAATCTAAGGTGCAATTTTAACTAGCAATATAATTCTTTAGTATGAACTTCGTAATTTTTCTTACAAAACATTTGCTTATAATCTTTTGTTAATGCTTTACCAAGCTATTAGCAGACAATACATTTTTTTAATTTTATTTAGTAAATAAACTGTAGAGAACAAAACTCATTTTTGTATGTTCAGTCAATAGTGTTGGAATAGAAGTACTAACATTTTAACTGAAATTTAAACTTTTATAATTTGCAACTATTAATGATCAGTTACATTTTGAGATTTGTTTGATATTAACAGTTTCAAAATTGTAAATATTCATGCGTTTCTTAAATTCCAAGTATAATAGTTATCATGTAACTGATTCTGGTAGATCTGGCATGTTTGAGGCTTAAAGAGTAATATTTCAGCCATACATGCTGATCCCTTATACAACTGTTGATAACCATCAAATTTGAAGAGCAACGTTTCAAAAAAAAATTTAAAATCTTGTTTAAAGTTTTTGTACTGGTTCCATCAAAATGAGGTTAAATTTTGATGAGATAGTCTGCCTACTTTCGACATGCACAAAATTGTGCCCCATATACTGAAATGTTTCTGTTTCAATTCTTCAATGTGCATTAGGTAATTTAACTATGCTTCAATCAAACACACAATTTGTAAGTTCATAACTTTAAAAAAATGGTTTATGAAGTTTCTCAGTCCAATATCAAAGTTGTAACAAATAGAAACCTAAAAAAATATTAGCATTTTTCAAACATATTAAAATAGCTCAATTTTAAAGCTTAAATTTAATACAGAATTAAAAATTGGTGCAATTCAAAAACAAAACTAAAAATAAAATGCTGAAAGATCTAGAAGGCTACTAAATTTCTGGCACAAAATCTTTTGTTTTTAACAACCTTTGAAATAGTTACAATGTCTAACAAATTAAGCTTTAATAAAAAATAAGTCATGTAAATTAACATTAAGGTTTTTTTTTGTATTACATTTGTGCCATCAACATTTTGTTAATAAACTTTTAAATCTAGGTCTAGTTGTTTGGTAAACACGACTAAGCTAGTTACCTTTCCTGAGTTGTTTGCAGACTTAAAATATCTCCAATATATTTGCAAACGGCTCTGTTGATTTTAAATGTAAATGTCACGTTGAAAGCAATATACTTATATTTAATCAAGTAAAAACCAATAACCTTCATACAAAAAATATAAACATAAAAGTATTGGCAAATTCTGTTAAAAGAATGATGATCCAGAGTTATCCAAAGCTGTGAAGTATACTTGACCAAAATTGGCAATCAAAATATTTTCTGGCAATAAAAGATATTTGGGAAAATTGTTATGCCAAATTGAAAGTAGGCTACTTACTTGAGATTTTCAGCCTGAGAATCTTCAAAGCTGTCATTATTCTCTTGATTGGTTGGTGTTTGTGCCATTGCCGTACCTGGATTGCCCAAATGATCTATACCAGGGCCGCCTATCTCTCCACCCCACGGTGCTCTGGGTCCATGCTTACCTCGTAAAGGGCTTTCAAAATATTACAAGACTTATTCAATTCCTATTAAGTTTTATTTAATAAATTCTTATATTAAAAAATGATTTTATTTATTTTTATTTTTTTTAAAAGAGAAAAACAATTGAAAATAAATTTTTATATTTTCTTTTTTTTAATAATCTTTATTAACCTAAGTACCAAGCAGTTAAGCACCATAAATAAAAGTTGACTTTGACTAGCTATTAGACTGCCTTAGCTTTGTTAAGGCTGTTTTCTTGCTTTGCCAACCACTAAAACTGGAGAGTGCCAAGTCAGCATTCATTAAATATTTCTTTGATTTCTTTCCTTTATTTTTAAATAAAAAGGTTAGTTTCTGTTACTTGTTAGAATAGGACTAGTAATTTGTTTTTGCGATAAAAAAATCCAGTGACCAACATCTGTAGGTGGTGTAGTAACACTAGCATTGCAGTTACTTTGGGCCAAACCTATTCTACAGAATGATCATGGTTCTTATTAGCTATATATGTAAATTGTACTTTCAATATTAGTTTAACCTAAAACTATGAATCTTTTATTTACCTGAATCTAAAATCTCTAGGTAAGGAAAACCCAAGATTGAAGTCAAGCCTTGTTTTTATAACTTGTTTTTTAAAGTCTTTTCTTGCATTGCCATAGCCATTAAATATGTGGTCACAAAAGAGCAAGCATCCTCCTGCATAGATCTTAAAGTGTAAATAAAATGAAAGTATTATCAGCAAATTATGTTGCAAAAGTATGTAGGTTAATGTGATGTACTTGTTGCGCTGTTATGTGTGTCCTATATTGTTAAGTGAGTAAAGTGAATTGTTTTTTTTTTTGGACATATTTTATGGGTATTTAATGTTGTGTCAAATGTCAATTGTGGCCTTGCTCCAGTGATTCTAAGCACTATGTTTGTCATATTATTCAAGTGTATAGTAAGGTAGTAAGTAGATAGTTTCCAGTGTGCCACCATTTTTCTTTATTTTGTTATCAGTGTTTTCTAGCGTAAAGAATAACTGTGTGTACTTAGTGTGTCCACTGTAATTGATTGTGTAGATAGTGTTTTTGTTTCTTATTTTCTAGTGTAAAGAATAACTGTGTGTATTTATTGTTGTGTATTTATTGTTGTGTAGTTATTGTATCCACCCTAATTTATTGTGTAGATAGTGTTTTTGTTTCTTGTTTTCTAGTGTAGGGAACAACTGTGTGTAGTTATTGTTGTGTAGTTATTGTTGTGTAGTTATTGTGTCCACCCTAATTTATTATGTAGATAGTGTTTTTGTTTCTTGTTTATCTGTCAACATCATGCTGGGTCAGAGTAAGTGAGAGCCAGCATGTTCACAAAATTCAAACTTTATTAAAATTACTGCTTCAATAAGTCAATAAAGACCTTCAGACCTATTATAATCAGATAATTTTATAAAGACTTTTATCCCTGCATTAAATTTTTAGCATTTTTAAAAACAAAGCAAAACAATCACCATTAAAATAAAATTGATTTACTAAAATTTACTTAGAACTCTCTAATGAACTCACCAAAAACATGCCGGGAACTACATTATGCCTGGTGAGCAGCATTGGTTGGGTGTGGTTGGACCCCTCCATGGCTGTGTTAATGTCATAGCGCAAAAGCCTAAATGTGTCAGTTCGACACTGTAGGCAAGGACGAGTCCGGTTGCGGTTTTGATTTTCATAAATTGTGTTTAACATTGCCTCTGCAGGGTTACTTTCAGGATAGCTGTGAAAATTAAAAAAGAAAAAAATTTTTAACATATGGGCCTGTGTTAAACTCTGCTGCTTTTTAACACATGTTTATAGCTTCCTATACTAATAACTTTTTGAGATATAAAATCTATTGGTGAACAACAATGACAACGAGATTTAAACTTAAAACAAAATTACATACAGAGAAGAGACAATGACAATAATCTGAAGCTGTTCCTTTGGTGCAGCCTCTGTGATGTAGAGTTCATATTCTGTGTCAGTTATGTAAGGGATGCTATGTCTATTGCAGCGACACTGAGGTTTGGCATCAGTCAACATCTGGTTTAAAATATTAAAATATTTTTAAACTGTCTTGTCTTTGCACATTTTTCATTAAAAATTTAACTAAACAAAGAAAATTAAAGAATTCAACTTGATCAACTACTTTTATCAGATAAATTAAACTTGTTTTATATTTTAAACTGTACATTAAAAATAAGCCAAAGGAAGAACGGAAAATTTAAAGACCTGTAATCTTAATGCAACAGGACAAAGACTCAAATTTGCTAAAAGATTTTCTTTCTCTGGTAATGGAACAGATTTTCTTGACAGGCCAGATTTTTTCCTGTTGTTGGCAGACTTACTTCTCTGACCAGATCTATGGGTAAAATTTGGAATATTGAAAAAAAAAAGACTGATTTCAAGAAGAAAAAAAAATGTATTTGCTAATTTACTGGGTAATATTCAAAGCTTTTACTGGATTGACATATAAATGAGAAAGTTGCAAAAGGATAGAATGACATTCAAACTTACAATATAAGTTTTGTAAGCCTCTCAGTGACAGCTGAGACTTGAGTGCTCTCCCCTTCAGGATTGGTCTCAGCTGGGTTGTCCTCATCTGCTGGATCTTCAAACTTGACAGTGGGGGGAGCAGGAGCAGTGGTGGCAGGGGCTGGGGCCTCATCATTTGTTACATCTTTCAGTTTGGTAAAGGTCGGTCCTGGAATACAGTTTGATAATGATTACAAATTACATGTATATATGAGAACTATCTAAATATATATACAAGTTTAAAAACTTTATGTATATTACTAGCCGTCCCGGCCAGGCCCTGCTCTGGCTTCTGTGAAAAACCTTTCCGTTAAAGACCATTACCTGTGTGTTTAGTAATCATCATAAACCCGGCATTGCCCACCCAAACCACAACCAACCAAAACAACAAAACGCAAACATAACGCTAACACAATTAGAAATACAAACGAAAACAAAAACCTAACAACAAACCCAACCACAACCACAAACACCAATACAAACACAAAGAAAAAACAAACGAAAACAAAAACCTAACAACAAACCCAACCACAAACACCAATACCAAAAAAAAAACAACGAAAAAGCAAACGAAAACAAACCAAATCCAAACGCAAAACCAACCAAAAACACAAATACAAACCCAAACAAAAAAAAACAAAAACGAAAAAAGAAAGAACAAAAACGAACCAAATCAAAACGCAACCACTAACGCAAACCCACCTAAACACAAAGAAAACACTAACGCGAACATAAACGCCCGGGGCAGAATCGCTTGTTTTAGCTTAATAAACGACTATAGTACCCCAACTTATTCATAGTTTTTGCACTCACTTAAACGAACGCGCCTGTTTCAATTTAATGAACAATTATAATACTCCAAGCTTATCCGTAAAATACCTAAAACATTTGCACTTGATCAATCCCCGCTAATTATGTAATTATTTTTTTCCCAACACCAAAACAAAGTAATTAAAAAGTAAATGCTTTTCAACTAATGCAATGGTTTCATAAAGGGAAGTAATTGTGTTTTGCCTAATTTATCAAAGGGAAGTAAGCGCTATAGGACTAAATAAAAACATAATTAGAATTTTTGTAAAAGATGATATTTTTTTAAAACTTGTGTTTAATGAACATGCCGACAATTATTACTATAATTTGAAAAATGAAAATGATTTCCCAACACTTTTAATAGTAATTTTTTAACTCATAAATTTAGACAAACGCGCACGAGAATTGATCTAACACTTAAATCCGTAGAAATGCCAACGACAAACATATGCGTTACAGAATTGAGCTTTATATATTAGATTCAAGCCCTAACAAACATTAGCAGAATTTAATTTTAAAATTAAACAAATATATTAAATAATACATAAGGATATTTTTATTATTTGGCAATAGAATAAGTGAACTGGAAAAGTTTTAAGAATTTAAAAAAAATTAACAAATTAACAGTAAGTGTCTCAAGAACCTTGTCGTATTTGAATAAAAATAAAATTATGTAATTTACTCAGGTTGGTTAAAAATATAAGGCTGAACTTGAGTTCTAGAAAAAAAAATCCACCTAAAGTTTATTTCCTATGAATTTACATCTATAAATGTGAGTATGGCAATTACTGGTGACTTACTGGAGGGGGCAGATGGCGCTCTTTTTGAGACAGATAACTCGCGTACATTGAACCCAAAAGTGGTGATTCGATGTTCTTTCCCCTCAGTGGCTTTAGCTGAGAAAGCACCAACTCTTGACTTGCGAGGTGAATCATTGAGCTGGCCAAGAGTAGGCGACATTAGACCTATGGTCACTCTATAGTGCTCCATCCAGTCATCTATCAGGATCCTGTGTTAATGTATTTTAATAGCTTATGATGTCAACATAAATGTTATAAGTTCCACAGTAACTGCACTTTTCTATTGAAAATGTTATGAATATAATAATTTTTTATAAATATGTTTAAAACTGTTAATAATATGAATAGGTAAGCTGATGTATACTTGCTTTAAAGAGCATAATTATTTCATTAAAAAACACTTTTGTAAAGGTTATTTACCTTGTTTTTCTTTGAAGCCTTGCTAGATGTTTATCAGCCTCTGATTCATACAGAAGATTATCTTGAATATCAACTGATTTTACAAGTTCTGCCAGTTTTTGGCCAAATTTATCCTAGTTTGAAAAAAGATTTAACATGTAAAATTTCACTGAAAAAATTCTCAATAAATAAGGTAAAAGATTAATGCAACTGTTTACATAATGTTTTGATTAAAAACTATTACAAAATAATTAGACTTACTTTTTTCTTCTTTGATTTTGACTTTACTTTGGGTGCTGTCATACGCTGAATATGTTTGGCAGATTTAGATGTAAATGTTAAATTTGTCAACAGCTGTTCTTGCAACTAAAATTGATTGTTAAAAAAAAAACAATTCTATTAGTTGGGTTCTGTAGCTTGCCTGTAATTGAATATATTCTTATTAAGTTTTATGGTAAAGAAATTAATTTGTCATCAGAATTAACATAAAATGCACATTTATTTGACCTTACATTCTCTTCAAACTTTTTGTCCTGGGCACCTGGTGCTGCATTGACAAAAAATCTGGCCGATTCTTTTTGGCATGAAAACACAATCACAATGTAGTTTTCTGACACACAGCGGAAACTCAGATACTGATTGATCTGAAGAACAAGACATTTGTCAATTTATTTTGGAAAACACTCACAAATTTATCAGGCAGTAAATGTCTATTTTAATATTTTTTTTAGTAAAATTAAAGAATATCCTTTAGACCTAGCAATTCATTGGGCAGATGAAGTAGCCTAGAGACCTCGGCATATCAAGGGAAGGTGTGGTCAGCACTTTCCCTAGCTGCCTTTTCATTACCCTTAAATGAGTTAGGTACCCACCAGAGCTGGGTGGTCTTAAGGATGTTCTACTGACTTGGACCCGGATTCAAACTTATGTTTTAACAAAAACTAATTCTGTACACCTGTAATTTTGTTTAAAACATTGAACTATAGCATCTATTATTTTACATGGTGAAGTAGCAAACTGTACCTGAAACTGAACCCCAGTTGTGAGTTTTACTTGAGCTTGTGGCCATCTCCAGCGTTGTATAACTTTTCCATCTTCATTTGCTAGGAACCCTCCCTTGATAGTTGTCAAAACTCTATTTTTTTAATCAGAAATAATTTTTTAAAAATTATGAAGTGTATTAATTTGATTCTTATGGGATTTATTTGAGTAACTTATAGATAGTTATCATTAATCATTTGCTGAATCAAACAATCATTAAATAAATTACCATGTGTTTAGTTTTTGTCATTATTTAACAAAAGCACCACTTTATATAAAATTGTAAGTAGAAATTAATGTTTAATTACCGCACAGTGCCATTGTTGTGGTAACAAACACCTCTTCCACTGGGTGTAAAAACAGCCAACATTTTCATGTCAAGGTCGTCATCAAATGCTATTGTGTACAGTCCAGGTCGCTGTAACCCTGCAGCAGAGGCCACAACAGCAGGTCGACCTGAAGGGTAACTGACACCCTGGTCAAGGTTTGTTTTCAAATTTTAGTTCCAGGTATTTAAACAACACTTTAAAAAATTTCATTGAGAATTAGACATTTTTTAATTTAATAAATAATACAAGGATACTAAGCAACAGTGGTGCCATCTGGATGTGTTGTAAGCATGAGTTGCTTCCCTTGGTTTTTCTCATCATAAACATTTGGTATCTGAGGTTTGCCTTCTTTGAAAGAATTATTCAGTCCTGCTTTTACTGGAGGCTTACGGTACTTGAGCAATGTTTCTTTGTGTGTATCTCCATAGTAACGTACAACCACAGGTAGGGTGAACCCCATCTGTGCCTCAATGGCTTTTTGTCCTTTTCTAAATCATGAAATAGAAAATAGTTAAGCAGCTATTATGAAAAAATAGTTCTTAATGTATAAAAATTCAGTGTATTTGTAGTATAATTTTTTTAAGTTTAAAATATTTTTAACAGAAAATAGGCATAGTAAATATCTATTTAAAATATTCTGTAGTATTTTATTCCAATGCTTTTCAATACTAACCTCTAACAAAATAAATTGACAACTCTAAGCTGAAATCAACTGAAGAGCATTAAAAATTATACTCTATCTTCATGTATCAATTTGCTACAACATGTAGAAACCAGACAAAGCAATATTTTATGTATTTTATGTTTTGACTCTTTACCCACAAATGATATGACATAGACAAAGGAGTTCAATGAAAACAACAGTACTTGGTCACTCAGAGCTGCAGCTTACCAACCACTTGATAGACAGCATACATGAAAAGCACTGAACCAAACTACCAGTGATTAAAATATTCTTTGATCCATGATTACTGCCTTCCAGATTATTAAAAGTATTTCTTCTACTTTTACTAAATACTACTGTTCTTTCCTGTTAAGATAGGTTTTTAAGTTTTTTTCAAACAAACAAAAAATTCTACATACATGAGTTTCATTTCTTGCAGGAGTCTTTGTACACAATATTCTAAAATTGCCTCTTTTGCTAGGTGGTTCTCATTTCCTTTTTGAACAATCCACCCTAAATTTGATAATTGATTGATTATTTTAAAAAATACATAAAAAATATTTTAGAATTTTAAAATTCAAGAACATATAGTCATATAGTTTTACATACAGAAATGGTTGAATAATCATATAAATATATTTCTGTACAAACTAAACAAAAGACTCTTTAACAACATGCCAGATAAAGCTTATAATTGAGACACTGCTCCTCTGTAAGTTAACTGAATGAAATGACTTCATTTAGCACTTTGTTAATTATCAACATTGACAAGTTTGCAAGTGCTAATATAATAAGAGAATTTTTGTTTACCTTTTTCTTCACAAGCTTTGGAAGAGAGCTGAAACTGTATGACTGACATATAATAAGAAGGATTTGCAATGGAAGATGCTGGGGAAAGAATTTTTGTATTGACTATTAGCTTGATTTAAATTTAGAAATTTAAAATTTGATTTTGAATACTGTTTTTTAAAAAGTATTAAAAACTGAAATTTGTCAGTGGCTATTTATTAGTTTTGTAATTTAAAAACTAAAATCAAATAAAAAAAATTCAAGCGTATTTAAAAATTAAATGCAAAAAAAGAAGTATAAAAGTTTAAGCTTTATTAATTGCTTAAGAAAATTAAACTAAGCTACAAACTAAAAAAAGAAACAGAAAATAAAAGAAAAGAAATAATAAAATTGTTTTCAGTCACATGCAGTATGCTGGTTTTGTTTTCTCTTAAATGCAATCCATGCTGTTAAAATAAAAAAAATCTTTATCAAGATACATATCATTTGTTTTGTATGGCAGTATTTTCTTCTACCTACATCTGGTATCAGAGGCTGTTTCTGTTAGTGCAGACATGAACTCAAAGTCCAGAAAACCTCTTCTTAATGATGCTGACCTGCTAATGGCTGAATGGGAACCTATAATAAAATTGACACATTTAATGCACCACTAACACACAATTCTTGACTCCTTGCCTGTGTGTTGGTATGTTTTTCTTATTAAATATAATATACATGAATTTAGCTTGTAAGTGGCTATCTAATCACAACAGTAGGTCACCTCAATAGACTAGATTTATTACATTTGAAAATGAAAAAAAAAATTAATTATTTATTTGAATGATAAAACAAAATTTCCATAGGTGAGAGATCATCTTTATACAGTTTCTTTATATGTACTGATAAAGGCCTATACATGTTGCACAACAGAATTTAGACATTTAACTTATTAAATGTTATCTGAAATATCTTTTTTTTTTATTTCTTACACACAGACCTATATCATACTTTGAGGGCACTGGCTTTAAGTTAAAAGTGGAATAATATAATTACTTCATGATACACATTTTTTAAAGCATTTTTTTAAACAAATTAAACTATAAGTAAATCTAACAATTAATGATAAATTAGTCAAGCAGTTTCAAATTGAGTATATGATGTAAATAGAATGAGTGTTTACTCTGCATATGATTTACAAAAAGGTTATGATAAAAGAATTTTTAAAAACTTCTAATTTGTGATTCTATAAAAATAAAACTACATATCTAAAACCTAGACTAAAGTAATAAAACAAAGCTGTAAAAGGTAGAAGGAAAATGCAAACTTGAAAACCTGATCAGTATGATTTAACATCTCTCTCATAGAAAATTGTTAGTCAAAATATTCGGCATACAACTTTCAAATGGATCCATGACAATTTTGTGTGGTAATGTAATATGCTTACTCAGTAGTTGTGTTAAAATGATGCTAATTTCAATCTAGCATGGGGTGCACACCACATCTTTTACTCCAATATATATACATACATATGTTCGCTTGGGCAGATGACCCCACTTGACTCCCCCACCACCACCCCACCCCAAATGCAATTATGTAAAACTAGCTAAAAATCAAACTATTATTGTAATTTACATTTGAAATATGGTATACCACTAAACATACCTCGGAGGTCACTTTTTTTCACTGGACCACTGCGCCTTGAAGCTCCTGACATACGGCTATCATTTCGCTTGCCATTTTGACGCCCTGATTCAGATATTGCTTCACTGTCTTCTATGATTTCTGGTAGTCCTGCACCAGATTTAACGAGGATCTTTTTTTTGTTCCCACTTCGTCCAGCTTCAGAGGATATAGAGTGAGATCTTGTTGAACGCCCTTCATCCATAATACTTGGTGATGCCTGTGTTGAAGAAAATGTTTTTCTAATTATACAGTATTCCTGTTGTTGGATTATAGCTGACACACATTATAGACAAGTCCTTGCAACACAAAAAATTAACGGACCCTGTATGATTTAAGACTATGGGACATTAGGCTAACTTGACCCTGCCTAGACTTTAGATTTCTGTGTTAATAATAATTTTATAGTTCAAATAGTAATCATCATGTATCAGTTGTAACACAATCGCTTAGTCTGAATAAAACTTTTATATTATGACACATTGCAGGAATTGAAATGTGCTATAGACAACTAAACTTATCATTAGTGTTAAGTTAACAAAGAAAATATGCTTACTATTGTTCATTAAATTAATAGTAATTATACAATGCACTTTTGGGACAAACATGCATTGGAATAGTTAGATTGGAGGGAGAACAGTCTAGCTTGGCAAGATTACTGTTGTAATAAGGTCCTTTCAAATGGTATCAATACTAATGAATTTCCAAATTTTCATTGAGATTTGAATAGTTACAACCTAATTGCTATAATCAGTATTAAAATACCCACTACCTTATCAAAATCTTCAGTACTTGGTGTTTCACTCAACCGTTTTAAGTAAGCTTCTCTAGACGCATGTGTCTGCCACTCCCTGTGTATGACATGCACATCTGTTGTCAGCTCAGAATAACCAGACATCAAATGGCACTCAAGAGATTTGGGTATAAGTGAGGCTATATTGTCATAGAAGTAAATAATGCGGCTAAGCTGCTGTAACACACTGCCTGAGTTGATCTTGGCCTCTTCAAATAGATAACGTTGTGAGTCTTCATCATTGGAGAGTGAGGAGTCTAGATGATTTTTCAATGCATTGAAAGCCTGGCAAATGACAATTGTTATAGTGAAAATGTATTAAGATAAGCTTGCTTAAAATATTATGTAGTTTGTTTTTGTTATCTCCTCTACAAAGTAAAAAAAAAAATAGTTTACACTGACAATAAAAGGGGCAACAATTTCATTTATTATTTTTAGTCCCACCTGACTTATCTCTGGCATCAAACTCTTCTTTCCATTCGCCTCTCCCAATGCATCGTCTTCTTGTTTCTGTTTTTCTTTGTTGGCAAGAAAAGCTGCAACCTAGGCACATGTAAATTTAAGCATATATAAATCAAAAGTATCATTTCAGACCTGATGGTCCATAGGGACAAAAGTAGACAATTTATTTGGTTCTTTGACCTTAACATATGCATTGTGTCCAGCGATCTCAAGTTCCCCTGGCTTGAATGGACTAGAGCCAGGAACTTAACACAAGACTTTCAAGTTTACAATTAAATGAAACAAACATAATTAATATGTAGCCTACAGACCTTATTTTCTTTAAGTAAAGAGATTTTCTTAAAAAGGCTAGTTTTAATTAAAATTGTATGCTTCAATGTCAGTAGATTTTTAAATGTTCTAGACCAATGTAATCTAAAGGGTTCCTTCTCCTCTAGCACTACCAATATTACTGGAATACTATAGTCAAATATACTTTAATACTAATGTTACACGCCAAGCGCTTGAGTGGAACCCCCAGGGAAAGCGGAAAAGAGGGCGCCCAAGACAGACCTAGAGGCGGAGTCTTCTTGAAGAACTGAAGCCAACAGGGATGTCTTGGGAGATGACAAAATTTATAGCCGGGGATCGGAAGAAATGGAAGGAAATGGAGGAGGCCCTATGTTCCATAAGGAGCAAAGAGGACTAAGTCAAGTCAAGTCAAACTCTAAGTCCCCTAAGGGATGAAGTATTTTTACTGGAGATACTAATAGCTAAAAAAAAAGTATGACTCTTTAGTAGAGCATGGCATTAAATTGCTGATAATAATCACTTAACCCTTGTTAGTTTGTTAGATTTAGAAGTAGTTGGGCAAAAGAAAAATGGGCAGTTGTCTCCTGACATAAAATATCAAGGCCTACATAATTTTTTAATGAATAAAAAGTTTATGGTAAGTATGAAGACATTAGAATAGCTTTGCTAAAACTAAGAATATCAAAACATGAAATTAAGGTACTGAGTTTAGAAGTAAAATATCATTTTCAGTTTATGACTATTTATTGTAGGGCTGTGAATTCTAGTTTGAATAATATAAAACTTAAATAAAAATGTTAACTTACTTTGGGATTTAAATGAGCAAACTTAAGGCTGTCTGGCAAATCTTCAGATGATTTTTTGAACCTTTTGGTTATTTGTCTTAGACGCTTCTGTTCATAGAAGTAGTAGTCAGCATCCATTTTTAGTAGGATAATTATCAAAGAGAACCCTAAACATAAAGACGATGCAAGTTGATATTAATTTAATAACATAATAGTAGTTGTAGTCTTTGCCTATATAGTAGTATATAATAGTAAATAGATTTAGTTAGACTGCATTCCAACTAGGATGTATGGCAGCAACAAGAGCAATATATTACAACTAAATAGCTTTTTATTTTGTAGCCTATATTAAATTAAACAATAACACAAGGAACACAGGAAGTAGGCCTATGATTACTATGAATATAGTATATTGGCCTACATAAAAACAAATATTATGTGTTTAACTTAGTAAAGTTAGTAACTAAGCCCTGCCAGCTCATATTAATTAAATTCAAAATGTTTATTAATTTATTGTTGATAATTTAAAGTTTTCTTTTAAAATCCTGAAATGAAGATCTACTACAGAATATACAGTGTTTATACAGTACAGAGATCAACAGTTGAACAGAATGGAGGTGCTGCAGCTGTGACTATTGTCACTGTTGTGTGCTTGTCAGACAGAGAGCTGATTGAAATGAATGGAATCTGATTCTAGAGTCTAGATCTAATCTACAAATAATCCATTCTAATCCTATTCATAAACGTTTTTATAAGTGAAAACAACTGATGTTTAAGTTTAATTAAGACTGACTAAGAAGGCTAAGAGAAAAAAAAAAAAAACTTCGCCATCTCAGCAGTTGAGCAGTTGACTCAGTGACTGTCAACAGTTGACTAGATCAGTCCTAGTCAATTTAATAATTTATTACTATGTAATATCAATTCACTTTCTTACTCTTAATAATTATTTGAATTTAGATTATCCGCTTGTATTTAAAATACATGACTGGAGTTTTAAACTTATAAAATAGACAAGTCTATGTTTAAGCATCGTTTAGCTTCAAATTAAAACTTCTCAGTGAAATAATTTCAACATTGGTCGCCATCTTGTTTGATTACGCGAGTGCTTGACAACGCAAGAGAGAATCGCATATAAACGAAATGACCGTCACATTTTGAAAAACGAATTTTAATGTCTAGATTTTTATGTAGATCTAGATTAAGATCTAGATCTAGAATCTAGATCTTGATTTAGCCTAGATTATATTTCTTCCTTTGGTGATTTCATAAATTAAAATAAAAATTTCGGGCCTATTTCTACCAATTTTACCCATAAAATTAAAAACGACTCACTTTAGGCATTCTATACTTATATTATAATCAATAGATTTAATAAAATACTTAAATCTAGAATCTAGATTCTATTGATCTAAAAAATGAAACTCCTCATGGGTCTTTTCTTCGTTATAATATTTTAAGACATTGTGTCCAGTTAGTATAAATTAGTGACGTAGGATTTGTGTGCTATTGGGGGTCGTCCATAAATGACGTCACACTCGTAAGGGGAGGGGGGGGGGGGGGGTTTGTAATTTTGTAACGGTGTGTGATGAGGGGGAGGGGGTAGGTTCAGATGGTGTAACGTCACTTTTTTGCATCATAATCCTGGATAAGAACTTTTGAGATTGTGAGGCTGGGTTGATAATGGATATGGCTGGAAGTCGGGAATATAGCCACATTCTTGAGTCTAAAGTCTTTTGTCAAAGTCTGAAATCTACCCTGTTGACTCACACGGGGAGGGGGGCATTTTAAAAAAAATAATGTAAACTGAATATTAGCCGTTATTTTTTGTTTTAAAAGACTTTTTACTAATATACACTGATCAGGACATTTAATGTTTACCGAGCTCAGTAAATATTTAAAAATGAAGTCGTTGTTTTAAAAATTTGTTAATTTTAGGTAGGCTTTAACTTTAACTTTAGGGGAGGGTGTCTGGCTGTTTATGATTATGACGATGTGTAGTGTGTAGTCATGGAAGGAGGTTAAACTTAAATGGCTTCAAAAGCGTGGCGACGTTTATTGATGACCCCTATGCGTTTTACAATTTTTCTTGCCCTTTAATTCTAACATGGTTTAGTTTAGTTACGGTAACAGAAAGTTACAATGGCGACTTTCATATCTATTCATATAATATTTATTTTCCCTTTTTTCTGCTCTAGGTAACAAACGTTTTTTAATTTCTAAGTACAAAGTATCATAATACCGGCGGAATACTTATTTATCGATTACTTACATCTTCTTGATGTGTACACGGAAACAACATGGATGCTGTTGTATGGAATCAGTGGGAAAATGATGGTATGATTTTGTAAATCTTTTGTATTTACAACGTATGACAGTCATACAAATCGTAAAAACATTTTAACAAGTTTTGAATGTAGGAAAACAACAATGTATGCATCTTTATCATATTCATCTCTAAACAAGAATGAATACAGAGAATGGGAAACTGAGGGAAGAGGGGGGGGGGGGCAATAAATTGCCATTCATTGGTGTGCTCGAACTGGACTGGAGAATGAACCTCTTCTATGTAGGCCGTTTGATTCAACGCATCCGGGTTTGTCATTTTCGTGGCAACTCACGGCTCATGCGCTTACTAAAATGGCATGGCGACCAGTTTCGCTGTCACTATTCGGTAGAGGGATAAAACTAATGATTACAAAGCCATCATTAATTTTAGAAATTGGAACTATCTGTTTCTATTTAAGTCTGTTATTTAAGAATTGTCAGATCTACTTTTGGCCTAATTTCTTTGTTTATCTTGCTAGCGGCGCCTAAATGAAAGTAGCTCTATATACCTATAATTCTTATCTTTCGAATCAAATAACTCTAAAATACCGCATGTATAATAAACCAGACAAAATGTATATGAAACTTGAAAGTATCAATTTTACACACATTACAATTAACTGGTAATAAATTATGGTCGGTATGAGATGTGGTCCGTTCAAGTAATAATGCCATTTTATTATAATCTTTTTTGGTGAACACTAGGCACGGAGAAAATGTGTGCCGCGCAAGAATCCAATCATTTGGCTAGATTTATGACTGTTTTTCATGTCACACCTAAAAATGGAATGTTTAGGCTTTCTTCATTGATGATTGTTTTTATTATTTTTTAAAGTTTATTAAACTGAAAGTATTATTAGTTAGATTTCAGGTTTTGTAGCTTGGTATACTTACCCTTTATCAATTTTAAAAGCATAGCATGCTGATTGTGAACAAATATAGTCACAAAACACAGAAATAAAAAGTTAGAATGCAATGTGCCACACCCAGGTCACACCCCCTCAAGAAAACACGTGTTTATTAAGCTGTTTATCTCACTTTACAACAGTAATTAAAATTAATTATCAAATTTTTACTACTTATTGGGTAAGATTAAGCACATGTTTACTAATAGTTAAAAAAAAACATAAGTAAATTCTGTTTTAATGAAGGTCACAGGTCAAATATTTTTTCCTTTAGTCAAGTTCAGTGAAGGGTGCCACAGGCTGACCTGACTTTGGAATTTTTTTCATTAATAATGACTGCACAGAAAGTTAATATATGCTAAATTGGCTTAGTTTACTAGTGTGCTAGCTATTATTGATACTTTTTTTAAATTAAAAAATCATTTTGAAATTGTTAACAAAATGCCTATATTATGCAAATAAAACTATTACTTAATTTTAAGCTCATCAGAGTTAAGACATAAACTGATTTCATTTTTCATTTTGTAGTCTCCATTGACTAGCAGAACTTTGTTATATTATGATTAAAGGTATAAATGATCATCTATTATTGCGCCAGTATTTTTAAATTAAGAAATAGGGCTACAGGTTTTTACAACAGTATCTTCTTTATCACTAGCTAGCTCAAATCTAACGCTAGATAAATATTCTGATGTTTTAGAAATATTCACATTTATAACAATGTTACAATAACTTACAAAGAGTTTTTAAATTGTAATTGTAATAATTGTCATGTTTTTAAAAATAATTAATTCATTATAAATATTAAAAACATTAAAAGAAAACAATCAGGCATGGATTAAATACTATTGGGTCAGCTTCTCACGTTTTCCATTTTTCTCAATTATTTTTTACCATTACAATTACACGAGTTACCAAGATTTTAAAAAATGATTTACTTTTATTAAGCTATGTAGTGGAGTAGGTAAAATATACAAAATACTTTTTTGTTATGGTTTCCTGTGTTAGTGTTGGCTCAGCTTTTTTACATCAGAATAATTTTAAAGTAGCTTCTTCTTTGTAGATCTATATACTATATGTTTATTATTTAGTGCACAGATATGTCAGATAGAAACTAGAGGAAGCAAAGTGATAGTAATAAGTATTGAAGTTAGGGGTTAGAGAGTGGGGGGTATATAAAGGCAGGGGAAAGTAAAATGTATTGTTCTAGTGCAGAAGTAACCTGCAAACTAATTTTGTTAAATGGTGTCAAATGCAGTTCATTTATTAATTAGTGATGCTCACAATAATCCATTCCATACCCCCGCATAACACCAACCAAGCCAGCGTGTATTGTTACTATTAATAAAATTCAGAATATTTTTGCTCTGTTTGGGATGAACACTTTTAAAAACTCCTATTCTTTTATAGCTATTTTAAGCTGCAACCCCGTGTCTTTTTATTGTGTGGTGCAACTTAATTTCATTTATATTTTGAAAAAAATTTGTTGTGAACAGATGTATTTCGAGAGTTTTTGGATGAAAGCTTTGATGTCAAAGCATATGCCAATAGAGCAATACAAGGCTCAATAATATCTGAACAGCTGGGCAAATTAGCCGAGGGGATCAGTCTATTGGATAAAGAGATTCATTCACAGGTTAGTCTGGCAAACAACAGTTCTGTTTGTTTGTTTCGATCAAAAGTTTAACTCTACACAAAACAAAATATTAATTTGAGCTTGATTTTTACTGCGATTTTTATTTATACTATAAATTATATCATTCATTAATTTCTCTTAAAAATAGCCATGTTTTGATTACATTTCAAAAATTGAAACTATCATGTTTTATAAAAACTGTATTGTCACTTACATAGATTGTGACACACCATGAAGACTTGCTATCACAAGCTACAGGTGTTGAAACATTGGAAGGTACCTTGTTATGTCATTATTTTGTTTATTCCTGTATGTTGACTCAGTTAATAAAATATCAGCCTGAGCTAAGGTATACAGTTATAATTAATCATTTAATACATTAATTATGCAACTCTTTACTTTCAATTAGATAGAAACAGGTAGCAGCTAGCAGTTTTTTTTTAATTAGATTGATTGAATTACATAATGGTTTGTCTAACTGTAAATACATTTTAAAAATAGGGGTCCTGCAGATGATGCAGACAAGAATACAGTCTTTGCTTGCAGCAATGGATAGGTATTAAAACATTTTGTAATGAACATGATTGTGAACAAATGTGCTGTTCAGATTAGAAGCATTTGACATTAAGGATCAGATAACTTTTTGTTGTAATTTGTTAATTTATATTTTCATTTGTAAAATAATTTTATTTTAAAACTTTATTCTTTTTAGAATACGCACAAAAGTTTCTGAGCCATATGCAAAGATTCTGGCAAGGACAACACAGTTAAGGCATTTACAGGTATGTGTAGCAGATAGGATTACACAGCTGCTGGGATTTTGTGACAATGGTAACCTGAAAATTCCATATTTGAATAGTGGTGCAGTCATAATATTATCTTGGTTGGCAGGCTATTTTTAGGATGTCTTTTGTACCTTCTCCAGTAGTTAGTACAGAACAATTCTAAAGCAACTGGATTCACAATATTCCTAAATCCATACTTATTTACTCAGTTACTTATCAATACTTTTATATATTTGTCTTTTTTAATCTTAGGATGACAAAAGAAACTAGTAATGCTGCAAATTTATTTCAAAATAACTTAATTCCAGTAGAAATATAATTAACTTTATCATATATTTATAGGAAACCTGTGATCTACTGCGTCGCATCATTCGTATCATGTACCTTAGTAAACGACTGCATGGACAGCTGGAGGGTGGAGCTAGAGAGATAACTAAAGCAGCTCAAAGTTTGAATGAATTAGGTCAGTACTGGTCAGAAAGTGCACCATTTGAAACTATAATTAGATGTCAATCTTACTTTTGCTCATAATCAGGAAACAAAAAATGACTGAAAAATTTCTTCAGCTGTTTGTTGATAAATAGCTTCCTCTGTTATAATAACTTTTTGTGTATATTTTTTTTCCAGAAAAAAACTGTTTATATTTAATTACAGTTTTTAGATCTTGTTATCTTAATTTCTGAATATTTGATTGGCTTTTAAATTGCTGTGCTGTTTTTCTAGATTACATTTGTGAAGGCTTTGACTTGGGAGGTGTGGAAGTGATTGAACAAGATAGAAGATTTGTCAAACAAGCCAGAAAAGAGGTGGAGACCCAGGCCCAGAAGATGCTAGAACAGGGGATGGAAACACAGGTAACTTAGTTTTTGATAAACCTTATAAGTCTAATTTTGACATTGTCATTACATTGGGTTTATAGCATCTAACAGTGATTATACAGGTATTGTGATGTACTCATCATGCAGTTCTTTTTTTAAAACAAATGAGTATACTATTTGGCTGCAGATATTTTTTGTTGGTTCAGTTTTCAAGATCATGCTTATAATTTATGCATAATTCAGTTGAATAAGTGAAGTTAGTATCTAAGTAAATAAGTAAAGGTATAGTTTTACTTGCTTCACTGTTTGATTTGATCAACAACATCCTTTGCCATTGTTAAACAAAATTGTTTTAATGTTGACTTCTAGAATCAGACTGCGGTGGCCACATCCCTTCAAGTGTTCTACAACCTGGGCTGTCTTCACACAGTGGTTGATCGCGTGGTTGACGGTTGTAGAGCTACGCTCAACCAACAAGTTAGAAACTGTTTGGACATCCAGGCCCTCTCAATGGCTCAGGGCACAGCTGGAAGGGGTTGGTTCTCATAATAATTTAATACATTTTACATTGTACACAAAAATATCACTTTTAATATATTATGACAACAGATGTGAAAAAATGTTTATTTGATGTATTGTTACAACAGCCACATGTAATTAACTTAAGAATTAAATTGTTTACAAGTTTAGTTAATTTTTTAGTTTGATAATAAACATTTGTTTCATTTAGATGATTCCTATGGTAATATGTAAGATGATAAGCCTCATGTTAGATATTTGTAATTGATTAAAATGTTCTCCCTAGGAGGTCCAGGCCGAGCAGCTATGCCTTCACCTGGCAACACTGCTGTACTGCGTGCCAACTTATGGACCAACATGGAGAAACTAATGGACAACATCTACTCTGCTTGTGCACAGGTCTGTTGCTTTATGCCAGTCATGACTGTCTTAAATTATGTTAATACTAGCTGGCTGTTATTTCCTATAGTTTTACCAGGTTTTAAAACTATTTTAAATTTTCTTAATATGTGATCAAGTTGATCAGTTCCCATAGCTAAATAAAACTTTATCTTGTATACTCTTGTTTTACGTTAATAGTTCTATTTCTTTTTCTTATATTATAAAGATACTGACTTATTAAAAATGTGTTAATATATATCTTATGCATTAGACTGAATAATATTCTATTATTTTCATGCATTTAGGTTCAACATTTGCAGAAAGTTGTTGTAAAGAAGAGAGATCCTGTTTCCCATGTTTCTTTTCTTGATGAACTTGCAAAGGTATAAAAAGTTATTTATTTTGTGTCTTGCTTACTTTTAATATTTACATACTCCATGAGGTCCTCATTCTTTATAGGGCTCACATTTGTAAATAGACAATTTTAAACTTGATTTGAATTTTTAAAGCTATGATTAGAGGAAGCAAATTCAGTTGAATTTTTAACCTCCAGCATCATCATGGTGAAGTTAATATTATCCACACATTTTGGGAGGATGTGACTAAAATGCTGACTAAAGAAATGAATAATGCATCAGAAAGTAAGCCTTCACGTTTAGAGCTTCTTTAAATCCTGTTTTATTACTCTATTTGTTTCTTTTTTTTTATTATATACAATTATTTATACATAAAATAATTCTAAAAACAAGTATAATAATTTAACTTATGAATTTCTGAGATCAAAATCAGTGATGTTTAAGAGAGCAGCTTTAAACTTGATTTTCAACAGCCCTGCCATAGCTCAATCCCACCATCAATAACAGCATGAAGTTTACTTTCAGATTCAACATTCCTAAAGCAAGCATTTGAAGGAGAATATCCAAAGCTCTTAAGGCTGTATAATGATTTATGGAAGAGGTTGCAACAGTTTAGCATTACTTTAGCTGTAACTCCTAGTGCTGGTGCTATTGACATCTTAGGGGCTGGGGATGCAGAGGAAGATTTTTTTGCTCAGACTGAGAAGGCTAGACAGAATTATGAGTATGGCCTAAATAGATATATTTTATAATTTTCTTGTAGTTGAAACTTTAAGCTTTTTAACCATACATGTTTGAAATTAAGCTATAGAATTTTAAAAAAATACCAGTAGCTTTTTTAATATGAAAGTAAAAAGTTTGAATTTTATGTATGATAATACTTATTTTTTTTTAGCTCTGAAAAAGCATTGCGAGAAACACTGGCCAATTTTGAAAATTCTTACTTATCCCGCTCTTTATCCCGATTGTTTGATCCAATCAACCTTGTGTTCACATCAACCACTTCAAACCCTCCAACACCTGAAGAGGTTGAAAATATTGTTAAAACTATTTCCAGGTTTGTTATTGTATTTTTATTTTTAAAAATATATTTTGTATTTGTGTTTATTTCCCAATCTGAAATTATATTAACTGCATTTAATAGAACTGAAAAAGAACTTATAAATAAATATTCATAAAAATGGAGTAAAGTAATCCAAAGTTATCCGAAAATTTTAATTAACCCTTACATCACTAGTATAGTTAAAAACAAACCTCTCAACCAAGGCAGCTTCAGTGTTCAAGCCAGTTTTGATTTTGTTTTAGTGAGCTGAATGTGTCCAGTGTTGACACCAAACTGAGTGTAACTGTGGCTAAAAATGTTTCCAAGACTGTCAAATTGTTTGCTGTTAAAAGTGAACAACTGGTGAGTCTTTGAATACATTTTCCTGATTAAAAAGAAGCATTTATCTTTGTTTATGATACATCAAATTTCAGTGATTAATTTTTTTAAAATGGGATAACATTTCCCATGTGAACAAGCTATTTAAGTTAAAACAGAAATGTTTTTATGAAAATCTGCATAACTTCTAGGCAGAAATGCCTTTTATGATTAGGCAGATGTTTAAAATGGTTAAATGAATTTTAGTTTTAAAATTGTTTTTAAAAAATCTGTATTCATTGTATTGACCACTTTGTACCAGTTTTTTTTATCAATTTGTTTTTCTTCTATCTATAATCTCATGACTTTTGGGTATTATAGCAAAAATTAGGCTTGTTGATATTTGACATAATACATTTTGAATGGTGGTTTAACTTTGTCATTTTTCAGCTGTCAACTGATGGAGAAGCTAGTCAGGTAATAGGGCCACCAACCAATGGCCAGACACGCAATGTTGCTGTAGTCAACACACTTTTTCAATTTCATCAGGCAATAACTAAGGTAACTTCATTTTAAATTATTTACTTTATGAAACTAGACTTCTTCACAATTTCTGATTAAGCATTAATCTTTAATTTAAAAATATAGATTGTTTTTTAATAACTAAGTTTGCCTACATTTTTTAACTATTATATTTTCACATTTCTTTACCTATTTGTTATTTAAAGGTGCTCACAAGCATAGCTCACTTCCCTGACGAGGCTAAGAGTAGCATCCAAGCCTCCCTGGAATCTGTGGTTCAGTTGATGGGAGCAGCCATCCAGCCTTTGCTCTCTTCCATATCTGATGCCTTGGAAGCAATTATTTTAACTATCCATCAAGAAGACTTTTCTGGGTATATAGTTCTTATTTAATTTCTGATGGCTGTATATAATCATATCTTCAGTTAAATCACCCATAGATTTCTCATTGATCTAAACTTTGAGTTAGTTCCCATTGAATCAGTTAATTCCCCATAAAAGACTCCAAAAAATAGAAAGTATGTTAAAAGTTAAATAAAAAAACTGTACAAAAGTAAAGTAACAAATGAGGATTTTCCTGTACATATTTTTTGTTAGTTCAAAGTTTTACCTGAACAGAAACATTTCTTTGTGTGTTATTTTATCAAATAAAATTTTAAAAAGTGTTTTTATTCAACACCAGGCCTGCCCCTAGTAAAACAGAAACTGAGTCACCATGTTCGCTGTATATGCGGGAACTTCAAAGTTTTATAGTTAGGTGTCAGTCAGACTATCTCGCTCCATTCAAGTGTAAAGACTTTATCATGGACAGGTTAGTTCTTCTGTTGTTTTTATGGAATGTATTAAAATATAACATAAGAATATAACATGGCAATAATAATAATCAATGAAACATAAATTTTAAAACCTCATAAGCGATAGTAGAAAAAAAAAAGAAAGTGTGCATACGATCAATACTAAAGGAATTAAATATAGAAAGATAAAATATAAGCAATAAAAATTTTAAGAGAAATCTTGAAATAAATAAAAATGTTATGTTTTGCATTCTCAGTATTATACCAATAGCTTGCCGTTGTGTTGAGCTGTTTGTACGACATGCAAGCCTGGTGCGCCCCCTAGGGGATGGAGGGAAACTGAGAATGGCTGCAGATTTTGCCCAGATGGAACTGGCTATCTCACCTTTGTGTAGGAGACCAGCAGACCTGGGCAAATCTTACAGGCTGTTGCGAGCCTTTAGGTTAGTTTTTACTCTCAAATATTTTTTTATTTTACTTTTTGCGACAATTTTCTCTGTGCACATTCTGATCAAAATTCGAAACATAAGAGAACGTTATAAGTGTAAGCAGCGTTAGTTTACAAAAATAAAATAAAAGGATTTCTAATTGAAGAATTATTTTTGTTTTCCATTAGACCACTTTTATTTCAAACTGTGGAGCATGTTTCCCAGAGCCCAGCTTTGGGTGAAATCATTCCATACAGCACAGCGCTTCAGTTCTTATTTGCTAGAGCGCCCCCAGAACTGAAGTCTCCTCACCAGGTAGATCTACGTCATTTAGTGTTTAGCCCATTGTTTTTTTTTAAGCTTTGATTATAACAGTACTTGTTTATTAAGTTCTTTTTGAATGACGTTTCTTTATTGGTCTGTAATAAATCGATGCCATAGAATGTCTGTATCATATATAGTAATAAAAAAATGAACCAAATAGACCTAACTTAATTTTGTTTCATTTAAGTTCCTTTCATTCTTAAAAAAACTTGTTCTGATTTAAACTATTTATGCAGATATCTGATTGGTCAGTAAGCAGATATTCACAATGGTTAGATGACCATCCCCAAGAAGCAGACAGGCTTAAAATTATGAAGTAAGCAATCAGTCATGTTTTTATTAGTTAACTTTCAGTTAATTTGGTAAAAACTTAAGTAGTAATCACAACTTTAGATTGCTAGGACATAATTCTTTAAATGCCATGCCTCCACATCCAAAACGTAAACAAAGTTGACACTTTTCCCATTGTGTGTATGCAACATAAGACTTTTTAGACCAGGGGTTCCTGTGATGGGGGGTTTCATATATATTATATAATTATATCTTCTCTATATTCTGATCTGCTACTATTCATACGACAACTATTATACTTGTGAGTAGGACGGGAATCACTCTTATGTTCCGCAGACACTAATTAACAAACGTCAACCACTTCGTTTATGAAAAGAACACTAACTTTATTAATACACACTTATTTGCACAATATCAAAGAATACCTCCGTCTCCTACCATTACTAACCCCCAACTCACGTTACTGCCGCGGTCTACGTCATTGGTACATTGTCGTGTCATGCTCACGTCACATTCGCGCCACAAATATTGTATTCAACATGCGCACAATACTCTCGCACCAAATCGTCTACAGTCAAGTTCGCACCGTCCTTTGTAACCTCTACTAGTCGTCTAATTCTTTATATCTACGCTATGACATCTCCTCCCCCCCTACAATTAAAAAAACTAATACTATTAGTTTTTTTTTTTCTGTCTTCTTAGTCAATCATCGTATAAATACATAGTCATAGCGTCATCAATGACTGAATTACATTAACATTTCAATAGCAACAATTCCAGCATTCACATTTTCAAAAAAACAAACGACAACAATGTCATGCCGCATCTTGAACTGCCAGTAGAGAACTTTATCATCTGTATTGACAAATTTACAAAATATATACGTCACTCAATGAATCTATATCTTCGGTAGAGACAGTTCCACAAACGTTTATCATCTGTGTAGACAAATTAACAAAATGTACGTCACTCAATGAATCTTTATCTTCGGTAAAGACAGTTCCACAAATGTTATCATCTGTGTAGACAGTTTTCCCTGTTATACTTGACGTCTAAATGTTCCCTTGAGCTTTATAAACACAAAACTTGGCAACACTGTGACCGAAAAACAAATATTTATAAGCTGAAGTTGCCGTTACGACTTGATCGAAAATTGACCGCGACCGTGCGTAAGGCTTTTGTTAGTTGGTTATGGTGACCCTTCTTGCCGTTACGACTTGGTCGGAAATTGACCGCGACCATGCGTAAGGCTTCAGTAATCTGGTTAGGATGACCCATCTCACATTGATTTGGTTCCTCTAGATGTGTTACTTGACGTGATCCTGCGGACGTGTCCTTGACGATGTGTTTCATATGTTCACGTTCATGATGTACTGGTCGTTTGACCGCTGCATTCATTTAAGCTGGGCATCAGTGCGTAGCATTCACGAAGATGACGTCAGATTCTGAGAAAATATGAGCGGACATGTCGTCTTAAACATATGCCAGCTAAGCGTTTTTGTGCCCGTCGGACAAATAACCTTCCTCTTTTAAAGAAAAACCCACCAAATTTTGATATGCTGGTTATTTGTCCACGACACACTACATAATAATAATAGTAACTACATTATTATAATTATCAACAAAATACCAACTACATTACTAAATCATTAACTACACACGACTAGCATTAAAATAGAAAGAGATCTACTACACACAAAGAAAAGACATGTGTGTTGTATTGCGTGTCACATATCTGTAGTGCAGGAGCAGCTCTCTGCCTGTGACTGTAGACTGTACATAGCCATAATTATTCATCCTCCAATAGCAACTAACATATTCTTCACCTTATGGCTATAATGGAGCAGCTCTCATTATACCATGTTATGACAACGACTTCCTTCTGCACCATCAGAATTGAAAAATTGCCTCACGTCGATATTTACGACGACTTAGATTCATACCATACATTTAGCTGTTCGATAACTTGAATTTACTTTACTTATTAATCCTTGTGTAGTCGCTGTTCAAAACCGTTCGTAAGGGGGTGTGCGTGGTCCAAGTTCTATCCGTCATGGGGTAAAGCACATGGGGCGCTAGGTTAAGGTTAGGGTTGAACAGGTCCGTCGTCTGTCTTGTACTCGTGTGCAGGTCATTTCTTTAGGCTCTGTAGTTTCTTGTACTTTTGACATTATCTGATTAAGTGCTGACCAGGAATAGTAGTAAGCTCTCTCACCAATTGAATTATTTAGGACATATTCTTCATTTTCATTGTTGACTTTTTTCTCTAATCTGAGCAATCTGTCATTAAGTTGATCATTCTGTTTCCTCAAACTGAGAACAACTGAGCCGATTTCTGTGATTTTTTTAGACAACTCTTCAGTAACTGTGTTCATGTCTACCACCAAATTATCACTCCTTTTCTGTAGATCGTACATCGTTCTGTTTACCGGTTCGATAGAACTTTGTGTGTCGGCCTGCTCGCTTCTTACTTGTGTTGTATGGTTCATGTCATTCTCAACTTGAAATCGTTTGACACCTCTGATGTTGCCTAGGATCAGATCGTGTGGACCATATCTAAACACAACAGCTTCTACTGTTCTTGTTGCTGATGGCGTGCTAATCTGGATTATAGCTGTTGGCCAAACATATGTTATGCCTCGTGAACTCTGAACATGTTGTGTTCTGCCTGTGTATTGATGTCGTCTAACAAAGTAGCTTCTAACAGCTATTGTTGAGCATCGTGTGTCCCTTATGGCCCGCGCGAATCTGTTGTTAATCTTGGCTGTAAATGTTTCTTTCCTGTTGCTGGCTTCACTAAAAGATGTAATGTATGCTGATCTATAAATTGGTCTCTTGTATTGACGTCTATTCTGCTGTATATTCCGCTGGAGTCTATCATTATATAGTTTCTTACAATTAACCTTTTTGTGACCTGATCTATTGCAGTAATAACATCTGATATTGTGATAGTTCTTTTGTCGACAATAGTTCATCTGTATGTTGTGGGCTGTTGTGGTATCTTCTTGAACTGAGTGTGGCGTATTAATTTTTGTAGTAGGCTTGCTCTCTGTTTCACTGTATGAGTCATCTGAATCGTAGTAATATTCATAAGTAGATCTAGGTAGCTCTGCTTTTTGTTGTAGCGTTGACTCATGTTTAGGTTGCTGTGATCGATTCTCTAACTTTAATTTATATTGACGTAGTTCTTCTTCTACTTCTTTTCGCCTTATTTCTACTTGTAGTCTCATTTCGCTTAGTTCAAGTTCAGTTTGTTTTTCAATCTCGGCTTTATAAAGTTCAAATTGTTTTTCCATCTCGGCTCTACGAAGTTCGGATTCTCTTTCTCTTTCTTGCCGAGCCTTGGCAAACATAAATTCAACTTCTGCTTCACGTTTTTTGTAGTCTTCTGATTTCTCATCTAATTTAGCTTTAGCTTCAACGGATTCTTCTTCTCGTTTGGCCTCTAGCTGAACTCTATAGTGAGCTAACGCCACTTGACATTGTCTTTCCTGTTCTGCATCCTCTAAAAGTCTTAACTGGACTAACTCAAATAATTTATCTTCATCGACAACTTTGTCTTGCTTTCCATATTTGTTCTTCTTCAGCGATGGTTCACCAATGGTATACTCTAAGCCTAACTCGGGCTTAGTTCTAGTTAGAAGTTCGTTAAATGGAGGCATGTCTTAGTGTGGTGTAATAAAGGTGATGTGTGGGAGAAAAAAAAGAGTAACAAAATAACATTAACTGAACAGGACGATACACATAAATGGGCGAGAGTAAGATAGATGTAGCTTACTCCAAGCCTACCACAGTACGTAACACGTGACAGGTTATAAAGAGAAAAAAAAATGCTGGGAGCAGCACTATAGACACGATAATGCGAACATTACGTGATACAGCTAACTATAAATGTGTACCTCTTAAATAGCAGGCCTACACTCAGTGTGTCCTATCGTTAGGAAGCCTCAGCCAATTTAAGAATAACAAGACTAGATCTATAAAGACATAAAACAAACACGAAGAAGAAAAACTGCTGAATAACCAGCACAGGATCCAAACAATCCCGGTTACTTAAAAAAAATCAGAGGAAGGTACTTATCTTGCTTCCCTGCGATGATCTAGTAGCACCTCTGGTCAACACGAATCCGCTTCAAACTTCACAACTTCGAATCCTTTTTAAAACACCACTTGCGGAATTAAGGACCACTTGTGCTCCACCAATATGTGATGGGGGGTTTCATATATATTATATAATTATATCTTCTCTATATTCTGATCTGCTACTATTCATACGACAACTATTATACTTGTGAGTAGGACGGGAATCACTCTTATGTTCCGCAGACACTAATTAACAAACGTCAACCACTTCGTTTATGAAAAGAACACTAACTTTATTAATACACACTTATTTGCACAATATCAAAGAATACCTCCGTCTCCTACCATTACTAACCCCCAACTCACGTTACTGCCGCGGTCTACGTCATTGGTACATTGTCGTGTCATGCTCACGTCACATTCGCGCCACAAATATTGTATTCAACATGCGCACAATACTCTCGCACCAAATCGTCTACAGTCAAGTTCGCACCGTCCTTTGTAACCTCTACTAGTCGTCTAATTCTTTATATCTACGCTATGACAGTTCCCAACCCCATGCCCGCGGGTGCCACGGCGCCCGCCGAACGATTCGTATGTGCCCGCCTCTCACTATTCGACAGAGACAGAATTTTTTTCATAAACATTATTGAAAGGTTGAAGGGGATGGAAATCGAAAGTTTGAGGGGGGGGATGCAAATGGAAAGTTTTGTCCCCGAGTGACGGGAAGGGTCGCTACGCCTCTGGAAGGAGTTTGTCGATTTAAAATAGGTGGTGCCCGCCACCCTACCGATATTTTAGAATGTGCTCTAGAGTAAAAAAAGGTTGGGAACCCCTGTTTTAGACTAAGATTGTTGTCATACGAGATCTAAAATAAAAATGTATTATTTTTTGGCCTCAATTATTATTCATTTAAAATGTGTTTTTAACCACAGAGGAGCACTAGAAGCCTATGCTAGACTTGTGAGGCAGAATCAAAGCAAAGAATATGCTGCAGTTTATCCAGTTATGTTGGAGATGTTACAGAAAGGCTTACAGTAATTTCTGCAGTGCTAGCAAAGTATTTAAATTTTTTGTCAACTTTTGGCTGTACAATTCTAATAGTGAATAGTAAAATTACTGAGTTTCATTTGTTCTCTAAATGATCTATTTTAAAGTAAAACCTGTGATATGATGAACTAATTTGATTATGTAAATAAGACTTTGTACAGTGTTAATTTTAAAATGAGGGCCCTTATTATTGTATATATCAATGTATTGAATAATTGACAATGGAAGACTCAGTGATTATATTATTTTTATTGCTGAGCTTATTTCTTATGAGGGTTTTTTAATTGGAATAAAGTTTAAAATGTTTTTATTCGTTTCACTTTTTCTTTTCATTTTTGAGCTTTTGTTTTATCCGAGCATGTTTGAAACGTATTTATAAAGTGTTGAATGTTTTGCTGTCCTTCACGGGTAGACTGGGATTGATTGTTAATGTTACCTGTTGTTCATCTGTTACGTTCATGTATGTGTTGGTTTTAAAATCTAGTAAATTGTAATAACTGCTGTAAAAAGTTTCCTTTTCAAACCTGACAGTCTATAGGGCAAGTGAAGTAGAGTTTACTTGTTTCTATGACCTCGGCATATGAAGAGATAGTGGTCAGCACTATGCCCAGCCACCTTTACTTACCCTAACATGCGTTAGATACCCATCAGAGTTGGGTGGACTCAGGGACGGTATACTGACTTGAACCCGGATTCGAGACTTATGGGTTAGCAGTCTAGCTCTCTACAGCTAGACCACTCCTGCTGTTTATGCATTTGATGACCAATAATTTATTTTTTATATATAAGTACTTTGTTGAGTGCAACATCATATTAAGATCTACAATGAACTATTCAAATTTTAAGTCTTTCCAAAATATTATTTGAGACGCAGAATGGCTATCCCATAAGCAGTGTCAGAAAAATTATTTTAAGTAGTGAACAACATGCTGATTAACTGAACATGTTTTCACTCTATCAGTAATTATATTCTTCCAATTCCATGCTCTATTTTGTTTATCATTTATAAAGCAATTCAAGAAGTCATTATTTATGGATAAATAAAATAATTGAACTTCAGTTTTCAGAGAATTAGTTGCAGTACAGAGGTATTCAAGAAAAGCAATTGTCCACAATTATGTTTATATTATAATATATTTATTGCAGGTATAAAATGTACACTATAGACAGAAACTTTGAAACGGTTACAGACTATTTATTAAAAATAATAATCACATAATCACAGTTTTAACAGAAAACATTTTACATCAAAATGTACAATAAATTTTAAGTTCCAGCAGTTCACCTATTAAATTAAAAATTAAACTAAAATCAGCTATCGTCAGATGTGGCGACCTTCTCTTTTTCTTTAGCTTTTAGTAAGTTAGCAAAAACAATACCAAGGAACATAACTCCACCTAGATAAAAATTTCCTCGAAAAGCTGAAGCACAATCATCTGCATTGTCGAGATCAACACAATAAATCTGAAAATTAATTTGAAATCAGATTATCCTTAAACTTATTGAAGTATACACATGTTAAATGAACTTTTACAACGATAATATAAACGAGTGGTTTCTTGTAAATTAGCAACCACTAATTAAAACAACTGTTTCACATCTAAAAATGTGTTACATGTACAATATTTTTAAAAGAGAACATGATCCAGTTAATAAATCAAAATTTCAAATCAAGAAGTCATCAAATTTATATAACAACTTAAAAATACACAATGTGTGGGGTGTAAACAGGAGTTGTGACAGAAATAGCAGCATTAGACATTGAGTATAATATCAATGCCCTAATGAAGGTACAAAAAATTAGTCCAGCTTGATGTTAAGGAACAAGGCAGCGGAGGGGTGGTCTCTCTCCCCTAATCAATATTTTTTTGTCTGTATCTTTCATAAAATATGAATCTTAAGGATGTAGAAATACAATCTATACTATATCTATACTATAGAGTTTGAGAATACAGATAGGTTATAGAATCTATCTTGTATGTTGTAACAGTACTGTAACAATGACAAAAAACTTCCTACCTGTTGGGCTAACCTGCCAGCAGTAATCCCCACAGCCACATAGTAAGGCCACAACATGTCACACAGCATGCCTGACCCTATCAACCCCCCAGCCATCACAGCAGTGAATGCTGACATCCATGGCTTGGTCTGATCACCCAGTCTGATGGCCGTTGATTTGACACCAATCAGCATGTCATCATATTTATCCTGTCAAACAATAAAACCATATCATTTTAGGAATAGTGTAAAAATTAATAGGCAATATTAAGAACTACATTTATATCTTTTTTTAAAATCATGCTGAAGAATAGTGATACATAATTTAAATAGCAAATACATACATATTACATATATACGAAAGTCAAAAAAATTATATTTAGTCCTAGTTTGTTTTGAAAAATTGATTCTATAAAGAATAAAACAAAGAAAAAGCTGCTAGATCTAAAATATTTCAATGTGCAAGAGCAAGGAAATAGGCATGACAGCTGACAGTGTTTTCTGTATCAGTATGGCTGTGTGGCATTCAAACCATTAATAGATTTTTAAAATGTATAAAACAGATGAGGGACACTTAACAGTGCACTAGATACTATAAGTTGTAAGTGATTGTGATATAATAAGTAAATAAAAGAATTAGTTTCTATTACAAAAATAAATTAAATAAAAATTTTAAGTTAACTGAACAGGGTTAACAACAACCAAGCAGGCAACATTGCTATTATAATAATTAAGCACCTTTTCAAAGCCAGTACTAAAATAACAATGTCAAGCTGACAAAACAAGTTTCAGAAAAAAGAAAAACACAGGTAACAAACTGAAAATGTATAAACAGCCATTGATTAGAACTCACCACATGAGCACAGAAACCAAGTTTGAACTAAACCTAACCCATTCAGAAAGGCCATACAAACATAAAACATCCTGAAACTTCATTTCATCATCACTTGTGAAACCTTCAACCATCCTCATTTCAGTTAACAGATAAACAATCCTGAACTTTGACCTACATTGTACTAAACTAGGCCAAAGCATGAAGCTAAGGGCTTAATGTAGATGGTGATTTATGTCCCAAATCTTATGGTCAATACATTCAAAATCCAATCTAACCTCTTTCTAAACCTTACATGTTTACAAGAAAAAATGTAGGAGAATCTCAAAAAGATAAATTAATTATTTTTGATCATCTTACCTGGTGTGCATAGATTGTATCATAAACTAAAGTCCACATGATACATGAGAAATACAGAGGTAGACAGACAGACCAATCTACTGAGGACTTGACTGCAGCCCACCCTAACAGAGTGCCATAGTTGAATGCAAAGCCTAGAAGATGGTAGGAAAGTTTGCTCATGTCAAAATCTGCCAAGTGCTTGTAAGCACTGGTAATCTGATAACACTAAAGTCTATAGCCTTACACTATTTCAACTTAACTATTATTTAGAATTTTTTTATAATCACTATTTTTTTTTGTCTTGAGTTAAATTGCATGGGATTAATGATATGTCGACCCCCAAAAGTGTAGCATTAGATACATTTTTTAAATACATGCAGTCAGTTCTAAAATGGCACTTCATAAAAAATTTAAAAAAAAAATGGATAAACCAAACAACTATCAATATTTCCTGCCTTACAATATTTTTTCTCTTAAACTTAAATTAAGGACAATAAAATAAGGAAAAAATATATATATATAAAATACAACAAAAATTGAATCAGGTGGGGTCAGCAATAAACTCGGAGGACAAAAATTGTAAAGGTGAGAGAGAAAATGGACTCATACCTGAACAGACGCTCAAAGCTGAAGATTTACAGACAACTGTATAACACAATATCTAATTCTACTTTTTATGTAAACATTTCATACTAAACTAATGTACATTCCACATACATACACATTCAACAAAATCCCAAGACAGCTAAACATCCAACAAACCTGATCCAAAAGACAAGAGAACCTTGCTGTTTAAAATGTTTGTACAATTTGAGCAAATATTCCTGTTAAATACTATCCCTGAAGCACAAATAAGGTGGGAAATATTTAATTCAAGCCACGAAGCAACAAAGTCTAGCTACATCACACAAGTTCATTCATCATAACATCAAAACAAAATCAAATGTATCTAATCACACATTATCACTGCAGTGGGATCGAATAACCTTCTCTTTAATGGTAGTTACTTAAAAAAGAAGTATAGTATAGGTAAAACATTTATAACCATTTACAGATATCATTTAATGTAAATTGTATTGGTGTAAGTTTTTAAATTATAATAATTGTTACATCTGTTATTTGTAGTTAGATGTCAAGAGCAGCAAGTACACTGATATCAAAAAATTACTTTGAAATTTAAAAAAATGATTCTGATTTTTTTAACAATATTATTAAAGCATGGTTAGGTCTAATTACTAGGCAAAGATAATTTAGATTATAGTTAAAAAATGTGGGAAAAGGATAATTATAAAATGTTTTAGGGAGAGAAAAGGAAAATTATTAATTTTATCAAACAATATAATATTAACAACTAATATATGATCATTATTAATTTTAAAAGCTGTGATGGTGTTTCAAAGAAATTTACATTAGTAATAAAACATTGCAATTAGTAGTACTTTGATCAAATGAACTTGCAATAAAAAAGATTAAAAATTATTTTTACAAAAATAAATTGAGAAGCAGCTAAATTAAATATTGTACATATAAAAAGAAGGTTGATTTGATTTCATGAACATTGTCGGAGTGTGCCACACTGCCATAATGATAAACTTATGTTCATGCTTTGTATTCATTGATAAACATTTTATTCCTGAACAAACATTTTAGTATAAAGTTTATAAAATATTTGTAGGTGAGCAATCACTTTTTAATAAGCAAATTTTTTTTAGATGTAGGTGTGTATAGGTCAAGCAGGAATTAGATAAAAAGCAATGTGCACTCAGTATAAAAATGTGAGAATAATTTTTTACAAATGCTTAAACAAACCAGACTAATCTAAATTTCTTTTTTCAAAGTTACAATGTAAACAAGTCCTAAAAAAATCATTCAAGTTTGAGAAATCAAGAACAGTTTAATAACTGCAAGTTAATACGTGGAAAATATATAGGAGCATAAGGAAGGATTTTAACTGAACACCTATGCTACCCATGTCCCCTGGCCAATAACTGAACTGACTGCATGTACCTGGTGTGAGTACAATGTATCGTAAATGACGGTGTACAGCGTGCAGGCACAGTACAAGATGAATCCAGCCAGCTCCACTGACCCCTGGAGGGTAGCCCAGGCCAATAGCACACCCCAATTCAGGGTAAGTCCTGAAATTGATACACATGTGAAAACCTGCTCCATCACCCTTTTTGGTTAGTGCATGTTTTCTCCCATTTCATCAACTGATGCTTGAGTTTAAAAGCCTAACTTTTATGTTATTAGGTATGTATCTAGGGTAACCTAATAGGTTACAAATTTTTAAGTTCTATTTTTCTCAGGCATCACGAATGGATCACAATTTAGGTCTACCCATCCTGAAAAGGCTGTAAAATTTAATTAAAAGAACATATATCTATTTTAAAAAACATTGCTTACAAAAATTTTGCTTTTTTGGCATAAAACTATAACATTTCATATACTATTAATTTTAACATTTATCCTTAACCTCGCCTAAATGGAAAACAACAATCTGAATTTTTAAAATTTGAATAGACCTACCCAAAATTATCTGTGGCCAGTAGGTAAACCGTTTACACAATGGATAAATGACAACAAGACCCATAGATGCTACTCCTAATACAATACTAAACAGGACAAAAAAACAGTATATTAGTTTTGAGAAATTAGACATTGTTTTCAAGTTAAAAACCGGAACTCATCTAATATTCTTTTCATTCTGCTGAATTATTTAATCAACAATTTTGTTCAAGAAGTAAATAAAATAATTGAACCCAAACATATTTTGTTTTATTGAATAAACTTAAATAGCCTGATTGTCTACAAATTCAGAATGATTTATGATAATAAAACTTTATATAGGCCTAGATCTTTGATATTCTTGTAACTATCTTTTTTAAAATTAGATTTTTTAATGTTAAGTACCTGTAATAATTAAGCTGCAAAAGAATCACCAAAGCACAAGTGAGTTGTGTACTAAGGAATAAAAGGGCCTGAAAATATGTTATCTCCCCTGAAGCCAATGGCCGTGTTTTTGTTCTTGCAACCTATTGGGTTTTTTTTTAAAGAAAAAAAAATATGTCAGTATTTGCCATAAAAATACACAAGTTTAATCATATGCTTAAGATAAGAGAAATGCAGGTGGTAACTAAGAGGTCTTATACCTTTGCATCAAAGTCTTTATCCCACATATCATTGATAATACAGCCTGCTCCTCTCATGAAAAATGCACCGGCTCCAAACAACGCCAGCAATTTCAGATCTGGCATGCATCCAGGCTGAGCAGCCAATGCTATGCTCCAGGTACAAGGCCAATACAAAAGCCAAGTTCCTGAGTAAAGAGTGCAGTTTAGATAAGTAATGTTTATACTTAAACTTATATCATTACAGTTCTGACAAATATCATGCAATATATATCCTAAAAATCCAAAATTTTAAAATTAATCCCTATTAACACTATTATAATTTATGTATTATAACTCTTAATTAGAAAATAATTATAAAAATAAAATAGTTCAATTAATGTGTTGTTTTTTTTACCTACCTATTGGCTTGTCGAATCGAATCAACCGAAGATAAGGTTGAAAGCTCAAAGGAGAAGATTCCACAATAAGCCGAGTAGTAGAAAAGTTATGATGTGTCCTTTGGAAATAATCTGTCGATGACTTTTTATGGATAAATGCACAAGAAAGCGTTGAGTCTGGGGTTGGGGATGTAGTATCATCACTCACAAGATGATTAATCCCAGGAATACTTGCAGCTGGATGTTTATGTTTTAATATTTTATGTTTTACACTGTAAGACATTGGACTGGTGGGTTTCAGCTGAGAAGTAGAGTCTCTCAAAACCTCTTGAGAGTTCTGCAGATTTTGAAATTTGTTATAGGAGAGGTTCCGACTTGTAGTTATCAAAACATTGTGTCTTTTGTCAGCTACTTCCCTTGAAAAGCCCGAATACTTTGGTCTCTCACTTAGGCATGATGAGAGAATTTTACTATGAGATTTGATCAGCCGTAGCAAAAGAGACTGGCAAACTGGATGACATGTTATTAGTGTTGCTGCCATTGTCAACTTGTATCTGAAAAAAAAAATTGAGTTTAAATGTCAGAAACTTTTTTAAACAAAAAAAATAAAAAGTATCTCCAGGAGCAAGGAATAGGCGCAATATGGCTATTCCCAACAAATTGTGAATAGCAACGACCATACGTTATATTAATATTATTATATGATTATATGGCATATAGTAGGCCTATTACTAATACTAATGTCTAACTTAGTTTGTAGGCCTACTTGGTGTTTTTAGTCTAGATCTAGATCTGGATCCCCTAAATCTAGTGACTAGTCTAAATCGCCCTAATGAGTCTAGCATTATGATTAATAAATTGATTATAATTAGCCTATTATTCATTAGTAATAACGAGCCCACCCGCGGCATATCATACGCCGCTATTTAGTTGTTGTATTTTTCTACTTTTCAGTTATTCATAATTTGTGAATTCGACACTACCAACGCTGCCACTGAAGATATTTCTTTAAAACACTATAAGTAGCTCGTTAAGGACGATAACCCCCCCCCCCTCCGTTAAAGTAAACTGCACTTAGTTACCCCCCCCCCCCTACGTTTAAAATCGTTTCAAACTAAATTATCTGCCCCTAATACTGGTCACTAAACCCGGCTCTGTTTGTAAACATTTAGAGTGAACCACAGCTCACCAGACCATGTAGGGGTGGGGGTGGTAGGGAGCGAGTTTACAGCTTGTTTTCTAGCATCTCCCAGATGAGAATTATATAGATCTAGATTTCCTATATATAGATTAGCCTATTATCTAGCATGCATTTTTATTCCCAGTCACTAGATTCTAGATCAGCTAGATTCTAGAGCAGGGAGAGTTAGCCAAATATTTAGGGCCTACTGGTTAAATTTTTACATCATGTACTTGATCTAGATTTAGATCTAGATATAGTTTTCTTATAGATCTAGGGCCTAGATTTCTAGACCTACTTTTACCTGGTCTTTATAACAGCTTTCCTGAGTCACGAGTGGTGAGAGTAGCTCATCCACTACGAGCTGCAACTCACTGGAACGGAACGCTTCTGCACAGTGTCTGTAAGTCTAGATCTAGAACACATGCTTCGTATTGAATCTTGATTAGATTTATAGATATCTAGATGACCAAATAAATTTAAAAGCTAAAACTTGAGTTAAGTTGATATTAGGAACTAAAAATCTAGATTCCGGTGATTCCTAGTCTGACTAGCAGACTAGGTTAATGCATAGAGATCTAGAGATCTAGCCCTTTCTGAGTTGAAACTACTGCTATGCACTTCAGGGTCAAGGTCCAGGTTAGCCAGGTCAAGGCAAACATTTATATTTTATTCCAGTTTACCGATTTCTTTTTTCAATTCGTACGCTGGATAATTGTTTTAACGTAGGGCCCAAATTTGATGCAATATAGTGTAGATCTAGATTTAAAAAAAAAAATAAAAAAATTATACATTATAGATCTGTTATCCTTGACCTTCGTCAACATAAAGCCGCAAAATTTTTTTTAGACAGCTTACCTGTTGTGGGCCTAGCCAGATCCAATGTAATGTTGGCCTGATTTAATTAAGATAAAAAAAAAAATATCTAATTTAAATTGGTTATTACATGCAAGAAAATGTTTTGCCTATTATTTATAAGTATCGTTAATCTAAAAATAATGGTTAATTACGATTTCGTATCACCTTTCGTAAAGTTTTGTAGGCCTAATTTAAATTAATATGCCAAACAAATTTATGTAGACCTATGTATAATGTAAGGCCTAGATAGCAAGAAGGCCTAGATCTATATCGTATATCCTCTCCCAGTTATAAGTTTCCTTAGATTCTTAGTTTTAAATATTATTTTGGGGTATTGGTAATATCAAAAGGATGAACTTATTGAAACTATATGACGTTAGATATAGATCTAGATCTAGAGACGTGTGATATCGCTATTAAATAACCTTGAGAGCCGTTTCTCAATGTCAAAGATTTCAACCAGTGTACGGGCAGATCTTTGAATTCAACTTAACCAACCACAAACGAGTGATATCACCTACCCCTTATCACTTTGATCGGCTTTACTTAGCAGTAATACCTGTACGCCTATTCAATCACTATGAGGGGGGGGGGGGGTCGTCCATAAAAGACGACACACTCGTAGGGGAGAGGGGGTGTCCGTAATTTTGTGACGGTGTGTGATGAGGGGGGGGGGGGGGGTTCAGATCGTGTGGCGTCACACTTTTGGATTATAAAAAAGCAATGTTAGAAAACGATTTTAGACGTTATTGTGCGTTTTAGAAAACTGTTTTAATAGGAATTTAATACTCTATTTTGACAGAGTTCAGACAAGATTTTGGAAAAATATCGATGTTTTAAGAAAAATTCAACTGCAATTTTGAGGGGGGGTTGTAGACTGAGGTGTGACATCATTTTAGGGGGGGGGGGGTCTGGCTTTTTGTGACGATGTGTGACGGAGGGTAGGGGGGAGGTAAAAACTGTCCCCAAAAAGCGTGACGTCATTTATGAATGACCCCTATGACAATAACATTTGGAAGAAACTGATTTTTTTTAAAAAATGTAACTAAACAACAGCTGTACAAAACTCTTTGAAATTGGGTTTCCTGAAATTAAGACTGCCCTGTCGAACTTCTAAATATCATACTGATGTTCAACTTACATCGGCGCTTCGCTTGAAAAAAACTGCTCCATTGGCAAAGATATTTTCTCTGAGAAGACAGTTTCAACAGAGCTCCGTAGGCCGGGCGTTTTATGGCCCCCGCGAGTGGACCGGAAGAAACGGGGGGGGGGGGGGGGGTAGGGGGGGGGGAAAGGGACGACGACAGCACTTCCATTAATTGTGCTATTCTTCGCACATTCTAAGCCAAAGAGTCAATGTTAAAATGTAACTCCTCGACATCTTCCCCATATCCCTTCACCTGGAGTGGAATCCACAGGGCAAAAGGAAAAGAGGATGGCCAAGGAAGACCTAGAAGAAGGCACAAGAATATTAAATACACATGGGACAGTTGGAGAGACTAGCCCACAGTGGCGTAGGCAGGGGGGAGGATAGGGGGGGTCATAACCCCCCATAGACCCCTCGGTATATATATATATATATATAAAGTATGAGGGGGGTGCAAATCAAAAGTTTGAGGGGGGGGGGTGCAAATCGAAAGTTTGAGGGGGGGGGTGCAAATCGAAAAAATTTTCCCCGGGTAAAAATTGGAACCCCCCCTTGAGACGATCCTGGCTACACCACTGCTAGCCCAGGACAGGGATGCCTGGAAAGCTCTTGTCAGCTGCCTATGATGTCCAAGGCGGGGCTACAGGCTAACCTAGCCTAACCATCTAAAATATTTTATTTTCTCTATTTCGTTCAGGGTGGGGGTGGTGGACTGAGAACCGATAAAGGGTTTCTACTAGCAGGGGTCTTATTGAATGGGGCTGTTTTACCGGGAGATTTAATGTAGGTAGCCTAGTCGTATTGGTAGAATCCTAATTACTGAAGCAGCCATTTGTCGGGAACTTATTAGCAGTTTTGTCTAGAGCCCCTTTTGACAGATCTATTTTGTTGGTGTTGTTCTGACGCCTCACTTTTTTGAGTTAGTAAATGTTTATTGTTCTATTTCACACCAATCACTCGACATTTGTCAGCATAGTAAAATAGTTTTTCACTGAGGCATGTAGTATGTAGACCAAAGGTTTAAAACTTAAACATTGGATCTTGTCCTGATAAGTCTAGTAAAAAAGCTGACCCCCATCACCCAAAAGGATATGGAAGTTGTCAGTGGCGTAGGCAGGGGGGGGGGTCATAACCCCCCCACCCCCATAGACCCCTCGGTATATATAAAAAGTATGAGGGGGGGTGCAAATCGAAAGTTTGAGGGGAGGGGGGGGGTGCAAATCGAAAGTTTGAGGGGGGGGGGTGCAAATCGAAAGTTTGTCCCCGGGTAAAAATTGGAACCCCCCCCCCCCCCCTTGAGACGATCCTGGCTACGCCACTGGAAGTTGTACATTTAGATTATAATTGAAGAGGGTGAAAGTAGGATGGGTCATTAACAATTTATCACGTAAAGTTCTGTATTTTGGTACCTTTAACCTTAACCCTCAATGTTTGTGCATTAAATTAGAGCAGGCAAAAAGTCACAGGGCTTAACTTTACGCACTTGCACTTTTTGCATTAGTGGCAAAGCTTATCTGGATAAGGGGTCATCCATAAATGACGTCACACTCGTAGGGGGGAGGGGGTCTGTAATTTTGTGACGATGTGTGATGAGGGGGAGGGGTTCAGATGTTGCGACGTCACACTTTTGCATTATAAAAAAGCAATGTTAGAAAACGAATTTTAGACGTTATTTTGCGTTTTAGATAACTGTTTTAATAAATTGTAGATCTAATAGTTTAGACAAGATTTTAGAAAAATATCAACATTTAAAAAAAAATTCAACTGCAATTTTGAGGGGGGTTGTAGGTTGAGGTGTGGCGTCATTTTAGGGGGGGGGGGGTCCGGCTTTTTGTGACGACGTGTGACGGAGGGGGGAGGTAAAAATCGTCAAAAAAAGCGTGACGTCATTTATGGACGACCCCTAAGACCCCCAATATTTTTGTGGATGTCATAAATTGATGACCCCTCACCGCATGATAGTCCAAAGAGCAATAGCTTTTGCATATGATGTAGAAAATATGACAATATTTATTATTTATTTATTGCTAGGTTGCTTCACAAAAACTTGAAAGTTCTTCCACACAGAACCATTGATGCGCATAACTGCCAAACCTATCTAACAACCAGCAGTTACTCAAGCTGATTCTCTGTAGTGCAGATGGTATTCTAAGTCCCTTAATATAACAAGTGAAGCCATAGAGACAGTAACTTATAATGCATACAGCTGCACAAGGTATTAAATACTTCAGTGGAGTTTGCTAGGTAGAAATTATCTTTCAAATACAAAATTTTACAACATTGATGGGTTTAAAAAAATAAAATAAACAAAGCATTTCTTATCAATACTTTTATTGAACTAGCATTCGTTATGTAAAACACTAGTTTATTATAAAACAACAAAAAAACAAAAAAAAAACAAGTTTCCAAGATATTCTTTTTCAAATTGTAAAAGTATATCATTTGAAAGTAAATTAATAACAGAAATAAAACTTTTTGGATGAGCTTTGGTTTAAAAAATAAACAGATTTGTACATATAATAACATGTTTTTAAAAAAAAATGTTATACAACACAAACAGTCTCTACATCTTCTGTGTGTAAAATAATTACACCAACTTTTGATATATTTTTAATTTGTATGAATTTTGTAAAACAACATTACCAATGAATGTGAAATATGAATATTTAAAAAAAACAATCTTATGTGAAGATCTTTTGAGTAATTTAAAAGTCACAACAACATGAAAACTGTCAAGGGTTTCTTAACAAAAGACATGATGATTTTTTAACTTCTGACATCAGAGAAAGTCAAGTCATCCCCCCCCCCCCCCCAAACACATTGGCATAACCTTCTCCCTAATTTCAACTTTTAAAAAAAAAATCTTTTAAAATACTATAGAGCTGGTTTAAGATTAACTTGTATATAAATTTACAGTTTACAAAAAGTCTGGGGAAGCTTAAGCACTGCTGAAATTCAGTTTAAAAATTTCCCTTTGAAATGTGTGATTCACTTTATTAACCCCCTCCCCTCAGATAAAAAATAACCTATCATCCAAGGAATGTGACATTATTTATGGATAAACCCTCACATACAAATGGTATAATTAACTTCTTAAATGCATAAAGAGTAAAGCTTAAAAAAAACTAAACAGCACCCACCAAAAAGTTGAAAAACAGCAGGACCATAGCATTTTAGTGGTGATTAAAACACACCACTAAAGGAAAAAAATACTTCACCTAACAAAGAAATATAGTTATGCACACATAAAATCTGTTAGCTGAGATTCTTAACAGCACCAAAATATGTGCATTAAATAGCACAGGATAATACTTTTGATGTACTTTACTGAACTTAACCTATTAAAGTTATTAACCTTATAATTATAATGAATAAAACCAAATTAATAAAGAAATACTTGTAAAATTGATTACCTTGAATCTTAATAAATTCACTGTTTTATTGCTACTTAAACAGTAAAAATGGTAAAATTCTTAAAAATTGAAATAATGAAACATTTTTCAGCCATTTTGAAGTTTAAGCCATGGGCTACAAATTTAGAAAATATATTCCACAAATTAAAAAACAAAAAGTACACAACACTAAAATGTTTTAATCTATGTAAAAGTAAATGTTCATTAATAAGCAGCGTCAGTAACAAATATTATTAAAATAGTGTAAAATGTAAGCAAAACAAAGAAAATGCAAGTGCATGCTATGTACAAAAAGAGTGCGAAAAAAGGTGCTTTAATAAAAAAAAAATGAGCCATTTTGAAAAAAAATAAAAGAATGGATTGACAAGGTTTAAAAATAACTTGTGGTTGGGATTTTAAAAAGAGTATGGTATAGGCAATTATATATTGGCTATAGTGCAACACCTTTAGAGTATAATACATAAACATAATATACATGGAATTCAAAAACTGGAAATAGCAACATAAAAAAACACCAGGTTTTCCGAGGTTGGAAAGAAGCTAAATAAATGTATTAACAAGGAGTATTTTGAAGAAAAAGGATAACAGAAACAGACTTGTGCTGCGCTGAAATGACAAGTGGCAACCAAAAAGAAAAAAATATAAGTGCCATTTTTGTCATTCATTAAAAGAAAGTGTAAAATAAATGTACACAAATGTAGTAGAATCAATTACATTCAAATTATAATACATCAAGTAATGTTTAAAAGTTACTTTAACCTACACTTCTTAGGAATACAATAGAGGAATATAACGACCAAAAGTTTAAAATAAATCATTAAAATATAATATTCACAACAATACTACTGAAAATCAAACTTACTTTTTACAATAAAGTTTTTGATTTAGAAATAAAAAGAACACAATGACTGCCAATCAATATTACCCCCAATAATTAGTTCACTTTAAAAAACTCCAATTTTAGATGCTTGGGTAGTTTACATCTACGAGATACAGTGGTACCTTGACATACAAGATTTTTGAGATACAAGCAACAGAGCTAGTTAAATTTTGCTCTTACAACACACACGAGCAAAATTTGATATACAAGAGAACGGATTAGCAAGTTTAACAGCCTGAGGGAAAAAACACCATGAAAAAGTTGCAACTGATTGCCGTTTGGATTCTTTCTATGAGACTTACATAACTAATAAACAAACCTCCTTGGACAGGTCTATGTTTATTTTAACAGCCTGTGTGGACAAGTCAGGTAAAAAAAAAAGCAAAGAACAGCCATAAGAAAAGCAAGGATGAAAAGTAATCCATAGTAACAAAAAGTATTTAGGTTCAATTTACGTTTTACCTTACGTTAACATTAGAGATAATGTTAAGTGTTAAGAGCATAAGGAGTAAGTAAATTAGAGTGATTGAAAGATCTTAGCATTAATGTTGAGTAAGTGAGCAAAGTGAAGCTCCTCAGTTTATCTCCGTCACCCTACACTGGGTCTACATCTCTTCCAGCATCTTCCATATGCTTAAGTCAGCTGATTTTTTTGAAGAAAAAACATTTTATTGCACCAGTTTATTTCTTTGCAATGTCCATTATTATGTTATTAAACAATGTTTATTATATATGAAAACATTTTTCTTATTTAAAAAAAACTTCTATAAAAACAACTGGGGTGGCGTTTGGTGAGGCTGGAATGAATTAATTGCATTTCAATTGATTTCAATGGAGAAAATTGCATTGAGATACGAGCAACTTGACAATATGAGTAATGTTAAGGAACTAAAACTTGTAACTTGAGGTACCACTGTAATGTTAAAAATGTATTCTCGCTTTTGGAATCAGATGAGTATTTAGAAGTACATCTAATTTTAATCTAAATAAAAACAAATTGTTGATGAACAGTTAAAAATGTACATATTATTCCTAATCAGAATACAACACAGGTGATGCCAAACAAATTATAAAATTTAATACTTTTTGTTTTGTAAATTTTTGAAACCAGCAGATTGCAGTTCAAGGCACAAGAAAAAAAAGTTAATACTTGTATTTCACCAATGAATTATATAGTAACAGCTTAACACAAATAGTATTTATTCCCATATTTTTTCACAAACCAGGAAATTGAGCAGCATTTGTAGCACACAATAAAAATCAACAGGATTGAGATCAAAAACCTAATAACAATAATAATTAATTTAGTAATTACCAGAAGGATATGACAAAATTAAAATGAAGTTTTACTTATACAATAATTTTCAATAAAAATAAGAACAACCTAATATCATAACCGGGTAGATATAAATTACCAATGGTGTATATGTCAGCTTTACAGGAATGTCAAGCAAGTATGGTTTTGCATAGTAAACGACCTCAAAAAATTAAAGAAGTGTTTATAGATATAACTGCCTTATAAGCAAAATAAAACTCAAAAAAATATTTACATGTCGTGCAAAATAATACACAACAGCCCTTACAGCTTAGCTCAAAGATTGATCAATCATGAATGCTGTTATTATTGTTAAAAGAATCATTCATTGCATCAGGACTTTCATTTCTCATCGATACAGTTTCCTCAGCCTCCTCGTGGTTTGGGTCTCTTTTCTTTACACATTCAGTTTCAAACACATCTTTAAGCCCATACAGGATACAGATGATGTTTTTCACAATCAGAGGTGACACCTCCATATTTTCTTTGTACCACAGAAGAAGGCGAATGGCCAGCAGGGGGGCATTGATGATGAAAATGTGAAAAAGGTTGTTGAGGATGCTCTTAATTGGGGCCACAGGCTGTAATCCATAATGACTACCGCTTAGGATCATCAAAGGCACAACAGGAAAGACTAAATTTGCACATGCAATAACAACTATTGCCCATACAACTGCAGGTTCAACTACATCTTGGCTTAATGTGAAGAATATTGTAAGGACATCAACAGCGTCGATGATGTCAAATGGAATTATAGCTGTCAACACATTAATTTGGTGACGAACATAAGTTCCAGAGTCTGAGTCATGATGAGCAGCAACCAGTAACAGAAAGACCAGCCCTGACATCGCTACTGTAAATTTTAAAATGTTTCTCCCCAAAAACATTTCAGGCTGGATTTCAAATGCCAGGTCCTTGTAAATAATTCCAACTCTGGCTGCCAGAATAACTGAGTAGACCAACCATGCAAAATAGCTCAAAGGAAAGCTTCCAGGTTCAACGCGCGACTTCATTGCTTTATGTATGGAGGAATTAGCATCATGGACAAATTTCAGTTCTCTATACGAGATGAAAAATGTGACCAAAAAACTTAAAATGACAGCAACATCTCCAGCTATCCATGCATACCAGTTGTGGTTTTGATAGTGAACCAGAAAGTAATCCAACACACAACCTTGTAGACAAATAAGGATAACAGCAAGAACACGACTAGGCAGAAGGAAGCAGATGTTGCAAAGTTTTCGTTTAGAATTTAAAGTGAGCATTGTAGCTGTTCTGTTTTTTTTCCTGGAGATGTTTTAATTGTTCTTTCCAGCACGAGTTTTAAATGTTCGAAATGCCGCACATTGCTGTTTTTACTTGTTACTGCTGTTCTAGCTGAGAACTGAAAAGGATATTACACAACTAAATAAAATCATAGGCCTATAGACTATAGCTCAAATTAGTTATGTAACTTTCTTTTTCTTCGTTCTTAATTTATGTTGGAAGGGATCTCCTCCAACACAAAAAGTATATGTGTCAACTGGTTATGCGCCATTGAGGCAATTGACTCCGATTTCAGCCTGCTTTTCTTTTTAGAACCAAGAACAAACTACAAGGCAGCAGTTGTTTGATTTTGGAGTTGTCTCTCCTAGAAGAGTGGCTGTCCCCAGCTAACGAGCCTCATCTGCCCGAAGGTTTGAACTTGAGACTTTTCAGTTTAGCAACCATAAGGTTTACTGACTCCACCATGCCGACCTCCGTTATGTAACCAAAAAAAATTTAGTTCAAATTATTAGAAAGTGGGCTTTTTCAGAAGATCTCTCATGGAATTTCTGCACAGCCAAACATTGCTTGTCTTTCGAAAATGAAACTTCAGGTTATAATTAATAATTTATTAATATGGCCATTTTGGCCTAAAGGTTAGATGAAAGTAAATAGCCTTAAAAACTTACACTTTATTAGTAATATTTAGTTAGGCCCAACAAGTTCTCTGCAACAATCTATTATTAATATTTACTACTTAGTTAGGCTATGCCACGATGGGTACTATTTAATTATAGGCTATTGTATAGGGTAGTGGCCTATGATACTACATAATTCATAAAATTCAAATATTAGGCCTAGATACTTAAGTTTAGATAGGCCTAATTTACCAATTTAAAAAATTAGGACCTAAATGTAAAAAAAAGTATTCGTATTACTAGATAGAGATAGATCTGGTAAAACCTGGCTTTAGTTTAGCCGCCGCAGTTACACTAGTACTAGAATCTAGATCTAGTAACTAAGTTAGTAACTAGTTAGCTTGGTAATCTATCGCTTTAGGAAGTAAAATCGCCCGCGACTAGTAATGTGAAAAACAGGTGACTCCTTAAATTTCAATAATTATTTCACATTTATAGGAGGATTTTAGTTTTGAAAAATACAAAAATGTTCCCTTGTTTCATTTAAGTACCTGTTTTTAAACAGTTGAATTAAAACTTTTCAGTAATAAATAAAGACTAGCTATGTTTCCAACAGATGCAACCATGCTCATTTACTATAGGCCTATATAGCAGCCATCTTGTATAAGTTTTTATTTTTGTAAACTTCTAGCGGGAGATTCAGGGGAAGCCCCTCTATTTTACAAATGGCTGCTGTTTATATAGCAAATCTTGCTTGCAAACACTGCTGTTTAAAGTTAATATCTGGCCTATAGGCCTTTTGACATATTATTAATATTTAGTAGTAGTAGGCCTATTATTTAATATTTAGCCATTGATTTAGGTTTATTAATAATAATAATTATTATTAATTATTCATTTATCTATTTGACACAAAATGTGACACAAATGTATCACAATATACTTCTACTAAAGCCTTGACAATGAGGTAACTTTTTCGAATCTAGCCGCTGGCGATTTTACGTACCTAGAATCTAAAAGAGGTAAAACTAGTAAAAGTTAAGTCTAAAATCTAGGTAATCTATTGTTTTAGGTACGTAAAATCACCCGCGGCTATTAATGTACAAAAAAGTTAACTCATTGTCAAGGCTTTAATAGAAGTATATTGTGATATATTTGTGTCAAATATTAGGCCTACAGATAAATGAATAATAAACCTAAATCAATGGCTAAATATATCAATATAGATTTAGGCAAGAAATTATCTTTAAACAGCAGTGTTTGCGAGCAGGATTTGCTATATATAAAAAGTGGCCATCTGTAAGTTAGAGTGGCTTCCCCTGAATCTTGCGCTATAAGTTTACTATAAAAAAACGAAGTGTCTATTCACAGTCGACTGTGAATAGCCGTATTGGGGCTATTCACAGTCGTATTCACGTGACCATTTTTCATAGATTTAATGTTAAAAATACCTAACTAGGTATGAAGATGTGTGGTCGAGAGGTCATTGGGAGTGGCTGCCGTGCCAGAAGGAGTGGGTTCAAATCCTTCAGATGCCCTATTTCTATGACTCTTAATTAGTCTTAATGTACGCCTCTCAATCTTAATATGAGAATATTTTTTCAGTTACTTAAGTTACTCATCGAAGGGTTACTTTTGTTAATTTTTTTTGTGACGTAATTGTTGGCATATCAACAAAAAAAAAAAAAAAAAAGAGAAAAACACAAAAGTGTGATGGAAACTGTGAATTATAGCTGATGAAAAAGGACATCCTATTTCACCTGATATTTATTCTATGTGATAATGTGAATTTTTAATGATAATTGATAAGTGAATAGCAATGTGAACAACCAACTAAACTTTTCGATTTGCACCCCCCCACTCAAGATTTCCATTTGCACCCCCCTCCCCTCAAACTTTTGATTTGCACCACCATTTTGGCGCCCCCCCCCCCCTCTCGCTACGCTACTGTCTATGACCTACGTAGCCTGTAGCAGATATGTCTGATATGAGCATAAAAGCTAAACTAAACTAAACTTTTTTATAACAAAATATAAATAGCACTGCTCTCTTAATCTATACCTCATTCCCCAGTCACAATAAATGCTTTTATTATTTTAAGATATTATTCACAGTCGTATTTAGCATGAAATGACAGCCGACTGTGAATAGCCGTATTGGGGCTATTCACAGTCGGCTGGGAATAGCCCCAATACGGCTATTCCCAACCGGCTGGGAATAGCCTTGGCCATAAACAAATTAACAAGATGGCTGCTATAGTAAATGAGCATGGTTGCATCTGTTGGAAACATCGCTAGTCTTCATTTATTAGGCCTACAGATAAGTTTTAATTCAATTGTTTAAAAACAGGTAGATTCTACATAAATGAAACAAGGGAACATTTTTGTATTTTTCAAAACATAAATCCTCCTCAAAATGTGAAATAATTATTAAAATTTAAGGAGTCACCTGTTTTTCACATTACTAGATCTAGTCGCGGGCGATTTTACGTACCTAAAAAAAAAATTAAAAATAGTAAAATCCTAACCTAAGCTAAACTAAAACTAAAAGAGTAAAACTTACTAAAACGATAGAAAAATCGTAAAACGTCCAGCTAGCTTAGTAGCTAGATCTAGATTCTAGAGTAAAATGTGGTGGAGAGTGAATTAATTAATGAATAGGCCTATGTCTTTAAATATGAGTATATATTCGTATATATTAATAAAATATTATAGATAATTGAATAATAGATCACCTGAAATTAATTTTTGGTTCGAGATAGTAAATGTGTACAAACGGCAGCCATCTTAAGAAAATATTATTTATTTAGAGTACTTTCCCTTTCATATGAATATGTATTCAAATATGATTGTCTTGTTATATATATAATATATAGTCCTACAAAGCATTTTTTTTTTTATCATTTTGACATTACTATTTACTATTTTCATTTCAGATTTTTCTTTTCTTTTATTAGTGATTCTATCGTAAATTATGGCATTTTTTTTTTTACTTCTCTTTACCTTAATTAAACCCCAACCTCAATCGAATTTTCGTTTCAATGTCACAAAAAGTCATATAATATAAAAAAAAAAATTAGTTTCGCTCTGCCTTACCTAAGATCTCTAGCCATAATTTTGACAACAATAAATGTTTTTCATCATTTATATAAATTATCTACGGGAGGGGGTGGGAAGGGAAGGGCTTATCCCCTATCCGAAGAGATGCGTGAAAGAAATTCTTCACACAATTTATTTTTAAGATTAGACAAAAGAGTTAGGCGGTAATGCCAGTATTTTTTATTATGTAGTATCGATGACGTCATTGCATCTTATTTGTCTTTCGAGGGTAGTAAAACCCTCACCAAATCCCCCACACTAAATTTCATTATCTCCGACTATTATTGATTCTGGCACTGTATATTTCTTGATTGCTATCTAATGACATTTTAGCTGTTTCACAAGTCCTAATTATTTGCTCACGTAGATCAATAACTCTCTCATAAGACATTTTTGTGTCTCTATCTATTTCTTATTGTTCATTCAATAGCAGAGACTTCCTTAGCTGCATGGGCGTCGAGGGGGGGGGGGGGGTCAACTTTTTTTCCGGGGGGAGGGGGTGGGGTGACACTGGTAAAAGTATACATTTTCTATATAAATTCCATTTCGTTCGGGGAAGAGATGCCTGTAAGAAACTCAGCGCGCCATATACTAATTCAAATGGGGAAAACCCGGTGGCTGTATGCGGTAATTCCCTATACGCAAATAACAAACATGGTAAAATTAAATCCCAATTAGGGCTATCCGTGCGGCGTCAAAACGGCCAATGATTGACAAAACGGCCCCGTCAAAACGACCCCGACAAATCGGCCCCGACATAACAGCCCCGTGAAATGGACCCCGTCAAAATTGCCAGCGACATATGGACCCCGTCAAAAAGGCTCCCAATAAATAGGCTCCCGTCATTTAGGCTCCCGACAAATAGGCTCCCGACAAAAGGGCTCCAGTCAATAAGGCTCCTGACATTTTGGCTCTCGACATATAGGCTCCCGTCATTTAGTTTTTTCCACAAAACGGCCCCCGTCATTACGACTCCCGACAAATAGGTTCCCGACCTTTAGTTTCTCCACAATACGGCCCCCGTCATTACGACTCCCGACAAATAGGCTAGCGTCATTTTGGCTCACGACAAAAAGGCTCCTGTCAATTTGGCTCCAGACAAAAGGACCACTGACAATACCGTTTCTGTAGAGACTAAGTCTCCCGGCAAAGCGGTCTCATTGAATATGACACCTGTCAGTGGGACCCCTTCATCAATATTCTTTAGAGTTAGCTTATCCAACACTCTTAAGTAATACAACGTATGCATCTCTTGTTCGGCAGGCCTTATTTTTATATTAGTTAATCTATTATAAAATATAGTATGTTTTAATTTAATGGTCATCTATCTATGACTTCCATAATTGAGTCGGTTATAGGGCTTGTAAGTTTTGATCTGTG